CAGCAAAAACGCTTGCTATCCGCCCCCTTGGTCGAACGAGGGTTGATCCTCGTGGTGGGGTGGTTGTTTGTGGGGGGGAGGGGGTGTTTGGGCATGGTTGCTGAGGCTGGTTGGTGAGATCTTGGAGCATGTTTGTCGTTGTTGTTGTGGTGGTAAAGCCATGGAAATTCCCGCGCAGGGTCAAGTACAAAGTATAAGAATGATGTGCGGCAAACTACGGATTCCGCGGCGAGAGAAGAACCTACCTATGGCCTTGTAACCCCACCCTATATTATAAAAGCGCAGTACTTGTATACCAGCATAACTTGTACAAAACTACTTTATTTTAGACTAGTAGAAATAGTGAAGAGTAAGAGGGGGGGGATAAAATATATAGAGGAAGAGAAGAGGGAAGGGAAGAGGGAAAAAGGGAAAGAAAAGAAGAAAGGGAAGAGGAAAGGGAAAGGGAAAGGGAAGAGAAGAGAAAAGAGAAGAGAAAAGAGAAGAGAAAAGGGACATGTTCAGCCTAAACAGCCAATTCCAAACCCAAGTACGTTGGCAAATGCCACAGATACATGGGCAAGTATTTGAACAAGAAGACTCATGTATAGAGACTCATGTATAGAGATGTATATATGGATGGGATATCATGGCAAAAAGTACATGGAGTCTACTTGCTACCTTTTTCTTTTAATCTTGTTTCCTCTTGTGCTTTCTATTCCCTTTTCTTTTAAGCTCGTTCCCTCTCTTGTGCTTTCTATTCCCTCCCCCTCCTCTTTTATCCCCCTCTAGCATTCGCTGTTATAACTGTAGTATTAGAAGTATTAGTATTAGTCCTTAAGAGGGTAAACCCTAAATAAGCGTAAGGCGGCTAATAAGATTCCTTACAGAGTTAGCGGACTAGGGCCTTAAGTTTGCGGCGTTCTTCCTGTTTAGCCTAGGAGGGGGGAGTAGGTTAGTTAAGCGAGTAGGAGGGGGAGGGACGGGCAAGGAGGGGAAAGGAGGGAGGGAAGACAAGGCTAAAAAAAAACTCACCCTTAAAGCACGCAACTCCTACCCCTTTTATCCCCCTCCCCTTTTATTCCCCTCCCCCGTCCTATTCCCTCCCCCTCCTATTTTATCCCCCTCTAGCATTCGCCGTTGTAACCGTAGTATTAGAAGCATTAGTATTAGTCCTTAAGAGGGTAAACCCTAAATAAGCGCGAGGCGGCTAATAAGATTCCTTGCGGAGTTGGCGGACTAGGGCCTCAAGTTTGCGGCGTTCTTCCTATTTAGCCTAGGAGGGGGGAGTAGGTTAGTTAAGCAAGTAGGAGGGGGAGGGACGGGCAAGGAGGGGAAAGGAGGGAGGGAAGATAAGGCTAAAAAAAAACTCACCCTTAAAGCACGCAACTCCTCCCCCTTTCATCCCCCTCCCCTTTTATTCCCCTCCCCTGTCCTATTCCCTCCCCCTCCTATTTTATCCCCCTCTAGCATTCGCCGTTGTAACCGTAGTATTAGAAGCATTAGTATTAGTCCTTAAGAGGGTAAACCCTAAATAAGCGCGAGGCGGCTAATAAGATTCCTTGCGGAGTTGGCGGACTAGGGCCTCGAGTTTGCGGCGTTCTTCCTGTTCAGCCTGGGAGGGGGGAGTAGGTTAGTCAAGCGAGTGGGAGGGGGAGGGACGGGCAAGGAGGGGAAAAGGAGGGAGGGAAGACGAGGCCAAAAAAAAAACAAAAAAAAAAAAACTCACCCTCAAAGCACGCAACCCCTCGGCCGTCCGATCCCGCATCATCTTCCTAAAATCCTCACGCAACATGCGGATACTAGTCGCCCCCAAATCCAGCTGTCCACCAGCCCCAGCCCCCTGCATCCCCACAGCCCCGGGACTCCTGACCCCCAACATCTTGACCTTCTCATCGCTAAGCTCGCGCTCAAGCCCCTCCTTTTCATCCCGAAGCCTGTCAATCAAAGCCTCGAGCATCTCGCGGTCCTTTTCATTCTGAATCGCGTCCCGCATCAGGGCCTCGTACTCGGCCGCCATGCCGCTGAGTTCGGCCTTGAGCGTGCGTTCGGACTGGCGGGCCTCGGCTTCGGATTGCGAGGCTGCGTCGTGGACTTTGCGTAGGGCTTCCAGTTCGTCGAGGAGGGCTTGGTTCTTTTCTGTGAGCTCGACGAGTTCGCGTTTGATGGCTGGGTCGGCGGCTGAGGCGGCGGCGCGTTGGGCTCGGGTGCCGTAGGCGCCGTCGAGTTCTGCCTTGGCAAAGGTGAGTTCCGTGGTTAGACGGACGATTTCGCCTTCGAGGGCGCGGAACTCTTCTTCCTTGGCGTTGAGGCTGTTGGTTGCGTCCAGGGAGCGGGCTTCGGACGCTTCTTTGGCTGCCGTCATGGCTTGTAGCTGGGCGGTGAGTTGGGCGATGCGCTCAGAGGACTCGGCGAGCTCGGCTTGTATGGCAGCAGCTTCGACGCGGGCGTCGTCTTCGGCTTCGTGGAGCTTGTTTTCCAACGTGTGGGCCTCGTCTTGGACTTCTCGCAGCCTTTGCTCGAGCAGGATGGCGCGTTCTTGGGCGTCGCGCACCTGGGCTTCGTAGGCGGCGCTGCGTTCTTCAACCTCGCGAGACTGCAGGTTGAGTGTCGAACTGCGCTCCTGGTAATCCTCGAGCGCTTGCTCATACGTAGCGGCGCGTTGTTCTGCAGCCTCTGCTTGCTTCTGTAGCGCAACAGCACGCTCTTGCACGTCCTTGAGTTGGGCTTCATATGCAACAGCTCGATCCCTCGACTCCTTGAGCTCGGCTTCAAAAGTCGCAAGACGTTCTCGCATATTGATAAGCTGTGCTTCGAGCCCAGCATTGCGTTCTTGCGTTGCCTGCAGAGCTCTGGCATCGGCTTCCACCTTTGTCTCGTCGAATTGTTGCAACTGGCTCATCGCACGCTCCAACTCATTCTCCATCGTCTTCTTCTCTGATCTTGCACTCAGCACCTGCGTGTTGAGACGCTCAAACTCGGCCTCCCTCTGTGCATCGGACTTGCTGTTTAGCTCGCGTTGTTGCTTGATCTGGCGCATGAGTACCGACTGCTTGTCCTTGAGAGTCGTAGCCCGGCGGAACAACCATTGCACCTTTGCTGAGAAGGCAGGCAGGGAGAAGGGCTCGTTGGGTTCGTAATCTTCGTCGGGTGACAGTTGCTCTTCAGCATCAGAATCTTCCGCAAGCAGACGCCGACGTTCGCGCTTCCTTTCGCGCGCTTCCTCCTCGCCAGTCAAGATGGTATTCCACAAGCCTGTCAATGTCGACTCGTACTTTTCAGCCTTTTCAGCCATTTCCGGGTCTTCAGCACCACCAGTCGCGTTTTTCAATTCCTCAATCTCGCCATTCATGGCGTGTTGCATCTGCTCCAGATTGTAAATCGTGTCTTCCATGTAATTCAGCTGCTCGCTCGAGCCGCCACCGGTGATGGCAGGTGGAGGCTGGATCTTGTCGGCGTCTTGGGTTCTGCATCGGCTCAAGACAGCATAGAGCTGGTGGTTGATGCCTTCGAGACGGCCTTCCACTTCGGCCAAGGAGTGTTTGGACTTGCTCGACATGTTCGCCTGTTCAGCACTGATATTGCGCAGTCCCTGATCGAGAAAGTCCAGCTGGCTTTCCAAAGTGGCAGCATCTGGTGTTCCCTCTAGCGCCAGAGGTGGCAACGCGTACTCGCCGTCTCTTTCCGGATTGGCTTGTATGATGAGCGCTCTCAGCTTCTCATTCATTTCCTGCAAACGCTTCGCAGCTGTGGCCAGCGCTTGGCTCGGACGGGCATCGCTATCAGACCGGTGGTGGGTTCCGTTTTGCAACACAGTCATGAGGGTATCCAGATTTTCGGGCGACCTGTAGTAGCTCCTCTCGTCGAATTCACCCACGCCTCGCGCTCCATTGGGGCGGCCCATGTCGTAGCCATTCAGGCTCGCGGGGCTATCTGGCCGTCCAAACCGATCCTCCAGATCCCCGTCACCATGGACCTTTCGTGGGCTTTTGTGTGTAAGCTGCAGGACGGCAGCGGTGTGCATGAGTAATTGCATGTCGATCATGCGCATGCGGGACTCGATCTGCAAAAGGTCGCGAATATACTCCTCGACCTTTTTGTTGCTGGCGTCCATGTCTTGATGCGCCTTGGCGTCCTCTTCGGGCACCGAGCTGGCGCTCTTGTTGCTCGCCGCGCGCCTGTGTCCCGCTCCAGCAAGGCGATGCAGCGAGCGCGTCGCATCGCGTATCTTTGTCTCGGCCTCGAGCTTCTTTCTCACCGTAGTCAGGCGCGCGTCGAGAGTCCTCTGCTCCTGCTTCAGCGTGTCCACCTCCTCGACGGTCAGAATGTCAAAGTGCTGGCTGTCGCCCATGGCCGTCTCGAGCAACAGGTGCATGGCCACGGGGTCGGTGAGGAGGGCATCTGAACTGCGCTTCCGCGAGTCGCGGGGAGTGTATTCGCCGTTGCTGCGCACCGTCTGCCGGCGGCCGTCTGCGAATACGTCGGCGGGAGGGAGGAAGGCGCTTGCGCCAAAGCGTGGCGAGATCTGGTAAGCCATGGGGAAGAAGCTCGGCGAAGGGGCGTTCACACCGGATGGGTAGTTGGATGAGGGCGAAGGGAAGTCGTATGGCAGACGCGGGCTGAGGGCGACGTCATTGCCGTAGGGATATTGAGTGCGCAAGCCATTGCCCGTCATGTTTGGCTGGAGCGAGCGTCGCGGCGGGAGGGGCAAACTCGAGTCGCGACTGCGTGAGGGTGCGACAATGGTACGGATGGAAAGGGCAGCGGGGGCGTAGGAGAAGAGGATTCGCGCAGCCAGGGCTTTCACCGAGAGCGAAGCATAGCGGGGAGTGGTGTGGTGGTGGTGGTGATGGTGATGGTGGTGGTGGTGGTGATGGTGGTGGTGGTGGTGATGGTGGTGGGTGGTGGTGTGGGTGTGGGTGCAAGCATAACCAGCAGTGACAGTCGACTAGAAGGTGTAATCACGGGGGTTGCAGTGTGAAGCAGAACCAAAGTCACTCAAGGTCCAATAGGAAGAGGCCATCCATCCGAAGCAAAAGGTTTGGCCGGGAAAGATGTCCATGTTGTTGTCATTGTGGTGTCGGGCCCAATGTGCATTCAGGATCCCTAGACAGGCGTAGCGTAAGCCTTTGTCGTCAAGGGGGTCGCACAATCACAATCACAAATCACAGCCACAACCACAATCGTCAATGGGCCCGTCAGCAGCCCCCAGCGCCTCTTGGCAGGTACCGGCGTAGACACCAATCTGTAGGCGGCTCAACGAGTGCTGTACGGAGTAGAGTAGCAAATGATGATTGTCAGTCACCCCATGGCAGGGCCGATGTACACAGTAAGCAAGTGGCCCATGTAGGCACCCTTCCACCCAACCTTGATGTGATGATGGCCGACGACGCTGGTTTTCATGCTCTATAGCAAACACAATGTACGGTCATGTACTTCCATGCTTGGAGACTATCCTGTTTGGTAAAGCGGGGTTATTTATAGCACCATGAGCTATGCCTGTTGTAGCAGTTGTTATTACAGACTGTGCCTGTACATGGTCATCGTCTGTATCGGGATGGGTCGCAGCGATGGTGGGTGGACAGCAAAGTGTGGACACTGTACCTACTGTTACTCGACTGATATCCTGCACGTAGTCTCTGTAAGATGCAATCCATTCATTTTCCTCTCGCTGTCTTCCCTGTACCCTCATCTGGTTGGGTCTACACGTAGATACGGCCAACTTGTGGCGTCCAAGGGTTGCTGAAGGTGCCCATGTGGCTCTGATGGGAAAACCCTTGGCAGATGGACACCTACGGGTACCGGTTACCCCACGCCCCACAAGATGAAGCTTGCTTACACATCATACGTGTATCTAACACATGTAGATGGGTAAGCATCACCCCCAAACGCCGTACAGCTTACCTGGTGGTAGGAGTACCCATGTGTAGTACATGGTACTCCATCTTACAGGGAGGACCAATGTCGAGAGAATAACGTAGGTAGTGGATAACCTAGTCCCAAGTCGACCTGACGTCTACTCAACGACATACATCCAGCTCTTCTATCATTTTGAATTGGATATTGGCAGGCCAGGGTGCCCGAAGATCAACGTACGCGTCCCAGGCAGCCAAATTCTTGCACCGCCGTCCCGCTCCATTGACTTTCCACCGTATACGCCTGCGACGGCCAAGCGCGGATGGTACCGGCTGGTAGAATCTATACTTGGCTTCAAGACTGCTGTACACATCCACATCCACATCAGCAGACCTCTCGTCGTCGACTTGCATCGCGCTACCTTGACCATCAGACCCCCACTTGACATCTATAGCCTTACCCACCGCACCCATCTCCCCAGCCAAAACGCGTCGAAACTTCGAGTCCCAAGCACCATGCCACCGCAACGGCCAACGTATACCAGAGAGCAAATCACGCAGTATTTTGATCGCATCCAATTACCCCAACAAGATCGCAAGTATGACGTCTCCGCACTGGAACCGGCGGATGCATTGACCTACTTGACCACACTGCAGAAATATCAGCTAGCAGCGGTGCCGTTTGAGAATCTAACGCTGCACTACTCGGCCCATCGTCATGTCTCCCTGCACCCCGAGGAGCTCTTCAAAAAGATGGTGACGGACAACAATGGGCGCGGGGGCTACTGCATGGAGAACAATTCGCTGTTTGGCATTGTGCTGCTCAGCCTCGGCTTCACCGTCTACGCGGCAGGTGGCCATGTATGTCAAGGGGATTTTTGGTTGGGTTTGAGTCACATGGTCAATCTGGTCACCATTGGAAACAGGAAGTACCAGGTCGACGTCGGGGTCGGTCCGTACGGACCCATTGAGCCCCTGCCGTTGGAGCGCCCTGGTGGTGGCATCTACAGGCACATTTCCCCGGCTTCTGTTCGACTTCAATGGCGCAGTCTGTCGGCGAATTCGGACCCCGAGCAGCGCTACTGGGTCTATGAGATTCGCAACGACGAGCAGAGTGAGTGGGGAGCCTTCAAGTACGCCTTTACCGAAATGGAGTTTTTCCCGCAGGACTTTGCGATTATGAATGCGTTCCCGAGTACCAGTCCTCGGGCTTGGTTTACCAAGGTTGTTGTGGCGTCCAAGGCCATCCTGGATGAGAGGGGAGAGCTGGCGGGGAGAGTGAATATCAATGGAAACAGTCTCAAGATCAGGATGGGTGCACATGTCACAGAGAAGCTCCACTTCGAGACCGAGCAAGACAGATTGGATGCTTTGGAAAAGTATTTTGGCATCAGATTTGGGGCAGCGGAGCGAGACGGCATCCGTCAACTTGTGTCTGAGATTGTGTAGAAATTTCGACAGTTTTGTGGCGAGCAAAGGCGAGGCCATTGACCGTCGACTACCCCATGTGAATGCATTGTGCCATTTGACTTCTTCCGCCCTGTACAGTGCCTTGTCTTTAAAAGAACCGTTTTTCGCACTGTCACTGTCAGCATTGCTCTCAAGTCGCCACGACTGTCATGCCTACCCTCCATGGATTGTTGACCTCGAAGCCTGCCGGTGCGTCCGGCTTGTCTGTCTGTCCTCGCATGAAGCCCGTCAATCGGCGGTCGCGTTCCATCACTGCAAAGTCTGGTGAGCATGTCGCATGGGCGGAGGTAATGCAGTCATGCATGTATTATGGAAGCGGTCGTACTTTGCTAGGTGTCGTCGCATTGCGGTTAGCCACGTCCTCGGTCATTGTGCGATAAGGATGGCAAGTCGACTCACCTGGTCCCACGCATCGATCCCCCTCCTGGCCCTCTTTCCACCATTCTGCATCTCCCGCAGTTTCCCAACAGACACGGCGGAGAAAGCGAAGAACTGCAGCGCCGCCGGTTAGCATCCATTATGCGCGGTCAATTGGGGAGGGGAGGCCAGTGGGGGGGCGGAGGAGAGGGGATGTCGCATACGCCGGTCATGATGGCATAAGGGATCAGAGCCTCGAAAGGGACAGGCATGGTGGTAGTCGTGTCCACAGTAGTCTGGCGGGGTGTGGGCAGTGGTGGCAGTGGTGGCAGCAGTGGTGGTGGTGGTGGTGGTGGTGGTGGTGGTGGTGGTGGTGTTGCGGGCGGGCGAAGTTGGTTGGATTGGTGAAGGGTCGACTTCTGGTGGTCAGGACAAGCTTGAGGTTGAGCCCTGTCTCGTCTCGCGAGCATGGGCCCTCTCCCCTCGACTTCACGCATCGGGTGCAGTAGGCTTTGGACGTCTGCCATTCTTCGCCCACGCCCTCTGTCGACGAGCCTCAATTATTCCATGTGTCGCTTGGCCCTGCCCTTTCCGACGACCCGCGCATTAGGATAGCTGCAAGCCCAGGGCGGCCAGAACAATTCACCGTCGTCGCTACAGGCCACCTCGACCTCGGCCACGGCAACCAAGAAACGCGACTGCAATCCCGTCGCACCTCGAATCAGGGTGTCCTGACACATTCTTCACATCGCATAACTACTCCACGATCCTACTTTCATAATCAAGACGCGGGTGGACGACATCCCCCTTCGCCACGACGCGCCACAACACACGCTCGACGCGCGCACCCGACGCTGCATACAAACACCGCCCCCCGACCCTCTCACCTACATGTGCGCATCCCACTGCCACAGGCCTGATACCCATCCCGAGCTGCAACACTGGCTTATTTTGCCTCCAAATTGGCGGCCGTTGTGTCCTTTGCGATGGCTGAGCCCGGTCGGCTCATGGGCCAAACCACCAGCAACCCCGGGCCCGAGGACATGGACGCGGATGGAGAGTATGAGATGGATCATGTTGAGTACGGCCAGGCTCATGCCGAAGAAGAAGGAGAAGAACACCACCACCACCACACAGATGCAGAAGGCCATACAACAGATGCAGAAGGCTCGGACATAGATGCTGAGGGGGAAGAAGTAGACGAGGACGAGGATGAAGCTGAACCTGTAGGCGCCGTCAAGATAGCCCAACGGAGGACCCACTCATCGGATGGAGAGGTGGAATACGAAGACGACGATGCGCCTGGAGAGCTCTTGTCCGACGCACCTAGCCACGAGAGTGATGATGACGATTCGAGCAGCGCCGAGTCCGAGGAAGAAAATCAATGGCAAGCCGAAGACGACGGTGGTGAGGAAGACGAAGTTGCAAAGTCCAACCCAAATGCCTGCACGTCAGTATTCTCCACCAAACCTAAAACCCCGGCAAAAACAAACGACTGATTTCGCACTAGATACTGTAATCAAGACGAAAATGACGACCCCAGCCCTGAATTTGAAGAGTATCTTGCGTGCGTTGTGTGTGGAGACAATGGTAAGTCCATCGCGAGGATGCATTATGAAGCTAGCCGCTGACACAAAGGTTCTGCAGCACACCAGCAATGCGCACGTGACAATCACACGCTGGGTCCCGACGACGGTACGTCCGCTTGCCAGAGAGCAAACAAGACACTGGCTAACAAGGGAAAGATGCAAAACAGTGGCGCTGCACTGCCTGTATTCAGAATGACCTCCATGCAAACGGCGATGCCGAGCAGGAGCCAGAGCAGCCTTATACGCGTCGCCGACTATCCTCCGGTAACAAGCTAACCAAAGAACTGCTGCCTTCATATCGCGGTGTGGATCCGGGTGGTCATTCAATATTCAAAGAGCTGTTGCTCCCAGACGAACCTACCGACGGACCACGATCGCTGCGCAAGCGCAAAAACTCACACGAGGAAGAACCTCTACCGCTGAGACAGACTAGGAAGAAGCGACGGTCCTCTGAACTCTCCCCTTCGGCAGTGCAGCCCTCAGTCGCTGCCTCATCACCTCGGCCATCCTCAAGAGGTGTGCGCGCTGCTAATAGTACCATGAACGGCCACGAGAGCGAAAGCAAAGAGGATGCAGCACACTCGGGCTCTGATCAAGAGGGTGCTCGACTTCGATCATCGCGTGCTCGCCGCGGTCAACCTAAGAGGAGCGACAAGCGGCCACTGGCGTGGATAGAAGAACAGCAGGGGCTGAGTCTGATCATGGCCTTTCATCTCAACAACGAGAAAGTCCAGAAAATTGTAACTGCAAAGCCCAGGAAGAAAACCCTCACAGTCGAGCAAGAGCGGCAAGAGCGGCGACGAGAGAGGGACCGAGAGCGTCGAGAACGCAATCGCCGAGCGGCACAGGCAGCGAGAGAATCACCAGAAATCTCACATTATCCCGCCATACAGGTACAGGCCTCACCCTTCCATGGCTTCATCGACCGCGAGCCCGACGAGACGAAGAGCAAGCCTTATGGAGGCGTGCTCTCAGAAGCAGACGCCGACACCTCAAAAACCTATCCTTCCCAAAGCGATCGAAGACGGTTCGAAGATGCACGCACCAAGGCCGAGGAAGCCTGGATTGAGAAGCAGGCTGCGCTCTATCCTCCAGAGCCATCACGCCCGTCCAAGCAAGCGGCTACTGCGAGCAAAATCAAATGTGTTAATTTTGGTGGATGGGAAATCGATACATGGCACGCGGCACCCTACCCGGAGGAGTACAGCAAGAACAGAGTGCTCTACATTTGTGAATTCTGCCTAAAGTACATGAACTCTGACTATGTAGCGTGGCGACACAAGGTACGTCTTGAGCTCATGCCGTGTGTATCGTGCTAATCCACAGCAGCTCAAATGCCCTGCAAAGCACCCTCCAGGCGACGAAATCTACCGCGACCGCAAGTACTCCTTCTTCGAAGTCGATGGACGAAAGAATCCCGTCTACTGCCAGAATCTCTGTCTCCTCGCTAAACTCTTCCTCGGCTCCAAGACGCTGTACTACGATGTGGAGCCCTTTCTTTTCTATGTGATGACGGAGAATGACGAGTACGGCTGCCATTTTGTAGGCTACTTCTCCAAGGAAAAGCGACCCAGTTCCCTCAACAACGTCTCCTGTATCCTTGTGCTTCCTATACATATGCGCAAGGGCTACGGGCAGTATCTCATTGAGTTCTCCTACCTGCTCACCCGTGTGGAGAAGAAGACGGGCAGTCCTGAGAAGCCACTCAGTGACATGGGCCTCGTCAGTTATCGCAAGTACTGGCGCCTGGTTCTGTGTGAAGAGCTGCTGGCTCAGCATGGGAACGTGAGCAACATTAGCATTTCGAGCCTCTCCGAGCGTACTGGCATGACACCGGATGACATTGTGTCTGCTCTGGAAGGCATGCGAGCCCTTGTTCGTGACCCTGTCACCAAGAGCTATGCGTTCCGGTTGGACATTCCCTACTTCAAGCAATACATTGAGAAATGTAATGCCGCTGGCAACCAGAAAATCAACCCGGACTGCCTGGTCTGGACGCCCTATGTCATGGGTCGGCTCGGCCAATACGAAGACGGTCCTGCCCTCCAGACTGTCCAACAGCGCGACGAAGTCGAAGAGCAAGACAAGCCGGCCCCAGAGGAAGGCGTCCAAATAGCCTCAACCGCCAAATCCAAAGGAAAAGAAAAGGCTAGATCCAACAACACAGACCACACCTCCCCGACCCCTCCTACCCTCTCACTCGAAACCTCCCTCAACGGTGCCGCCACACCGCCAGCCCCAAACACCCCCTTGGCAAATGGCTCCACAATCGCCCTTGCAGGCAGCTCCCACACCCCAACCAGCAACGACCCCGCCCTCGCCATCCCCCCCTCCCGCTACGAAATCTTCCCCCCGATCCCAGGCCAACCCGCACCAAGGCGTCGACCAGGCCGGCCCTTTGGCTCCCGCCGCCGCACAACAAGCACACCGAATCGGGTGCGCGGGACGCCGTCACTGGCTGGGACTGGGGCTGGCCATCAGACTGTGCAGCCCGTGTCGCGCATCCGACTTACGCCTAGGGGTGGAGCTGGGAATAATGCAAATGGCAATGGCAAGGCGTCACCCACAATGGGGACGCGGAATGCGCCTCTTGCAGCTGCAGGGACGCCCGTGAGAGGCTCGTTACGCAGGACGAGGAGTCGGCTGGGTGAAAGCGTGACAAATGGGGAGGAGGCTGGTGCTGGTGCTGCTGGTGCTGGTGCTGGGGACGAAGGCGGTGCGGTCAAAGCGCCTGGGGCCGGTTTCGCGAGTGCGGCTGGTGCGGCTGCAGGGCGGCGAAGTATGAGGAGCAGTGCCAGTTCGTTGGGGAGTCCGAGGGATAGAGCGAGAGTCAGTGTCGTGATTGGCAAGGCGAGGGGTGCGGGTGCGGGTACGGGTATTGAAAAAGGAAATACCCGCGCTGCTGCTGCTATGACGGCAACTGCGCATACTAATAACAATCATCATATCGGCAACCATGTCCCATCAAACGAACACCACGACCACGACCACGACCACGACCACAACCGCGACGGCGAGCCCGAGGACGATGAAGACGATGATGTCGATGCAGAGTACGATGAGGAGGAAGATGATCACTTTCCTGCACACTCGCACTCTCAAACTCAAAATCAACATCTCGCCCACGCCCACGCTCACAACGCACTCGATACCCATGCACACGCAGATGAGGACGAGGACGACGATATGGATATCGATGCTGAAGGCGAGGAGGACGATGATGTTGTTATGGCTGGGTAGGGGGCTGGGGTTGGCGTTGGGACATGTTGTCTTGTTTTCCCTTGTTCTTTGTTGCTTCACTTTACTTTACTTTACTTTACTTTACTTCACCTTCTCTCTCTCTCTCCCTCTTCTTCCTTTTCTGCAGCGATGAGTGGATGCGCGTGGAGTTGTTCGTGTACGGTTTAATACGGTCTCGCTGGTTTAGCCACGGTAGGGTATGCATGGTATCCTGGGTTTTCTTTTCTGCTCGGACTTGAATGTGTTTTTTGGTTTGGGGGAGGGCGATTGCTGATTGGAGAATGGGCGATTGGCGATTGGCGAAGCGGGAATTATATGGAATGTTATCAGGTAGCATGCATACATCCTGTACAGCTTTCTTTTTTTTTCGGGCGTGGGGTGGTGCGCTGCTCTGCTCTGCTCTGCTCTGCTCTGCTCTGCTCTGCTCTGCTCTGCTCTGCTCTGCTCTGCTCTGCTCTGCTCTGCTCTGCTCTGCTCTGCTCTGCTCTGCTCTGCTGTACTGTACTGTGCTGTCGTCGGGCCATTCATCTCAACCTTAAACTTAAACACCTTTTCAGCCACCGAGTTTCGGGTTTCGGATTCGCAGTCCTTTTGGAAGCAGCAATGTTGAGGATTCTTACGGCTTGTTTTGCTAGACTTGCAGTTTGTGGGAGTTTTAGGAGTGTTGGGGGGTAGGGATTTAGCTTGTCTGGGGGTTGGAGGGGGTTTTTTGGGGAGTGGTGTTTTGCTTGTGGTTCTGGTGGTGGTTTAGGTGTTGGAGGGAGATGGGGAGTTGGGTTTGGAGTTGAGGTTTTTGAGGGGTGGGGATGGAGAATGTTTACAATCTTTGGTTTCTGACTACTCGTCTTGGATCCTGGTCTTCTTTTCCTCATGAGTATTTTTCTGTTGTGTTGTGTGCTGTTTGTATGCTGTTGCTATTTTGGAGGGAAGGGGAGGGAGGGGGTGGTTGGTTTGGGTAGGGAGATTGGTTTGAGGAGAGGGATGGCCTTGGGAGAAAGATTGGTTTGTGAGAAAGATAGAGCAGAGGAGCACCAACCACAGTCGCGTATAAATTGCTAAAGTTGCGGGCATTCAATCTATCGCAGTGATAATCCTACCAAGTCCACCTTTTGCATTCCATGTCATCTAAAAGACAAGCATACATCGTCCTACTTAAGCCGCACTCATACTATTGCAGACTTTGCACTATAGCTTGCGCTTGGCATACTGTCCTCCAGTTGTATTTTGTACAAGTTCAACGCAGGGCCACTGCCTTCTCGAGAAGTCAAATCTCCTATATCCTCCCCGGAGTCATCCCCATCATTGGCATCGTATTCCAAATCCATATAGTGCCAGACCCAATACGAGCAAAAAACGAATGCGGTCGCGCCTCCCGCAAAAATGGCGAGATACATGGTCGCAATCTTTGAGCCAGCTGATTAGCCCGACGCTGGAATACAGAGGAAATGATATTTGCACCACTCACATTGTGACCATCACCCCACGCACTCTTCTCTCGGATAAACGGGGTACACACGAGAATAGTCAGACCGGCGAGGAACGCACACACGGAATAGGACATGAACATCAGCGGACATTGCCAGGCAAACACCATCTTCCTCCGAGGCATAAAGCCGCCCGATTGCGTGCATGTCGACAGTAAGAAGGGCGTGTATCTCCTGACACGTGACTCTTGTAGCGAAACCTTTCCCCGTGCGTTCAAAGGGCCTAATATACTCAAGACGGTGATTTCAGAGGCGGAAAGCAGGATACCCAGAATGGAGAGCATGAGACTGCTATGCCAGAAGCCGTACGTGAGCCAGTATGCGTTGTCAAGTGTTGTCCATGAGAATGCACCTATCACGGCGGCAGCAAGGACGGTGCACTGCAGAAACGTTAGACCGGCGGTTGTTGGATGATGGCGTCTACACTTACGGCGATGGTGATGAATTGTAATTCACTCAACTTGTGCAGTCTCCATGCTGAAATGGCTCGACGCAGGATCTTAGTGTTGGGTTCTGGTTCAGAGGCCAGTCTTGCTATTCTCGCCAATGGATCGCTGGTATTGAAGTGGTAGAGACGGTAGTATGGCAGCGTGGCTAAGCGTACAAACACGTCAGAGGCGATTGCTAGGACTCTCTAGCATACAGCATTAGCCCATTCAAATATCGTAAATTTAACAGGTTTGTCAAATGGGGAGATGAACACGGTCTACCTTTATCATTTGCGAAACATTACGCGCCGCTCGAAGCAACGCCTCGAGACCGCGGAGACGTGGCATTTGAGCTTTGGACGCAACATATATTGGCAGCAGCAGATGCTCAAGCGTGACGCGTACTTCACAAATTGTTAAGCCTAGTAAACTCTGCCATTGTTGAAGCCAAGTACACGTCGAAGGCCCAAGGCAAGATTGGGGGGGCAGTGTGCCTCATGGATGGATGGGAGGCAAGACACGAAAAATAGGGCGGTAACGAGGGGTCATGTGGTGTCCCTTCAGCCTGATGTAAGGCGCATTTCTCACAATTTACAGGCGCATCGTTTAATTGTTTGCTCACAGGCCTCGACTCTGAGACTGCCCCATGGCGGGCTCTGAAGTCGTTTCGCATTAGACGCTGTGCTACAGATTTAGACGTCTGCCTCCTTTTAACACGCATTATGCTTGTTTGATATGTGCATTAGAGAGAGAATATTTACAGCCATGTACAATGGCACCCATCCGCCAAGTTTGGTAACATGTGTGACGACTAAGAATTTTCCTACCAAAAGAAACTGCCACTACCGTAGCCTTTCCTTGGGCGGGTATACCCACATAGAGAAGTCGGGGTCTTGATAGCGGTAGGCATCTTCATGGGGCTGGTGTATTCTTCTCCAATGATCGCAAAACTCTTCGCGAGTTCGGTAGCGAGTTGGGCAATCCTCATGCCTACATTCGAAATGCGAAGCCCCGTTGGCAAACCGGTACCACTTGTCACCATCTCGAGATCGCATGATACGACGTGCCACAAGCTCCTGTGCACACTTCTCAATCATCCTTTGGTTTTCGTTGTCAGATGCCCACTTGTGAAAATGCCGCAATATCTTTTCTAGAGTTTTCCGTCCTCTTAAATGGAGTGGAGTGAGGAAGTCATTGGGCTTCCAATCATCCAGCTCAATGTCAATGCCAGTCTTGCCGTTTAGTCGCCAATAGTGAGGTCTTCCTTCAGCACTCACCATGTCTGCAACGGGGTTAGGATCGGTAGCTGTGTGGAATCCTTCCTTTATCCTGTAAATTATGGACTTTTTCCCGGGATCAGTATCAGCCCTAGCGGTACCAATACTGACAATGGCTCCTACGCCAGTTTTACCATGCATGGCTTCGAGCTCCTTGATACCCAAAGATGTGGGATTATTGTTCGGTCCATATCCCCCATCTGAATAGAAGTATTTCGTTGTTGGGTCATCTGAACCGGTCGTGTACTCCAACTCGGTAAAATACATTGGCGCAGCCGTAGCTGCCCTTGCAACCTGCCATATCCACATATTGTCGGCCTTTCCGAAATTCGTTATCGGGGCTGATCTACCCCCTGATCTGGGGTTGTCATGATCATACGACCTGATAAGACACAGTCGTTTTTCGTTTGTTTCTTTGTTTTGAAGCCGGAGATTGGTTGGCACAAACCTAAACATGGCCATGAGTGCCATTGATGATGAAACAGATTTCTTGTTCAGGTATACTAACATTGAACATGTGCCGGGTATTGTTGGAAACAAAGGCATTGCATCGCCAGGTTGGTTTGCTGCGGGCTTCTCGCCACGACGCCTTGTCACTTCTTCAAACGCCTTCCTTACGCCAGCAGCGTTGTACTTTGGCCAGCGCACAATTCCGATGTTAAGTTGAGATATAAATCTTGGCTTCCCAAATATTTTTTGAGCCATGCTTTTGTATTCAAGTAAGCAATCCTTAACAGTCATTCGAAATCTGCATAGCATGATCGCAATCAAACTACACACCAGAGTGACTGGATCAGTATTGTTCAACCTAGGGTTCGAAAACTTACCTGCCTGTACTTGAACCGCAAATAAGATCGAAATAATGGCAAGGCAAAAATCTTTGTGCATCTAGGCGAGGAGAGCTCTCTTCATCTTCGCGCCTCCGTTCACAGTGCGTGACATGTTCAGGAAATGGTTCAGGATGAAAACTATCGTAGCGAACCTGTCCGGGACTTTGATTACGTTCCTCGCGGCCAATAGCCTCCATGAGCCTCCCCAGAACGAGGAGGGTCCAATATCCTCGAATCCCACCACCATCTGATTGGCGGTTACCACATCTAGGTCAAGAATATTACTCTAGAGGCAAACTTACCTAAGCTCAACAAGTTCCGCTCTTTCCAATTGCCAACCAGACTAGGATAACCAACAGTGGAGAAACCTGTATGAGATTGTAAGAATCCCGGTTCGGGTGCATCCTCGCAGGACGACGATTTGTTCATTGTGATCATCAACTAGTAAAGCGTCTATAATGGAATTGTTTCGAAAATGGGTGGGTAGAAATAATCGATAGGTATATCTTGTCTTGTCAACATCGTTCATGTCGTAATTTATAGCCTGATCGGTTCCCTGGACAGGAAGAGACGCAACGTGTATAGCCTGGGTCCTGCTCAGTCTTGGCTGAATACTACAGAGCATCGATATTACCGCCCACTTCGCGCAATATAAGATCTTGATTCGAGCTCAGACTACATCCACAACTTGAAAGGGTGTGGCGGTTTCGAAAATCAACGGTGGAGTCGCATATCAACCACAGGTAATGGTGCTGGAAGCAGCTATTTGCTGAATTCAGGCTTCGGTGGCGACCTGAACGGCAGGCCACAGAAGCCGACAATCTTTTTGATCTGAAGTTCTTGGGATGGTATTCGTTGAAAAGTAAGCCTTCGGGTTATACTAGTACCGCATGCGTTAGCTGTGATGACTATTCCGGTGAACCGGGGGTTCGACATGTCCTGAGATCGACATGTCCTGAGATTAGTTGCAACATATGTGCAGCTCTCGAAGACCGGACAAGGGAGGTGCAGCTGAGATTAAAGATTAGGTCATGACTAACTGAACAGACAGATAGTGCAGTACACGACAGTGATGAGGTGACTGAGGTGAGTATGACAAGGCTGAGGTCAACCTGACAGCCTGGTAGGCTACTGTAAATTGACAGATCAGCCTAGTGGACTCTGGTCTCTCGACAGGTCGGCGACCAACTCTTCGAATGACATGGTTGCTGCGGCGGTGATTGGCGTAGGACGAATTCTATCCAAATCGTGGGGACTTCAGACGTGCATACAGTGTTACACGACAGCACATGGTCATCCGCATGCTGACTCAATTGCAGGCGTATGCGGCGGCTGTGTCATGGAGTATATAGCCTGCCACTTGTGTGTTGTATCCTGACCTGTCCTAGGAATATCACCGGTAGTTGCAGGCTCCACTGGCCAGAACAGAGCGATTCCACCAGCAACTCCTAGGGACACTTAAGCTAAAAGTGGCCCTTGTAAGATATTTCGTTGCACGGTCATCTTCATCCTGCGATAACAGAATCCACATCTACTTTTTTCGTTCCAGTATGCCACACACAGCGCGGAGGATGCGGCCACAGAGCTCCAAAGTGAAGGGGCAGGACTCTCCTACGCTTAAAAATAAGCCACCCGGAAATTGGGGCCGCCGTGTCGTCGTATACGATCCAGAGCGCGGGGATGCTAATGTACGAAAGGCAAAGGATGTCTGGCATGGTGAGTAGAATCGATCTTGTGGATCGCCAAGCTAACGGTGCCTTCTCTGCAGACGCGGCTCAATACCAATTGTTGAAACTTCCCAAGCGGAGGAAACACGTCTCTCTTTTTGTTGAGGAGAACGACGACACGAAGCTCAAGGTGGGTGAAAGCGAGGATGAGAAAGGAAATGGGAATGCGGATGAACGCCTTTTCGCAACACTGAGCCTTGATCGCCTCAGTCTTGTCAACCTAGTACTGTTCACGTGGGGTCGTCTCTCAACTCTGTACGTCCGTAACGCGTCATAAATTTGCACTGTATCAGTTTAGTCGTTCAAATGTATTTGGAGTTTTGACGGTGCCATTACTCGCTTTTCCCAATCGATGGGTATCAGAATTTTGTCTTAGTCATCAGAGTCGTCGAATCAGCCAACAACCTCCCTCACAATCTGCCAGGCCAAAACAAAAATTACTCGACACTCGCATGGCTCAGTCATAATTTCGCCCTCTCAGAGATTATGTGGATTAAGTTTCCTATATCGGTATAGTAAGTAAGCTGACAGCCGCTGATGATGCGAACTACTGGTCAGAGCGCACGCTTCGCAAGTTAATCTTAATGATCATCCAGGACGTCATCAGTTTACAAAGCGTACCGTGCATACGAATCCTCCTCCCGAGATCTGCATACCCGGTTCATGCTCGATTCCACTAGGCATTGCAATGTAAGCCATGTTGTAATCCTCCCTTCTGCTACCGTATCTTTCCATCCCAACGCCATACTGCCTCACTGGGGTACAATGTAATACATTCCACTTCCTTTATCCAGACAGCCTCCTTTCCTTTTCATTACACACACACAGAGACATTTACACACACAGAGAGACATTTACACACAGAGAGAGACATTTACACCGCAGCGCACAGCACCAGCCTACGCTGACGACGAGGCATACTAACTGAGCAAGCCACTTTACATCACCTACGTCGTGTAAGCCACCTATAGTACCTACGTTGTGTAAGCCGCCACAGTCGGTATATCAATCTCACCCAGAGCCATCCGATCTACAGCCAAGCTACATCACGCGCGCACGTAAGCTTTCGCCGGGAGCAGGTGACAAAATCGCCGCTGCGAACAGTTCGGGTGACGAGCAGGATGATATTTCCGCCTCGGCATACCAATACAACGTACAACACGTACCGGTACGGTACATGCATACCGTCTCCATTCCCGGACCACAACATCAATTAAGCACGCACAAACCATGGCATATGATGTTGAAACAACGAACCTCCATATGCCTCACCGAATACATACATGTCATGAGGAACGCGGTAGAGATCAGCAGGACACTATGTACTGCGCAACACGCCCTCTGCTAGTCCTCATACGGCGTTGGTAATGTAGTAATCGTCGTCGCAGTCGCAATGGCTGGGAGCCGAGCATGGCGCAGCTGCATCTTTCACGCCACAAAACCTGGTCTAGAGTATTTGCTCACCTCAGACATACAGAAACACTGCCCCTCGCCCTTGACACCACCACCCCCAACCCCTCCAACACCCAGCAACCCCCCACCACACCACCACACCACCCTTTTTTACCCCAAGCCAAGTAGCAGGGCGTGTGGTTTTCACGTGAAGGGTGGGTGGGTAGGCTGAGGTTGGTTGGTTGGTTGAGCAGGGTTAGGGGTTAGGGGAGTGATGGATGTTTGTATGGATGGGTGGTGGGAGGGTGTGTCGTGTATTGTGTATTGTGTTGGTTGTTGGGGGCTGGAGATCGTTGGGGAGGGGTTTTGCTGGTGGATTGGGGTGGGGGGTATTGTGCATTCATGACTATATCGTATCATAGACTCGTTGTACATGCGACATGCGACATGCGTCACTCCATCCATCCCTCTCTCCCTCACAAAAAAAGAGAAAAAGAGAATAAAAAAATGGACACAGAAGAAGGAGAAGAAGGAGAAAACAAGAAAAATCCCCCTAACTAAACCAACCATTCACACTCTTCCAATTCACATACTCGGGCCCAATCTTCTTCAAATCCCCAACCCCCAAATTCGCCGCATCATTCGCAATCTCATACTTGAGCACATCAACCGCCTTCTTCACCCCCTCAGCCCCATACACATTCGCAAACATAAACGGCCTCCCGAGCCCGACAGCCCGAACACCGAGCGCCAAAAGCTTCAGCACATCGGTACCATAGCGCACCCCGCCGTCGGCATAGACTTCCACTTCCTTGAACACGGCCGGGTCCTCGTTGAAGATCTCGAGCGCGATTTCGAGCGCAGAGGGCGAGGTGTCGAGTTGGCGGCCGCCGTGGTTGGAGAGGTAAATGGCTTTTGCACCCTGGGTGATTGCTTCGCGGGCGTCTTCGACGGTTTGAATACCCTTTGGGATGATGGGGAGGGATGTCATTGCGGAGAATTGGCGGTACAGATCCCAGGTCAGACGGGTGAATTGGGTGTTTGCGGAGCCGACGCTGTAGCGGGCGGCGCGGTGGCGGATACCGTCGCCGGGGGAGTCGACGGTGAGGATGATTGCTTTTGCGCCGGCGGCTTCGACCTGTTTGAAGAGGGCTTGGGTTTCGTTGAGGCCGCCGTCAAGGTAGACTTGTTGGAAGAGGACTTGCTCGGAGTTGTTGGTTGTTGACCTGGCGGCGTAGATGTCTGCCATGGGTGTGTTGGAGTAGAGGGCGGGCATGTAGAGGATGTCGCCTGCGGCTGCGCCACGGACGAGACCGAGTTCACCGTCTGGGTTGGCGTAGGCGCCGCGGGCACAGGGGGCGATGAAGAAGGGGGCGGAGAATTTGTGGCCTAGAAGGGTGGTGGGGAGTGAGTCTTGGATGTTTACAATGTCGCGCATCACACGGGGCCGGAGACGGAAGCGAGGAAAGACTTCGAGGTTGTTGCGATAGGACCATTCGCCCGCAGCGCCATTGCGGTAGTAGGTGTATGCAGACGTGTTCATGTATTGGCGGGCGCTCCACTGGAAATCTGGCAGGCCGACAAGAGACTCTAGAGGGGGGAGCGTTTTGTTCTGTGCGAAGCCACCGAGTTGCTCGTCGATGCCAGTGTCCGCTTCCTCCAGAAAAGGACGGGCTGCGAGAGCGACGGAAGCAAGTGCAAGCGGGGCAGCGAACCGCATGGTGGGTGTAGTGAGTGAAGAGTATCCGTATCAAGTCCCTTTGAAGACGTTTTGAAGAAAGGCAGAGAGGAAGACCAGAACTGAACTGAACAGAAGCCGTGGACAGAGAAGGAGGAGTTGAACGCTGCGATCAAGAGTCAAGTCAAGCCCCGTCTCCGTAGCTTATAAAGTCCCAAACCAAGGGCCTCGACATGACGTTCACCACACCACGGAAGCACGACCTGAATTCATTCTCGGTTCGAGACTGACAACGGGCAGGGGAGGGAGCACCTTCCCACTGCAGCGCTGTTTTGTTTAGTCTATCCGTTCGCCCAGGCATCGAGCCCAACCTTTTCGTCATCTTACTACGTATCGCCAAGTCACGATGTTGTTGGTTCTGGAATGGCTTGCTGTTTCGGCTGAATTAGTGATGCTGGGCAGAAGTGCTTCATCGGTCCGATCTGGGTCCCGGGCAAGTTTTAGCCTCGTCCAATTGCCTGGCGAAGTACCAAGTCTCCATACAAGTACCAGGCGACGGGGTAAGTAAGAGTCATGGCTGGCATGCCTCAGGTATTCAAAGCCATCAATCGACACATGGGATTGGCACGGAATCCTTGAATACTCGAATATCCGTCTCGTCTTTTTTTTTAGGCATTAGCTACCCTATGTGACCCTGGCAGGCCGGACACAGAAGACGTCGTCGAAACGGCACATGTAAACTGTTTCCTCATGCCTTGCCATGCCTTGTTGGTTCAAACATCACATCCGACATGCCTCGGTTCAGGCCAACCACATGGACTGTTTCATCCAACTATTTCTTCAACTGGCAGCTCCATAGAAAGACGATAGACGATAACATGAGATTAATTGAAGGATTGTCCTGCCGCGGCTCCTGTCATGTCTGTACAGTAAGTACTACCACACCAATGGATGAATGGACCAATGCCCGTTGCCAAGTAGCACGCGAACCAACCTTTTGCCTAGGGCAGAAGCGTGAACCCCGAGATTAGAGTCGAATCCTTCAGAAGCTCACAAAGCCCACGCTGCATCGCGGAATTGAATACACAGCAACCCCAGACGTGCAGCGGCTGTCGGCTCTACCTCGCTGCTACTCTCGTCGGCTGGATAGCCAGATTCAGCCAGAGTGCTGTACAAGACCTTCGCCCTCCAGCACGTTTGGCAGACAAGAATTCCACTTTTCATTGCCCACTCTTCCGACGACAGCTCTACCTACCATACGCACCTTTCTTTTTTGATCCGACACCCGCCGCATGCCTCCCACGTCCGGTCGGCTCCCCGCTTGGAGATGGATGCGGAAGCTGGGGGTGTGATAGATGGCATGTCAAGCACACGTGCTAGCCAGGATGTACTGGTACCACAGTAGTTGGTGTTGGCATATGCAACCTTGAAAGCAGGAACAAAGCATGGTCCCAGTGTGGTGGTACCGGAAGCCCATGGGAAAGACAAATGCTCCGGTCTAGGAAAAGGTCTCTGCTAATCCAAAGGCGAAAGCCCGTCTAATTGCTGCTTGCATGCAAAACACCAACGTCCACCGCCACATGTGTTGTTTCCCTTAGAGCCCCAATTTGAAGCCTCCCGTACAGCCCGTCTGAAACAAGCCGTCGGGGTCCACTGTGCGACTGACATGCTGCAGGAAAATCTTGTTGTGCCTTGCATATCCCGCAAGAGGGTCTTGCCAGCTCGCGCAGTAATTGAGATGGCGATACGGGTGGCTTGTCCCATGTTCATTAGCAAATCCATCAATCTGCTCAACGGCTCGCCGGGTCCTCGAGTGCACAAACTCGTCGTCGTCGGCCACGGCCCAATTGACAGTAAAGCTAACAAGCACAAGCGGCTCATCATCCGCCATGGACTCGAGACCAAGCACATTGGGGTCGCCCGTGCGCGCCCAGTCGGAGACAAGAGGCTGCAAGCCCAGGGTCCAGGAGAGTTTCTTGATGTTTTGCGTGCGGAAGACAAGGATGGTGTCGCGATAAACTTTGTGCACTGCCTCTAGTGTCGCCGCATCGTTCTTGACGGTCGTCGTGGCGAATTCTTGACGCCGACCAGGTGGGTTGAGCACGCTCATCTCGTCTGTTGCGCTTGTTACAGTGCGCACAGTGCAGGTGCTCCAGAACCGCTGGAGCTTGGAAAAGCCGGATGCTTGCCAGCATGCGGGCCAAGTCTTGCCTTCAGGTGGATTGGTATGGGCAAGGTTGACGGCGATGGCCTGTATGCCCAGTTGCTGGAGGTAGGTAAAGCCAACCAAGGGGCCGGCAGCATTCTCATCCAGCGCCGGTTCATCAGCACTCTGAACACTCTTGTTCACATGGTCATAAAAGGCCGCAAGAACCTTTTGCGCTTGCCATGACGGTAGATAGAGAAAGCCGGTCCAGATGTGTTTGCAAGGAAAGCTACGCGCTACAAAGCGCGTCACAATACCAAAGTTATTCGACCCGCCCTTGAGCGCACGCCAGAGATCCGGGTTCCTCGTTGCAGAAGCCGTGGTAATCGTGCCATCCGCAAGCACGAGCTCGTACTCGATCATGTTGGAGCAGACGAAACCAAAGCGTGGTGAAAAAAAGGATAATCCTCCGCCCAGCGTCAGGCCAGCTACGCCGACGGCAGAATTACGACCACCGGCAACTGCAATGGCTTTGTCGTCTAGAACCTTGTACACATCAATCCATTTACATCCCGCTCCAATCGCCACCGTCTTCCCGTCCTGCGCTGGCGCAACTTCCTTCAACAGCGCAAGATCAATAAGCACACCACCGTCGACACTCGATGCTCCGACAACCGGAGAATGACCCCCAGCCCTCACTGCAAACAGCGGTGTTCCAACCCTCTCCTTGTCGTCATCTTCCTTCTCCCGCAGATCAAACTCACGCCTCAACACCTTCACCACCTTTGCCAACTCCCACACATTTCTTGGCTGCACAACACACGACGGAACAACTTCGCAAGCCTTCTGATCCCAATACGCATTCACCGCGCCCTCAAACGCAACACGCGTCTCCGGTGTGATGACGATATGCGGAAGGGCAGCGACCAGTTTCGATCTCAACAGCCGTGCAGGCTTCGATGCACTGTCTGTGATGCGACCGCCTGGCTTCTCCGCTTCGGCATCCTGTTGGATTTGCGATGTATGAGCGCGAATGCGGTTCCGGATGTATACATAGGTTAGGAGAATGGCGATGCATGTTATCGAGACTGTAGAGAAGCCCATGGTCGGGTGGTGTGTATGTGGGGGTTGAGGGGAGGGGGCGCGTTAGGGGTAGACGATCATTGTCTTGCTTCTAGTGCTGTTCCATCCTGCTCTCGGGACGTGGTAGAATGCTAATCAAGGGGGTGAATGGGTAATCAGATGCAAGGTGTGAAGAAACTGACAAGCATCTTAGACGACTCAGCTGGCCAAGTCTGCTCAATGACGTAATTAGGCACGACAGGCATTTTCCTCGCCCCCCTGTATGTCAACATGCAAGACAAGAATAGGGGAAATATCTGGGTATTGATGCATGTATATCATTGTCAAGGATATTTATCTGCCATGTACGCCGTCACCTATTCATCATCACGTCTCACGCTTTTTACAGTCACAAACAGGTTTTACCTCATCCCATCCCTAGCCACCTTACTCGAGGCCAACGCTAATAGCAGCCAATGCCCAATCAAAGAAACCCGCACACGTATCCAGGATGTTCTGGTTGAACTCTGTCAGCGTGGGGTAGAAGTTTGTCGAGTAGCCGAATTCCCTGGGTAGACAAAGTGTTAGCATTTCATTCATTCATCATTGACTCTGGCGAAATACAACTGAGCCCAAAAGAAAAAAGACGACTTACATGGTGAAACCATGGACCTTGTTGGCACCGCTGATGGCGTAGACTCGGCTGGCGGCATAGTCGTCACTGGCTCCGGAAGTGGCGTACAGGCCGGCAGACTGGATGGAAGAATACCTACGACCGCCAACCGCGGCCATGCCAGCTGCGGTCCTCGAAGCAACGCTCCTGATGTTGTTGGCGTCGGTGGCCGGGAGGTACTCTCTGTATGCGGTGTCACCGAGAACACCGCGTCTGCCGTCGTAGGCGGGGTTGAGGAAGTTCATGGTCGGGGTGGTGGTCTGGAGCTCGTCACTGCCCCAATTGTACAGAATCTCGCCAATGGCCGAGTGGATGTCCATGAACCAGCGAATCTTGGGAAAGGACGAGTAGACCGAGACGTGGTTCTTGGTCTCTGCCTCGGAAGCCGGGGCGGTGCCGTAAAAGGCCTCGGAGCTTGGTGACGAGGAAGCAGGCGCTTCGCTGGGGGCAAAGTATCGCCTAAAGTTCCATAAAAAGTCAAAGTTGCGGTTGATGTCTACACCGATGGAGGTTCCACTGGACCCGGATCGTGTGTTCCTGTTCTTGCGCCAGAACGAGTTGGACGATTGGTCGTAGGCAACACCGTCGGGGTTGACGAGCGGGAAGACGACGATGCCGGCCGCAAGAACAGACTTGACCTGGGCATTCGTGTAGGTCTTGCGGCCATAGGTCAGACCCGTGTTGGCCTTGTTGGCCGCCAGCAAATCGGCAATGAAGTAGAGAATCTGGTCAGGGCCTCCGCGCTCACGAGCGTGCATGCCCGCACTGAAGTAGAGGTGGTACTTGGACTTGTCTGTGCCTGCGCCCACGTAGATGAGGGTCGAGGTTTGGCCCTGGAAGGACCTGTTCGGGAGCGCGAGGGTGTTGGCACCATACGCGGTTGCAAGGCCCCTGATAGCCGAGTTGATTTCATTCACATTCATAAGGCTGCTGATAGTCGAGCCCGCAGGCTTGGTTCCCAGGCCAGACGGTGCCACGGCGCCACCCTGGAAACGGTCTCCCGTGCCGATGGGGGCGGCATCGGCTCGCTTGACGATTTCCTCACGGTGGATGGTGAATTCGGGGTCGGATTCAAACTCCTTGGTCAGGTGGAGGATTTGCTGCTCGGTGAGCAGGGCATTGAGCTTGAACCTGCCATCGTCGGTGGGGATGGCCACTGGCCGACAGCCAAAGTCGTAGGTGTCGTTGCGCACGACATCAAGAAAGTGTGCTGCTGTGGGTGCCTTCATATGAACAGGCAAGAGGTTGCCGAGCACAACAGTGCTCTGCAGAATCAATGAGGCAGCAAGAGAGTACTTCATGATGACGGCGGCGACAGCAACAGCAGGCAGGGGAAAGGGAGGATGAAGAACGAAAGGGAATCAAAGGGGATGAGTTGCCTACCCAGGTTGCTGCTGGACTATAAGAAGAAGAAGAAGAAGCAGCAGCAGCAGCAGCAGCCGCCGTAGCAGCGAGAGGGCCCCTTTCATACCTCGGACCCTCCACAAGCATTCCAGTCGTACAATCGACCTTCTCTTAGGAGGTTGGGCGGGTGATATCCCAGTTGCACCCATGTATGCCTATACGGACGCATACTCGGCTCCCATTGGGTCCATTGGCGAATTGCACGAGGCGCTAACAAGATGGCCTTCCCCTTTGGTACTACATCCGTTCCCAGCTTTGCGACTTGGTTTGATCCACCTGCCCCGATGGTCCTTGGTTCCTTGTCGGATGCTTGTCGGCATGGGCCATCCTGCATCTGTGTGTACTATACAAGAACGCTAAGCAGCGAGATAAGATAGATTAACGAAAAGCTGGACTTGAGCAGGTCCCCCCCATATTTGTTGCGAGTCGCAGTGTCCGTGGTCTTGCCACTCTCTTCCGAACATCCTTATCGAGACTGTTGACCGCTGTAGTATACGAAGACTGGGGCTGGGGGCTGGGGGTTGCAAGGGACATTGTAAATGCAGGCTTGAAATAGGCATGTATGGATGTATGGATGTATACATGTATGAATGTATGAATGTATGAATGTATGAATGTATGAATGTATGAATGTATACATGTATGAATGTATGAATGTATACATGTATGAATGTATAAATGTATGAATGTATAAATGTATACACGTATACATGTACTGGGCCTATTATATACACACAGTAATCAGTACACAATAAACACTTCCTCCCTCATCCCAAGACATCCCAACCCCCCACCAATCCAGCAAGTTCTACACATGCAATAGCATATAAATAGCCAAGTCACTTGGCACCCTACCCCCCCCCCCCCCCCACCATTCCATTTATCACAAACAGCGCCGCATCCATCGACATCTAGAAAACCAAACTCTGCATCCCGTTAGTACCGTACAATGGACAAACTACAAGAACAATTCTCTAAAACACGCACCAAGCAAACACCCATCCACTGCCTCGTACCCTGCATCCCAGCTACCTGTCCTGTCTACCCACTCCACTGTAGAGTAGGTGCAGACAAAGTACCTACTGCACGTGCTCGGGGCTCCAGCGGAGGTATTTGCACAAAGTGGAGGCCCGGTCCGCGGTGACGGTCGGTCCCGTTACCGGTACGGAACCCGCGTTGGCGAGACAAAAAGTGGCCGGTGACACGTGCGACGCACGTTTGCATGGACGGTGAACAAAGGTCCCAAGGTGCCGATTCATATGTACTGTGGCATTGGCAGCAGTAGGTACAAGGTACACGATCCAACGCTAGCACCTCTTGGCTTTGGGGGCGGTAGAGGGAGTCAAAATACATGCAGAGAAATACAACATCTAGTGGGAGGGAACTTCGAAACCATCTTCTTTGTAACAACTACAGTACCACCACCCTATTCTGCTACCCAAACAGCAGCCATGCCCATGCCAGTCCCAATACACATGCTCGTCACCCCGACCTTCTCCCCCCTCCTCTTCAACTCCGTCAACAGCGTGCTCACCTGTCTCGCCCCCGTCACCCCCAACGGATGCCCAAACGCAATCGCGCCACCCTTTGGATTAATCTTCTCCTGCTCGATGCCCAGCTCATTGATGCAGTAGAGACATTGACTCGCAAATGCCTCGTTGATTTCAAAAATATCAACGTCCGCCTTTGACAGGCCCGTCTTCTCGAGCACGACGGGGATGGCGGCGGCGGGGCCCACGCCCATGAGCAGAGGTGGGACGCCGACGATCGAGGCCTGGACAAACTTGCCGATGATGGGTTGGCCGAGGCGGCGGGCTGTGCTGCGCTTCATGAGGAGGACGGCGGCAGCGCCATCCGAGATTTGCGAGGCGTTGCCCGCGTGAATGGAGCCGTCTTTGCTGAAGGCGGGGCGGATCTTGGAGAGGGATTCTGCGGTGATGTTGGGGCGGATGCCGTCGTCTTGGGAGACGGTGATTGTTTTTGTTTCGTCAGTCTTGGGGTCTGTCCATTTGACGGTCAGGGGAGCGATTTCCTCGTCAAAGAGGCCTTGCTTTTGCGCCGCGACCGCCTTTTGGAAGGATGAGGCGGCAAACTTGTCCTGCTCGGAGCGGGGAATGCCTTTGGCCTTTGCCATTTGCTCCGAGAGCACGCCCATGGGGACCTTGCAGTTCTTGGCCTCGGGATGCGAGTCGAGCAGTTCGCTGAACTCGCTCACTGCGTTGGGGCCGTACTGTGTCGACATGCTTTCTGCGCCAGCACCGATGCCGACCTCGATCATGCCGCTCTTGATGGCGTTGGCAATGTCGACACAGGCTTGGAGACCGCTCGAGCATTGTCGGTTCAACGACTTGACGGCGGTGGTGACGGGGAAGCCGGCGGCGAGGGCAGCAGCGCGGAATTCCGTAGCGCCTCCGCCTGGGGCGAGGACAGCGCCGACAGCAATGTCTTCGACGAGGCTGGGGTCGATGCCGGATCGCTGGATGAGGGCTTTGAAGGCGCCGTGAAGGAGATCCGAGGCCTGCGTGTCTTTGAAACCACCTTTGCCACCCTTGGTGAAGGGCGTGCGAAGAGCGCAGGTTACGACGACCTGGACACGTCGGTCAACTGAGGCTGTCCAGCAAAAGCGCAGATACTCACATCATCATCATGCTTCTCCAGCATGCCCGCCTTGCCCTTGATGCCAGCACCCGACTTTGCACTGCTTCCGGTCAAATGCGCCTCGACCTGCGTAAGACGCTCTTGGACTGTGTATAGTTCGTCAGCTTCTTCTCCATCCATGCATTCCTTCGTGCCTTCAGCACACATGCATCAGACACCACGCCCACACACATACCTTTACTCGGTGCCTGGTTAGCCATGATATCCACTTCTCTACCACAAGAGTGCAAGCAGAAAGCCAAAACGCAAAAAGTACAGTGATGGAAGAAAGACACAAACAGAGGGCGGCGCTCGAGGTCGACAGCTGATGTACCCACGCCACTAGCCTTTTAACCGAGGCAATTTCCTCTTTTGCACTAGTCTGTCCGGCCCCAGGATGGCTGGGGCTGGCTGTGGGGGGGCGCCATCGTCCTCTTCGGGTTTCACATGCAAGAGAGGGAGAGGCTGTGGGTTGGCGTCGAGTTCACATGTAAGTGGTTTGTGGAGTAAGAGGGTCGGGGGAAATGGGCATGTGAAAGAGGAGGTTGGAGGTGAATGGGATTAGAATGAGCTTTTTGTGGTGCGAGGACAGGACCAGTCAGGAGAATGCATGTGGGATTCAAAGCATCCTAGTGTGCTCGGTGCTCAATCTTGTGAATGCATCCCATTCTTCATCATACTACTTATCCCCAAGCATACCACTCTTCTCGCCCCTCCCTCTCCCTGCAAACGCCTTGCTCAAGTGCATTCACACTTTCGTCATCAACACCCCCAGCCCCTTCATCTGCTGGCACCCTCTCCCTCCTCGTCCTCGTCTCCCCTCGTCCTCGAATCCCGCATCTGCCTCTCCAGCTCATCCGCGATGCTCCCCCGCTGCACCTCCTCGTACCCCGGCGGCGCCTCATTCGGCGGCGCTGGCGCTTGAAACCGGTCTTGCCTGGGAGGACTCCTCTCTACACTCGCATGGCGCACAGCGGGACTCTGGGGCACAGGCGCTGCGAGAACGGGCGGGTCCGGTGCATCCGCTACCGATACTCTCTCGTGGCGGCCGCTGTCCTCGTAGGCTGGCAGGTCATCCAGATGCACGGTGTTCATGTCGAGGGGGGCGGCGGTGCCAGTACGGCTGTCGACGACGTGTGCGCCGGTTTCGCGCGCCACGTCGACGGCTTGTCGCAGGCGCTCCTTGAGCCGCTCAAAGATACTGGCAAAGTCGAAGGCGCCGCCTTCTTTGAACTCCATGACGAGTTCTAGTTCGGCGTGCTGGGGAGGGATACCGCCGCCGGGTACGGGCTGGACGACGGCTTCCCATTTGTTCGCACCGAACCAGGGCGCGGTGACACGGGAGTCTATGACGTTGAGGATGGGGACGGCAAAGGATTGTAGGGTTGGGGTTGGGGAGATGGGGAGGTAGATTAACTGAACGCTCTTGTTAGCCTGGTGTTGATGGTATGCTGGTCATGGCAATATGTGACAGGGAAGACAGAGAGAGAGAGAGGACAGACATACCCGTCGATTGGTAAGATAGATGACACCCGACTTGCATTGCTGTGAATACGACTCAGCAGGCGCATGTCCATGGCTCGTCTGCAGCGAAAGCGTAGTCCGTGGAGGAGACTGATACAACGTTTGTTCGCCCGGTAAAGGTGTATACCCGCCGCTCTCAGCGAGCATAACCCAGCTATTCCGCCCATTAGCCTTGAACTTCTTAACATCCTCCTTTGCGCGACCCATATTTGCAACTGCCCAAAACAACCCCGCCCCCGCAACTCGACTGCTCCAGCAGCGTAAGGGGTGGGCTCTCTCGTGTGCTGCTAGGCCCAGCCAGCCTCACAGACGGCCGTATGCAACCGAAGAGCCCAGTCTAGGCCAGGACTGCATGGAACAGTACGGCGGGACGGGGTAGGGAGATACCTAGTAGTAGCGGGGACAAGGAGTAGGGATAGAAGAGAGAAGGAAATGAAGAAAGGAAAAGGGAATAACACACTTGACACTCATCTTCACAGCCTCCACCTAGTCCAGTCCGGTCAAGCCAACTCGACTCGACTCGACTCGACTCAACTTCCCACCACACTTTTCCTCAATCAACCCCTGTACAATCCAGTATAATAAAAAAGAACCCCACTCTTGCCTCTTGCACAACAAAATGTAAAACAGAAGCGTGAATCCTAGACCAACATCTCAGTCACGCCCAGCACCAGAAATCCCACACACACACACACACACACATACACATACCTTATAGCTACACCCGCTCAGCCAGCTAGCAGAAAATATAGCGTAAAATAGCGTACGGTAGTAGAAAATAGTATAGTGTATCCAGTACGATACGGTATGGATGGGACAGAGTAAGATAAGGCTACAGCCAAAGGGGCAAGCCAAGGCTACGAGGTACACTTAGGTCGGGTAGGCAGGTACTACTACGTACTGTAGTCATGTAGTCATGTATGTAAGTATGCAAAAGCATGAAGGTAGGTAGAGTAAGTACTCCTAGGCCATCCCCTCCCCTTCCCCGCCAAACACCTCGTCACCTCGCTCCCCAAACGCACACGCGCCCCAAGCGCCCGCAAAATAAACGGCCCGATGCTTCCCCCGCACATGCAGACATGCATCACACCAGCAGGCCAGAACACGGCGGACGAAAAAGCATGGGAACAGAGGCAAGGGCTGCGTGTGGTGTAGTGTATATGCTGCAGTGCGGTAGGTACAACAGCGTCTAGCAGCGTGGGTGCGGGGCTGGATGCGGTGAACAGTCAGTCCGTTCCCACCCGTAGGTACCGGTACAGGCAAGTAGTGAGAAGCATGCAAGGTGCAGGAACCAAACCAACCCGAGGTTTGAAGATGATGTTACTGTCAAAAGGGTTTAATCATGGTCATGTCTGGTTTCCACCTACCATGGAGAACCTCTTGTCAAGCCTTCACCTTGACGAAATGAATGCACTGCATGTCCAAGGTGGAAGGACATTGGCATTCTTTTAGAGAGGAGACTTTGAGATGGTGCTTCACTCGACTTCATAACCACCACTCTCCTCGGGCATTGCCACCATCTCAATTCATATTACTACCAAGTGAATAGTAGAAGCCGTCTGAAAAGAGTTGCATCTCGGATCATCCCAATGAACCCCCCTCTCTCAAACCAAAAAAAAAAACATCACCCCCCCCCCCCCAACCCATCACGACCGCTCCTCCCTCTCCGTCACCGTCCACCGCCTCTTCGGCCCCCGCCCATGCTCATAAACATCGTCCAACCTCGGCGGTCCCCAAAGCCCCTGTCCTGCTTTTGGCTGCGCCGCCTTCGCGCCCCAAAGACCCAGTCCTGCAGAGGCCGACGCTGTCGCAGCGGAGCCAGACTTGCGATCCTGAGCCTTGACGAGCGGCGCAATCATATCACCCGTCTCCCGCTCTTCCTTGTCGTCCATCTTGGTCTGCGGGTCGAGCGTGTCGGTGGAGCCGTCGAGGTTGGGTGGAGTACTGGCTGCATTTTCTGCTGATCTGGGTTTGGGTTTGGGCTGGTGTTGATGGTAGCCGCTTAGGAAGTCGGCGCCTGGACTGGCACTTCCATCACTGCCTGTGTCGTGGACCGGGGTGCGGGCACCAGACCATAGCCCGGACGGTGACGCAGCTCCACTGGCGGTGGAGAAACTCGAAGTGTACATGGAGCGCGACCCTGTGCTCGTCGTTCGTCGTACGCTGCCGAGCGAACTGTTCCAGCTCCGGTTGGATTCGCCCATGGAGAAGGGCGAGTCGATGGGGCTGTTCGCTGCCGGTAAGCCAGTGAGCCTGCGACGAGAGTCGAGTGATGGATTGGAGACGACGGCTGGTGACTGAGACGGTGGCTGTGCTTGAGGAGGCTTTGCAGGATCAACGCCAGGCCGCAGATGGTCGACGGAGGCAAGCAGCTTCATCTCGTACGTCTCTGCCATGCCAGGGTCTGCAACCGATAGTCGGCGTTCATGCAGGGTAGGTACCGCTGCCTTCATAGGAGTCTCCCTACGCACTGCCATGGACAACGAAGCCAGGCCGACATCGATGAGCACAGGCTGGTTCGACATGGCCCCGAGCAGCGCATTGCAACCTGCGCCATGTGTCACCAAAATCAACACCAGCTCTTCGTCCTCTTCGGCCTCCACGTTGTTGTCTAGCTTGAGAGATGGATCCGCTGCAGGACGCGATGGCGGTGGCGGTGACGGCTTGTTCGACAGGACCTTGAACATGAAGCCTGGAACGTGCTCTTTCGGTGGCTCTGCGCCATGAGCGTGGTACCATTCCATCATGCCAGATATGCCTCTGCGAAATCGCTTGTGCATCGTGCTCCACTCGTCACCGTATTCGCCGCCGTCGCCCCAATCCTGCGGTGGCCGCATACTGTCCCACTGGAAGTCGACCTGGATACAGGCATCTTGTGCATGGGCAACGTACCCGCGCGGTATGGGATCCGAGGGAGTGACCGAGTACGTCGGAGCAGGCGGCTCGTAGGCGCGGCCCGGTGCAGGTACGTGTGCTGCAGGAGACATGGATCCTGCCGCTTCTCTTGACCTTGACCTCTGTAGTGTAAGGGTGCTAGCATCACTGCTTGAGCGCTCTCTGAACGCGGATGCCTGGGCCAGACTCCCTGCGGCAGTACCCATCCCACTGGCTTGCGAGCTTGGCCCTTTGGTGTTGGAGACTGCTGATTTTCCACCCCAGCCACCCGGGAAATGGCCCTTTGTACTATTCGCAGCCATTTCCAGAATTTGGTCTCCTCTGCGCAGCAGGCCTGCTTTTGCACCTGCTACCATCATGGTCGAAGCGGGGGGTGGTGTGATGTCGGCATAGTAGTCTGGCGAGAGCCATTCACCGAGAAAGGCATCTACGCGCAGTAGTATCTTGTCTGGTCCTGCGCGGGGCTTGTACGAGATGTCGAGATTGGGGTCGAAAAGCGGCTGGACACGAGGGGAGCTTGCTCGATCTGTTTTTGATTGCGATGATGAGGTGGTGCTGGCGCTGCCGTTGCCGAGAGGGCTCTTCCTGTCCTTGGACGGTGGCGCGGGGGTCTTGAGTGTGGGCGTGGTGGCAGGCAACGACTCGTATTGCGTGATTCCGGCGGCGATGGCTGTGCTCGTCTGGACGCACCTGAGGAAGGGGCTCGTGTGTATGACAATCTTGCGCTTCTTCTTCTTCTTGTTGGGGCGCTGCTCACCACGGCCTCGACCATGCTCGGCGGGGCATATGTGCAGCTTGTCGAGGCCGAGTTGTGAGGGATCGGTCTTGGTCTTGGCTGCCGCTGTCGCTGCAAGCTCGTGGTCCCGCTGGTAGAGAAGGGCAGCGATACGCTGGCCCAGGGCCTTGCCTTGCATCCAGCCGCCATAGGTCAGGGGAGGGTCGTAGGGGGTTGGGGAAGTGAGGTGCCATGTCTTGTCGGCGGCGTCGAGGCGGGCCCCATGTCTACACGGCATGTGGTGTTAGCCATGCCAGCTCTTGGAAAGCGGAGCCGCGAACATGAGTGGAGAGTGTCGGTACCTGGCTACTACGACTACGGCAGGCCCCTTGGCCATGGCCACTAACTAGTAAGATACGTCGCGATTGGGGTAGAGTACCAATGGGTTTGTTAGGGATACCACTAAGTCATGTAGGTATAGTTGCCGTTGGGTGGGATCTGGCGTGGCTCGGGCGTGTATTGCAGAATAAAGGTCTAGGTCTAGGGAGCATGGGAAGAGAGCAGCCAACCCGGTCTTCTGGAACCACGACTTTGTTTGTCTCTACAGGGTTCTCGCCGAAGCGGTGTTTGTATGTGTGTTGTCAGCCTGTAGGGTAGGTAGGTAGGTAGGTAGCAATCAAGATTGTCATGCTGGGAAGACCCAAGGGCGACCGCGCAGAAGCTAGGACACTCAACTCTCGACACAAAGAAGGAGGGCGGCCGGTGGTGTGTGTGAGGGGTATTGTATGGTATGCTATGTGTATGCTATGCTATGTCATGTGTATACTATGTATTGTGGTGGCAGTCGTGCACAGAGAGTGTGTGGTCCATTCCAAGCTCCAGTACCGTACTATCGTAATGTTAGGTAAAGTTACTACTGCTCTTCCTCTTCTCGTCCACAACCCAGCACCCAGCCAGCGCCTCGCCTCTCCCAAAGCACGTGGCTGGTCGGGGGTGGCTTGGAGATTCAGAACTTACACAGGTAGTACCGGTATAGAATACGTACGAAACAAAGTAGTCCCGTTCCGTTCCGTACCGCCAACGGCAATGCAGCGACGTTACCGGTACCTAGTGGGGCTCAAAGCTTGGACGGGGATTGACCATCTTCCACTATACTACCACAGTGTACAACCAGTACGGTGACTTGGACAAGCAATGTCTTTTCATCTCATGTGCGTTCATGATATTGCTCGCCTATCTTTATCAAGCATCGCCTGCCCGAGAATGCCAGACAAACTAAAAGTCGTCATGTAGAGTACACAACATCCTACCCACCTACCGGTACTACTCTAGACACCCCACAATCACTCCAAGTAATCTCCCCCAGTCTCCTTGTGAATGACATCAAACATCGGTTTGGCCGAGAACCACCCAGCCATTGGCGTTCCCACCGCCTTGTATGTGTATCCAGCATCCTCTTCATCGATCTTCACAGTCTCCCCCCCTCGCCCTGCAGCCGCCGCATCAGCCAGGAGCTGCGCATGACAACATTTCTCCAAGCTCACGAACCAAAACACCGCTTCCTCGATAGTCTTCCCCACCGTCAACAGCCCATGGTTCTGCAGCAAGGCCGCCTTTTTCCCGCCCAACGCACGCGCAATGTTCTGGCCCTCTTCGGCGGCCAGCACAATCCCATTGAAGCTCTCGTACAGGACGTGGTCGTTGTGGAAGGCGCATGAATCCTGCGTAATGATGTCGAGCTTGCGGCCGAGCGCGCAATAGGCGCGTCCATACATGGAGTGCGAGTGCGCGGCGCATATTACATCCGGCCGTGCCTCGTGCACGGCGTGGTGAATCATGTATGCGGCCGTGTTCAGGAGACGAACTTCGCCCCCGTCAATCACCTCGCCTTTGGCATTGACGAGAAGGAGGTCAGAGGCCTTGATCAAGCTGAATGCGATTCCAAACGGGTTCACCCAAAACGTGTTTGGGTCGACGGGGTCCTAGATGCAACACATTCATCAGCCCAGTCCCCCTTCACTGTAGAAGAGAAGTTGCTGCTGGATAGACTAAAAGATGACCCACCCTCAATGTGATATGTCCCGCCACCCCCTCATCGAAGCCAAACTTCCCAAAGATGCGAAAGGCAGCAGCTAGTCGGCCCTTGAGGTAGGCCCGTTCTTTGTAGGGATCGCTGAATGTAGGTGGGCTAGGGAACTTGAGTGCCTGTGCTTCTACTGCCTTTACATCTAAGCCAGGCTCCAGTGGAGCCGGGCGGGTGGTGTTTACTTGGATGTCGTCGCCGGCCCGAGCCTCGATTGCAGATGGGGGTGCCATGGTTATAATTGTGTAGAGTTGAGATCAGCGTTCTGCTAATCAATCGCTAAGAGTTCGAGAACAACCGAAAGATCTCAAAAGAATGCGCAAGCAGAAATCAGGATGTTGAATTCCACTCAAAAAATACTCGATCAAAGACTAGGTAAAGTGTTTGTCAAGAGAAAGATAGACGCCATCCCCCTCCCTCCCTTCCCCCCTCTTTAACGCCCACCTACCTGCCCACCATCCCTCCCCATCGCAACCTCGGTGCAACTCCATCGGAACCCGCCCTAAACATCCTTCACACCCACGACACCACCAACAAACTGCACAAAATCCTTGTCTTGCAGCTCCATGGGCCAATGGAAGCACCCGCGGTTGGCCAGGACTTCGGTTGCGGATACGGATGCGGGGCATATGTCGCGGGGTTGAAGGGGGGATTCGGCTGCGAGAGCGAACGTAGGCCTGATGGGTACTGGTGGCCCTTTTTTATGATCGGCTCACAGAGTTCCTTTATGAACGTGCCTAGCTTTTGTTGTAGCTCTGGCGGGAAAGAAAGTTGTAGCGTAGAGTAGGTATACGGAGCTGCCTCGGACTTTGTTTACCATACGTACCTAGGTCCATGGTAGACTACCTTGAAATCCTGGGGGAAATACCAGATCCTCTTCTAGGAACATGAAGCGAAGGGGTTGCTGAACTACAGTGAATCTTACCTAACCTACTACCAGCAATAGGTACCTCTGCGACAGATCACTTCATTCACTTCATCCCTCGGATATACCTACCATGGTCATCCAAACAAATGCCATGGTTCCTGGAGCTGTGAATGACTAGTAAGTACCAGTACCTATGGCAACCACCCGGCTTCATCATTCGCATGCTAAACTCCATGGTAGACTTGTACCTTTGCCACTGATAGATCGCAAAAGAATGAGAGAGCGGACAAAATGCATGGCCCAACTCGAGAAATTTTGCCACTGATTCCACGATTACCAGCGTCAAACTCCAACGAGATGTCAGCATGTCAGGTTTGCATGGTGCCTCCATGATGCGGCGGATGTAGCCAGCAGGATTTCGGATTTCCTTGCACCGAGCCCTTTCGATCTCGATCTCGAACATGTCCAAGCTGAGCCTACTCTACGACGGGATAAGCGCATGTTGGACACCTCGCATTCTGAAAACCAGGACCGTAATCATCTGATCGCAAACACAATTACCATCACCACAAAAATCGGGACTTTTGGGTTATTCCCATCCAACCAACTTTGACGATTGGTCAGGCTGTTCTGAAGAAGGATTGTCGCAAACCCCAAGCTCACTACCGGTACTGGTACCTAGGCACTGGACCGGCCATTCTGGACACCATTTGCACCACTGCAAATGCTAGGCAGTGATAGATTGTGAGCGCAACTCGATGCTTCCCTCAAGTAGTCAGCGCGCTTCTTTCTTCCCACGGGCCGATGCAGCAATTCTTCATTCTAAACACCCCTCACCTGCTCTGACCGAACGACCAACCGTTGTTGCACCCATTCTCGATCTGGCCAATGTCGATAAGCCTCTCTCCGCCTGGTCTGTCCATGTCGCACAGTCAATCTATCCAAGAAGAGAGGATGTTTGGGCGCCGGCTCCCATTCCGGAGAAGCTGAACGGCATGGGTCCATGCGTGGCTGACCGCTATCTCTTTCCCATCCTGACTCGCAACGAACGGCTCAGACTGACCATGATGTATTACTACACGAGGGATACTCTCGCAGACGATGAACTCATCTCTAGGCTGCAAGAAAAGGTCCATCTGGCCAAAGAGACCGTCGGATGGGAATTTGTCATAGCTGGTCTGCTGGACCACAATACCTACACACGAGTGGTAACCGTCGGTTTGCCGTTGGCAGTCTTGCCTCGTCGTGAGAGTACCTGTGCGCACACAGTGAACCAGCCACCAGGTGTAGGTGCCATCCGAATACTTCTCTGACAGAAGCTGAATTGTCCAGACAGTCTTTACCTTGCTGAACATGGTCGACGACTGGCGATTTAAAGAGTCACCTCATGTCGAACAAGGCGGCCTTCGGGCGTATGCTGGCGTGCCACTAAGATTTGAAACCGAATTCGGTGATCATGTCGTCTTTGGATCGCTCTGTGTGGCCTCAAACTCGGAACAGGAGCGGCTCACAATCGCCCAGCAAAGATCACTTGCCCGTCTTGCCGACTGGGTCGTTGCCGACATTGTTCACAGTGCAAGAGCGCGACGTCAGCGCGATCGAAGACGAATGCTGGATATGCTCGCCAAAGCACAGAACCAGTGTGATGAGGGCGAGAATATGGAAGATGCAATCCCACTGCTGTTGCGGGAAGTTTATCCGTCTACGACTGTTTGTATCCACCGCACAGTAGATGGGCAGATTGTACTAGAAGGAGGCACTGCATTCGCAGCCTCCGATCTAGAGCAGGGACTCTGGGAAGACTGTGACTATTTCGATTCCGTTATTGAAGAGCGCAATCATGCGGACATGGTCGCCCCACGGATTGTGCGCGTCATTGCGACACAGTGCGCGAGCCAGCGGATACCAACATTTCTTGTTGTGGGCTCGAAAGACTTCAGAATGGTATTCGATGATGTTGATGCATGGTTTGTCGAAATGTGCGCAACTACATTGTGTCGTTTCTGGCATGGCACAGCGCTGAAAGAAGCCTTGTCTGCGAAAGAGAATTTCTTGCGTGGCATTACCCATCAACTTCGAACACCTATTCACGGCATCCTAGGCTCGGTGGAACTGTTGACAGAGGAGTTAAAATCGCTCGGCGTAGTATCGGCCACGGCTGGATCAACTCCGGAAGGCTCACCAGCAGCCGAGCAGGTCGATCCATACATTTATATCAAAACGATACAGGCATCCGCGCGAGAACTCATTACCACCATAAATAGCTTGATCAAACTCAATCAGTGGGCCGATATTGCCCAAGCCGAACGAGTTGTGGCGTTGCACACCGTCTCTGACATCGAGATGGAGCTCCTGAACGAGACGACGGTTGCCTTGCCAGACGATCTTTCTACGAGACCGTCAATCATCTTCCAACATGACTTTCCGCCGAATCTCGACATGCTGGCACTCGATATGCGTCTCTTCCTCGATTCTATACAGCCGCTCGTGTTGGATGCAGCACAAAACAGTGCGGGTGGGGTCGTAGGGGTGACATTGTCCCTCACAGAGGACAACCAGTCGCTCATCGTCGACGTCGAGGACAATGGATGCGGGATTGCCACGAGCGACTACAAGAGAATTTTTTATGCATATGAAAAGGTCGATATGCGCACAATGGATTCTGGCCTAGGTCTTACCCTGGCCTGTAAATCGGCCACGCTTCTGAATGGTCATATCGCCCTAGTGAGTTCCTTCCCATGTCAAGGTTCACACTTTCGAGCTACTTTCCCCGATCCTATATGTGCGAGTTCTTTTCCGCGAGATACCCAATTGAGAGATAACCTTGTCCGGCTTCCATCCACCTATCATAGACTCTCTTGTTCCACCCGGACAACAGTACTGGGGCAATATTTCAGCAAATACCTTACCAACAAAGGCTATGCGGAGGCCACCACACCTGATGGCTCCTTTCTGATACTGGATTACACGCCCGATCTTACCAAGCTCTATAATCACCTCTCTGGAATGAATACCTCACAGGTGGCCATTTGTCTAGTACCAGAGTCTGCCTATTTCCTCAACTTCGGAGCTAAGCGCATAAGGCAACAAAACAACGTCGTATACGTCCAGGGACCCTTTCTACCCACGATCCTAGATGAAGCACTCCACCTAGCCAACTCGATATTGGCAGAATGCCCATCTACGACGCTTGATCCAGGAAGCTCCGCCTTCGGAGAAGGCATTGCGCTCATCCCGTCTTCCCATCCACCTATCCCAAATCTAGACAGCCCACCAGAACCTGGCCCTCATAAACCCGCTTCTCTATCATCTTCCCAGCCTCTGCAAACTGACCTCGTGCAGTCGGTCGAAACTTTACACATTACAACTCCCCCACCGCCTCCCGTGCACCCCTCCACATGCTCCACTAAACCACTCACCCTCCTCGTCGACGATAACGCAATCAACCTCCGCCTCCTAGAAATGTACTGCAACCGCCGCAACATCCCCTACCGCACCGCAACCGACGGCCAAAAAGCAATCGACCTCTTCTCCGCCTCGCTCGCTACCCCTGCCTCTAACCCCGATTCGCCGCCACACCAACCCGGCTCCGCTTCCCCTCCTCCTCCATTCAAGCTCATCTTGATGGACCTACAGATGCCCGTCTGCGACGGAATCGATGCCACAGCCCGCATTCGCAGGCTTGAGGCAAAGTACAAGCGCGCTCGGACTGTGCTCTGCATCGTCACAGGCCAGGACACGCCGGCTGATCGCGCGAATGCGGATAGGGCGGGGGCAGATGGGTATTTGGTTAAGCCGGTGGGGCCGAGGGTTTTGGATCAGTGGGTGAGGCGGTGGTTTCCTGGTGTTGAGGTTTAGGGGGGGAGGATGGGTGGGGTGTGGTGGGATGGTATGGTAGCATGCATATATACATGTATACATGAATCTTTTTTTTTTTGACAACATTTCCTACTTGCCCATGCTACACACACACACACACATAATCGCTATACGCACAAGATATCCCACATCCTCCTACACCAATCCCATAACAAAATACGTAACCTCAGCCCCCCGATGCAAATAGCCTACACCCAGAGCTAACGCAACTTTAATACTAACGCCGTAAGAAGCTTAGCTAGTGAAGTATGAAGGTGATGTAGCTTACTGTTGTCTTTAAGGTGATTAATTTTTCGGTTACGAGCAGTAGGGATGTTACTGGCTGGAATTGATGCGGTATTGGATTAAGATTTTAGTGTAAATGGGTTGGTTTGGTGTTGGAGTGGGTTGTTTACTGGGTGAGGTGGTAGGGTGTGGGGGGTTAGGTGTAGAAGATGCTGTGTCAGGGCACAAGGTATTGAATACAAACGATGCTGTGTCAGCGAACAAGTTATCCAATACAAGAGATGCCGTGTGCGGGGGAATATTCCGTCCTGGAAAATAAACGTGACGTCTATGCGGAAAGGGTTGCTGACAAAGTTCAAGCGTGAAATTGTATAGGCCGTGTACAACATACCTAAAACACCCTTTGCATATAGAATTACCCCTGAATCTCGTCCCACTTGTTCATAATCCCCTAATTCACATTCGGAAATTGAAAAACTAACTTGCTAGCGTCTATATTACATACAGCGGTCCGTCTTACTAGTCATCAGAGTCCGAGTCGGGGATCTATCATCTATGTTAGAATATAAGAAGATGGCTAGATAGGCGTACAGCAAAGGGCTGGTGGGAGTCGGTGTGATATGGAAACTACCATCATAGGATTGAGTGCATTTATCTAAGGTTTTAGAGCCGGCAGATTGGTTTGGTTGTAGCCTGTGGATCTCATAGGGTGAGGAAGGTTGGGCATGTGGCGTGCAATTAGTTAACTAACAGTGGCCGAATGGGGCCGAAAGCCCGCCAGCAGTAAAACTGTGATAGGCCTTAGCTTGTATCATATTCATAGTAGTGACTGTGAGTGACGTGAGGAGGGGCGCAATGCAAACATGTGGATCTGATTATTTTTTTCAAGATGGACTTTTATCACCGTCTTCACATGCTCTTACCAACTGGTTAACTTTCCGACAAATATTTGTTCCTGTTCTTTGACGCTAAGGACCGAGAGTACAAAGTTAGATTACACAAATTAGGACCGCAACGCTGGATATGACTGTGTTTCACATTCAGTAGCCACTAACTAACTGATTAGATGACTGTATGCGGTGAATCGGGGCTTTTTAGTAAATATACAAATGCCCCCCTCGTAACCAAACTGCAGAATCAACTTTGCTTCCTCTTTACCCAATATCACTCAATTAGCTACCATTATGAAGCTATCTCTTGTTACTGCTTTGCTGGCCCAGGCCGTAGTAGTAGTCTCTACGTCGTGGAAAACTCAATATTGCCTGTATAAGGAAGCTACACTTGCCTCAGGATACAGCTGCACAGTATGTATTACCCAGTTCCATGTATCAAAACAGCACTAATAGAAGTAGGGGGATAATAACGTTCCATTATGTGTATGTTAACGGGTGGTCAACACTCTCAAGAATACACTCTTAACTCCAGCATAGTGCGGTGGCGGTGGTACAAAACCCGGGAACCAGTATTTTGAGAGATTGTGCAAGCCGATTATAGCCGACGAGGATTGGGTGTTCCCGGGCTGCGCTAGTGATACAGGTGTCAGTCCTTACCAAAGTCTCTCCATTTTTCAGAACTGTATGCTAATGAAATCACATGCAGACTATCTACTGCGTATGGCCTATTGTCTCGACACTGATGATGGAACCTATTTTACTAACAATTGACAGTGTCAGAAAACTTATTTTTAAAAGTGCTCACCCGTGGGTCTACTTGCAGGGGAAAATTAGGGTCGTGCTCACAGAGATTGGAAACTCTGTATTCTACATATTTACATACAAATGTATAATAAATTGTACAGTAATCAATGCACCCCCTAAGTTTCTTTGATAGTTCTATCTCTTGGTACTTATCAACTCGATGTCAAGTCCACCTCTACTACTACCGCTACCCATCTACAAAACTAAAAGCACTCAACCTGGCCATATTAGGACTTAATCCCACCTAATAAGCTCTGCTTACTAGTAAATAGTATAAGGGGCTCACTGCGGGCCAGTAATCTAAGCCGAAGGCAGGCATATAAAGTTCAAAAATTGAATATAGGGGTTGCGTACCGGTAAGCGCCCCTCAGGGGAGCACTTCTGCCTGATACCATAGTAACTCGATCGCCCGGGGAAGGACGGGCTGTCCATTCGGTTGTGAGGGCTATGATACAAGACGGTCACAAACTGCCCATATTGGGACTGTATGGTTTGCCAAGCGGTTTCCTCTTAAGTTTTCAAAGTAACATTAGTTTCAGTACATCAAATCTGTGCGTGTTTTGTCCAGCTAATTTCCTGGGTCGACGAGGCAGTATCATGGTGTCTCGTAGTCTCACGATTACTTTTATCATTGGAGCTTTTGTTACTCATTCTGTCGGTCAAGTAGCAGCCTGTCGAGCGATAAATGGTCTAGACAACGCAGCAAAATACAGTCATTCCTGTATATGTTAGGAGGGGTGGTCAACTTGCGTGTTTCCCCGGATGATGGCCAATCTTGATCAATGTGAGACCTGAAAGCTATAAACATGGAGAGAGTCGTTGCAGGAGCTTCGCCAACAAAAGTTTAGAATTGTCTCTTTGGGTGCTCGTATGAGGCTTACCAAATGCCTGCTGTATGGACGCAGTAGGTAGGCACATCCTACCGGTATTCCACAAGTACAAATCGGGAATCTTTCTCCTGACCCATTTCCCAAGCTCGCACACCTTGAAACAAGTAAAAAATGGCTGCTCAAACAGGCGGTAAAACAAATAGAAATCGCATGTCCTTCCGGATGTGTCTTCCAAGACCTTGGCATAGTTCGTGCGCTGTATGTAGATGAAAGTTATGGGGACGGCTATCCGTTATCGGGCCGGTCGAGCAAGGAACAAATGTTGAGACCGGGCTGCCGGTCCTCGAACTCTTTTTTTATTCGTTAGAAAAATTGGTAGGTCACCCTTCTAGAGACTGTCTGAAACAGAAACTCGTATTTCAAGAGACTGTAATATAGTTAAATTTCTAGAGCAATATACGACTCTTTACAAGGCCGAGCTTTGTACACCCTGACTCTGTTAGAAGATTTACGCTGATGGGAGTAGTTATGTAGACGGCTAGTTATAAAATGCCTCTCATATCCTCTCTAAATACTTCGCCCACATCCATCTAGATACTCCATCCATAATTCTACGCCTTGCGCAATATCAGCCACAATCATGAAGCTACTCGTGGTCACAGCTTTGTTAGCTCAGGTTCTAATCCCATCTGTGCTGGCGCGTGATTATCGTTATTGCGAAGGCAATAAATATAACCTCCCGTCGGGGTTGTCTTGTAGAGTATGTATTAGTCCCCAGCAAAACTTATCGGACGCTAACAGGAGCAGGATCCAACATGGACTTCATTCTGTGTACGTTAACTCATTGAATAAAACGTACTTGAGTGAGAGCTAAACAACAGAACAGTGCACGAAAGAACAGGACGCGATCCGGAACATCTATCGAGGAAAATGTTCCGAACCGTGGACTGAAGCGAACGGTGGCGAAACAGCAACTCACTGGTGCGACTCCAGCAATCGTGTAAGTTTTCTCCTGCCGATTGTTTCACGTCTTGTGACTGCGTGCTAACGAAGTCCCGTGTAGATTGAAGCTCTCTGTGTAAGTTATATTGTCTCTAACACTTATTCTATCTACTAATACTTGACAGTGCTCGCCATAGTTCAAGGACAAAAAGTCCACATCCTCTACGCCGCAATAAATGAACTCTGCTTAGACCCAGGAATCGGGGGCTACCAATGAGATTTGTACACAGCATGGATGAGAGTGAGGCTGTGGTTTGGTTTCTGAATGCAGTGAGAGGAGAAGACATGAATAGGCTAGATTGGATGAATTCCATCACGGTGGATGCCAGGTATGCATTCTACACTAGTCGACACCCGTGGTGTTGAATCGAGTTTGTAAATAATAATTTTTTACTGTGGTTGGGCTTCACCCAAGTCTTCTCCTCCTTCCTCACCAGCGAGCCTTTCTTCCGGATCTTCGGAGGCTGCGTCTTGAGCTGGTGTGGCACCTTGTTGAATCTACTCCTCAACCTGGTCTGCAAACTGCGCTTCCGCTTCCGTCTCCTCTGCCCCCACCTGCTCGCCATCCCTCTCATCAGTCCTCTCCATCATCCGCCTCCCGGCACCAGTAATCTCTCCAAATCCATGCTGCTGAACCAAGCGCCGCCTCTGTAGTAAAACCCTCTGAACATGCGCCGCGATTCTACGATTGAACCCGTTCGCCATATCTCCAAATTCCAGAAGTGGGCCCAGCGTCCTAACCCGCGTTTCTGGAAAAGACCTGGCGATCCGTCGGCGACTACTGGGCCTGGTGCGGCTGACACCACGATCTTGGGTCAAAGGGCCCGAGTTTCTTGCAGAAGATCTGTGAGGCGTTTGGGGTTGGGTGCCTGGATGGCAGATAGCGTAAGGGCATGTTGGAGCAGTGCCCGGCATGACCACGTTTTGTGAAGACGAGCCGGGAGGAAATGTTGTCCTTGATCTAGCACGCCAATTCTGTGCGTTCCATGGACTGTTACGCCAATTTCGTACGTCCCATGGATTGTAGGTCCTAGTCTGTGAGAAGTTGCTAGACGCGTTCCCGGCACCCGCTGGCGAGCGATTCTCCCTGTCCGCGAAAGTCCTATTCTGGAAAGGCGAGAGAGGCACAGGTGAGTCCAGATCGCGCATCAAGTCTTGAATTATGGACTGGGTATGGCGTATCCTATCGTTCATTGTCAAAAAGGGTGAAGGAGTTATGCTTGGTTGCGATTCACGCGCAGAGGCCTGGTTGCTTGGATGGCTATGAGAAAGTCTCTCGTCAGTGTTGGTTTGTTGGAACAGGTTGGATCGCGAGGGACTTTCGACATAATCAGTCGTCAAGTTGCCCGTAGGCAATGGGAGGAAGTGCCGGCTCGTTGCGATCATCCCATCGGGAGATTCTTCTCTTATGGGCGCTGTTGGGGAAGAGAAGATATCTTTCACTGTTGGGTAGGCATGATCTCTTCTTGACATAGGCCTGGCAATAATCGCATGGAAAGGGTTGTTGGGAAGGTCATTGGGCGCGCCTAATCTTCCTCTTCCTCTACCACCGGGTAGTAGGGCTCCATCGGAAGATCCTCCTCTCCGGATCGATGAGTGTCCAGTGGGCGAACTACTGTGGGGATAATTGTTCTGGAAAGACTGTGGGAGTGGGAATAGGGGTGATTGGTATGTGAGAGTTTCGTTAACTAAGCCAGTGGTCATCTGATGATGGGAGTTAGATGGCCCCGGTAATTGTACCTCTGAAGCAGACGGCCCTGATGATTGCGCGCTTGAAGCAGCTGGTCCCGGTGAATGCCCGCTCGAAGCAGCTGGTCCCGGTGAATGCCCGCTCGAAGCAGCTGGTCCCGGTGAATGCCCGCTCGAAGCAGCTGGTCCCGGTGAATGCCCGCTCGAAGCAGCTGGTCCTGGTGATTGCATGTTCGAAGCAGATGGCTCCGATGGCTGTACCGTAGAAGCAGATGGTCTTTGTGAATTCCCGTTCGAAGGGGATGATTCGGATGAATGTACGCTCGAAGTAGACGGCTCTGGCGCTTGCGCGTTCGAAGCAGACGGTCCCGATGCTTGCACACCCTCAGCCGTTGTCCCTGATTCTTCCTCACCCTCAGCCACTGGCCCTAACTCTTCCTCACCCTCAGCCACTGGCCCTAACTCTTCCTCACCCTCAGCCACTGGCCCTAACTCTTCCTCACCCTCAGCCACTGGCCCTAATTCTTCTACACCCTCAGCAACTGCTCCCAACCCATCATCTCCATCTCGACCCTGCATCCTCGCATCCTCGACCTCCTCCTCCCCCTCCTCATCCGCACTCGACCCCCACTCCACCACCAACGGCTCATACTCTGGCTCCAAAAAAAGCACTCGCCTACACATGGGACACTTATTTCTGAGCCCGAGCACGGCAAACTCCGTCAGCAGACAGGGACGGCAGAAGCAGTGTCCACAGCGTGCTAGGCGGACTGGATAGTGGGCTTCTAGGGCTAATTGAAAGGCGGCATCGAGGGTGATGTATTGAGTTATGGGTGGGGTTTGGGTTGGGAGGGCGGGTGGGGGGGGTGGTGGGACAGGGCAGTGTCTGTAGCAGATGTCGCAGCAGTCGAGGTCGGTGGTCATGGGTGGCATTCCTTGATAGAGGAAAGTCTCAAAGTTAGGGAGGGGTAGGGTGGTGTTTGAGTCGGTCATGTTAAATGAGGTGGTAGTGAATGTGGATGTGATATGATATGTTTGGTGGTAGTTGATAGTGGTTTCAGTGGTGATGTTGGAGAGAAGAAGTGTGGAGTGGAGGGAATGGATGTCAGCTGTGAAGACTATGTGGAAGTATTGGGCTTTTCGTGGGTCTGGAAGGCGTGGTATAGTATATGGATGCGCGTTGATGGGAAGGTGAGGACCGTGTTGTGAAGACAGCAGTAACACTCCACAACGTATTCGATTGTACTTGCCTCGTTTGCTTCAAATTTCGCTAGTAATTCATCAAATCATTACCATATATGTGGAGAGTATGGCCAGGATGCTTCCAGCAACCTGCGAATGTGTGCTGTGCAAAATGCGGCCACCGACTCATGATACTCCATCGCGGGTGCTTCATCTCCATCGTGCGATGTCCACCCTTCATTTCCTTCACTATTCCAAAACCCTCTTATCCTCATCGTCCTCATCAACCCCCATGGCCTCATGCGCATCGAATTCCTCTTCTTCGTCATCATCGTCATCACCACCAACATCCAACTCGTCGCCATTGTCGAGCCAATCCTGCTCCGCCATTTCAAATTGGTCCCTCCTCGTCTCCTCTTGATTCTTCTGCATCATCACAACGGCCTCCAAATCCTGCTTCCTGATGCGCTGCGCAAGTAAGCTCACGATGCGGTCCACGCCATACCTGTGGCCCAGCGAGCGAATGACAACATCGATGTCTTCTTGGGTGATGCGAGGAATGTGGACTTGGAAGAGGGTGCGTGAGCAGGTCGGGCAGGTGTTGCTGACGTTGAGCCAGGCGGAGAGACATTCGAGGCCTAGGGTGTGACCGCAGGATTCGATACGCAGGGCGGGGTGAGAAGGGGGAGTTGATGTCGTGATGTGAGGGCGGAGAGCTAGAGGGTCTTTGCAGATGACGCAGTCCTGGGAGACGTGGGCTGGGGAGGGCGTGATGGGTTGGACGCCAAGGCGTAGAAATTGGGATTTGGAGGGAAAGATTGCCATGATGATGACGGCTCTTGGTCTGATGCGTGGTGTCTTGGGCTGAGGGTGAATTGTGGTATGGCGGTGACGTTTGGCTTGACGCGCGGTGTTTTGGGCTTGAACTGTAACGAAAATTGTACCATGATATGGCGCAAAAAGAATACTAGTTCAATCTGTCGTTGTTCGAATACTGGGCAGTGATTGAGAGACGCAGGGTGAGGGTAATTAGAGGAGGTGCGGTTGAAATAAGCTGAGTAGTCTACGGCGTTTAGTGAGGGTGGACAGTGAGCGATGATAGTATTATTATAGTGAAAGAGGACATATGCGACTTGTTCAAAGCCTGTCGTTCAAAGCCTGCATGACGGACGATGCACTACGCTCCAGCGCGACCATTTGGCGACATGAGTGTATTCCAAGGACGAATGTCAAGAGAGGATACCGGTACTGTCGTAAACTCACTTGGTAGCAGCTTGCTTCTCCCTGGGTTCTGCTGCATTAACGGTAAAGAAGGCAATAGTCGTGTTGCTAAGAAAGATTGCACTTGATACTTCCCACCTACATGTCATGGTGTTTAGTTTTACTTGGTCAAATAGCGAGGCCAACATCGCATGTTGAAATCAAGAACAAGGGAGCTGAGACGTCGTCTGAAGCCAAAAGCCAACATCTCCAAGTGAAGTGCAAAAATGATTGGGGATGTAGTTTGTAGAGGTCAAAAGCGGGAAAAAGGTAACTAGAAGCTGTACCCCAGATGTTCAAACTCTGTAGTTCTGTTTTGTTTTATATGAATGTAATATTTTTTCAAAAAAAGAAAACATGAATGGGTAGTGGGTCGGGCCGTACATGTCCATCCACATGATAGCGTAAAGTGCGATTTGGGCATGTTTTGCACAGAGTTTGAGGAGTGGGAATTTAAACAATGGTGCAAGGCGATCTTGTGGCATGTTGCATGTTGCATGTTGCATGTTGCATGTTGCATGTTGCATGTTGCATGTTGCATGTTGCATGTTGCCATTTTGATGCCTTTCGCCTGCAATGTGTGTGGGGGTCAAAGTTTGTGACAATTTGGCGAGCCCGCAAGCGGATGCAGGCTAGCGTCATGCAGCTGACAAAGCCATTTCTTCTTCGCCTTTTTCACATGTGCACACTGGAAATTAGGGAAAAGAGGCGCAGTCGTGACAAGCAACACAGATCCCGCGTCACTTCCAAACCCTTGGGCTTTTTAATCTCGTCTCCCCATGTCTCCCTTTCCCATCCATTGGCAGGGTACATGCTGACTCTCCCAGCGAAACTTCTACTACTTAGACCACCGACCCAGAGGACCATGTACTCACTCTGCTGCAAAGCTCACATTGCAACCGGCATTCGTCTGTCTCACTGGATCGGGAGACGCGACGTGTCGTCTTTTCCGGTGAGGGTGGCCGTGAGTCATAGGCTGGGCTTGGTGGCGGAGATGACCGGCCGCTGCCCGATGCACAGCCAGCATCCAGCCAAACAACGACTTACCGTAGCTACCCTACCGGCTGCCCAAGATTTCTGAAGAGTAGTCGCTGCTTTGTCGGTCTCCTTATCGCGTCCCAGGCATGCTTGTCCTCGCTTTTCTGCGACCCTTCTCTTCTTATTTGTCGTCGTCTGCACGCCCACCTACCGCACCCGTTGTCGACTTGGGTTGTTGCTCGAGTGCATGCCGCACGCGGTGGGAACACGCCGCACGTTGCACCTTGTCTCAGAGAAAGGGCACACATTCCAGGGCGGCGGCAACAGAGGAGCCCGTCGCCAGTGGCAAGAAGAACACCAGCACAACCACGACACGGTTGGGCGATGCATGGGCGAAGAAATTTTTCACTGTCGCCGTCGCCGTTTGAAATCGTCGGTGCGGCAAATGAGGCGACGAGAGTGAGTGGTCGAAGCTGGAAGCGAATTCGGGCAGGGGGGGGGGGGGCTATGGCTGGTTGCGGGTCAAAACGTCATCCCTGGGAATGGGAAGGAACGACAAAACCCCCCCAAATCTCTCCTGGTAGGCTGCTCCTGCCTTGTCTGCCCCCTTCCATGTCCCGACCCGTTCTTCACCAATGACAACACAACATGGGGTTGGTTGTTGCTGCTGATGCTGCTATTGCTGGTTGAAACGCGTATTGACACACCGTGACAACAAGCAAACAGGTACCTAATACCTAGGGACAAGGAAGGAAAAAAAAAAATTCGGCTTTCCACCCTTTGTGCATGACTGGGCTGGGGGGGGGGAAGGCAGCCGCCCCTTTTCTGGCCTCAGAATCTTCTGGCGCGCTAAAGCAGCGGGCGAGGCTAAGCCGCATTGGCACACCATCCCTGTCGCTGGTGGCGCACAGACGGATTTCGGAGGCAGGCTGCAACGCCTATAAAGAGGAGGGCTCCCCCCATCATTTCGCAGCCTTTTCCGACTTGCTCCTGTCGCCGCCTCACGTCAACCTCGCCGCACAACCCCCCACGCCGCAGCCCGAAAACATTCGTTCTCAGCCTGCGCGCCCTCTTAATACTTGCGACTCGGGACTCATTTGCGTGCTGATATTGCTGCACCTTGTTGCTCTCTCGGCGGCCGAGAAAGTAAATTATTTCGCGGTTGGCGCTAGCCTCTTTGGTCTGCGACGGCATTCGGAGATCCCGCCTCGCAGTCGCGTCCCCAGTCCATCCCTACGCCAAAGGCTTGCTGGCTTCGCTTTTGGTCTCTCAGCCCACTCACCATCACTGACTCCTACCATCGACTGTCCCATCAGACAGCTTCGAGCCGTTGGCGACAAGATCTTGTCAGCGTTTGCGAGGGACACATTCGATTGTAGCTCTCCTGCGTCCGGTACTTGCTCCACCCAACCTGCACGCCTTATAGACCCTCTTCCACATACCCACCCCATTGGTGGTGTCGACCGACGTCCGCACTCTCGCGCGACCACGTCGTCGCCCCTTGGCTTGACATCCGCTGCCGCTCTCGCTGTGCCGCTCCAAAACTTTGTTCTGACCTGCGCAGTCTGCCAAGATAATATCTCTTCTCTCGAGCTCACACTCGGATACCATCCTCAATTAATATCATCATGGATCCCAACTCTCTCGTCTCTCACCCGTCCACCGCCGCACAGGCCAAGACGGTAAGATAGTGATGTGCTCGCTTTTTGTCTCCTAACCCTTTTTCTGACATGCTCTCTTTAGTTTGTGGCTCCAGGCTCCCTCGCGTTCCCAAACAGCGCGGACCTGACCCCACCTTCTTCTGAGAAGAATGCGCAACAGGATGCCAACAACGCGAACGGTGTTGCGACTCCTGCGGCTACTCCCGATACCAATGGTCAAGTACCCTCTGGGATCGTGCCGACTCTTCAGAACATCGTGGCTACCGTCAACCTCTCTGCTCGCCTTGACCTCAAGACGATTGCTCTGCACGCCCGCAACGCCGAGTACAACCCGAAGCGTTTTGCTGCGGTCATCATGCGTATCCGTGAACCCAAGACGACGGCTCTGGTCTTTGCGAGTGGCAAGATGGTTGTGACGGGTGCCAAGTCTGAAGATGATAGCCGCCTCGCTTCCCGCAAATATGCGCGGATCATCCAGAAGTTGGGGTTCAATGCAAAGTTCACCGTACGTTGTGCTGGCTCCACCACGGCCTGTCCATGCTAATTGTGGTGATAGGACTTCAAGATCCAGAACATCGTTGGCTCCTGTGACATCAAGTTCCCCATTCGCTTGGAGGGTCTTGCCTCACGCCATCACACCTTCTCATCTTACGAACCTGAGCTCTTCCCCGGTCTCATTTACCGCATGATGAAGCCCAAGATTGTCTTGCTCATCTTCGTCAGCGGCAAAATTGTGCTCACGGGTGCCAAGGTCCGTGAGGAGATTTACCAGGCCTTTGAGTTGATCTACCCTGTCTTGTCCGACTTCCGCAAGTCGTGAAGAAGCACCGTCAGTCACCACAAGGTGCAACCACAGAGCTCGGACTAGCCGTGAATGGCAACCACTCCAGCTCTTTTCTTCTACATACCTATTGTCCCTTTATTTGCGGCATTGCATGGCGTTATGGTGGGCTGTGGCTTTCAAAATTCCCATCCAAAACATTCTCGAAACGATTAGACATCGATCTCAATGTGGGGGAGCACGAACTTGTCTCCAGTAATGAATGAGCACAGGGGCTTTCCTCTTTTCAAAACACGGGTACGATTATTTCGGGCGAGTATGGGCTAGCAGGTCGATTTGTTGGCCGATTGGGTGCGTGCCACACTTGACGATTCCGAGATTGTTTCTTACCGCTACTTGTCGAACAGGGCACAGAGTAATGTGTTTGGGCGCAGGCGTAAAAGTCTGGTGCCCGAGAGAGGCTCGTCAAGGGTTGACGATAGGACACCTGAGCCTTCTCCTGGATTTGTTTTTTTTATCCAGCATCTGAGTATCATGGCTGTCATAGACTTGCTTACCTCTGTCTGTGGAGGGTTGATGGCCAAGCATCAATGTCATACGTGATATCTAACACGACTGTTGTGACGCGACTTGATGTGTGCATGTGATGATGACTTCAATTTTGCACGCTGCACCGCCTATGTCCTTTTGCAACTCAACAGGACCATGGCTGTCTTGGCCTTTTTTGCTCTTCAGCAGGAGAGATGGAGTAGTAGGTATCTCTAATTCAGACAGTGAGTGGACTTGCTGCATGTTAGATGGACAGAATAATGCCCTGTCTTGTACATCTTGCTGGCTTGACTGCACTCTACTTTCAAGACTGCGACGTTTTCATGTAGTATTTTTCAGAACTTGGGAGTTAAGAGTCTTTGTCTCGCTTCTCTCTTTACTTCTTACTCCATGCTCCTTATACTCGCTTCGCATCTCGCACCTCGCATGCCCCGCTCTACCTCTTCTCGCTTCTCATTACTTCTCATTACTTGTTTGACTCGAGACTTCTTCTTCTTCTTCTTCTTCTCCTCCCCTCCCATTTCCGCTCCCCTCCCATTTCCGCTCCCCGTCCTCCGCCTCTCCCACTGCACCCCAGCCGCGCCCAACAGCCTCAAAACGCAACGTACTGCCTGAAAGTCAGTCCTGAGTCCTGGGACCTGGCTTTGTATACCAAGAGCGCATAGCATAATACATGCCACAATAGCCATGCAGGGCAACACACCCAACACAAACAGCACCATCTCACACCTCGCGCTTCGTGTCCCGCGGTTGAAAAAAAGTCATGCGTATAAACGTAATCCCCCCCTTCACCCAGCCTCGAAATAATACCGATACGGCATCCCGAACCCATCGCCCGCACCACCACCACCCCCAGCCCCAGCACGCAACCGAATAACCGAGCGCGCACTCGCGGCCAACGACGCACTGGATCCCGATCGCGCACTCGAGCCCGAATCCAACCCGTCTCTTCTCGCTGGCCAGCGATGAATCCTCACACTGCCTGTTTCAGAGTCAGAGGCGGCGGAGCGCAGTGAGGGGCTTGGGGTTGTGTGGGGGAAGGAGGAGGAGGAAGAGGAGTGGCGCGGAGGGAGGTGGGAGCGGGGTGTTGCATAGGAAGGTGGATGGTGGGTTGAAGGGGCTGTGTGGAGGGTGTGGAGGCTTGGGTTGCTGGTGAGGCTTGCGGGGGGAGTGGTGCTGTTATTGTCATTATCGTTGTCGTCGGTGTCGGGGTAAGATGGTGTCGAGTTTTGACGGTGGAGTTGTGGGGTTCGGTATGGCATGTGTGAGTTTGATGAACGACTGTTGCTGCTGCTCCTACTGCTATCCAGCGATGATTCCGTGGGTGCTAGACTGCGGGTATCCGATGCGAGACTCTGTGCGCGCGCCTCCTCGACGACGTCCGGGTCGAGTTGCGTCATGCCGTTGAGTATGTCTGCGAAAATGGCCATGAGCGAGCGAAACTCCGGTTCGGTGAGGCTGTTGCAGGAGAAGCGCGCGGATTCGTATTGGGCGAGGAAAGCGGGGCCGAGGGATGGGGGGTTGAGCAGGCCAAAGGAAGAGAGACGGGCGAGGTATTCGCGAAGACCCATTGCGCGGGGGCGTTGGAGGAGGGTGACGATTTGTGCGTCGGGGAGGGGTGGCGCGTTGGCTGGGTATTGCTGCATGTCATAGTATTCGAGGGCGGGATCGGGGGGTGCCAGAGAGACGGCTTTGGCTTCAATGAGGTTGGGGAGTTCACATATTACGCTCCAGTATTGGAGATTTGGCAGATCGGGCGACGCAGGAGAAGCCCAGCCTGGATGCGAGATGTGGCCCCACGGCGGGGATTTGGGATCGATATGGAGGACGGTCGCTTCCGGTGCGCGATGATGGCCTTTTGATTTCGCCTTCTTCTCCTTGGCCTTTTCCTTGTTACTCTCCTCGCTGTACAGCCTCTGCACCCCCTCGGCATCACTTTCTTCCTCCTCGATCTGTCCAAACTCTCCCCGCACATCCCTCGGTCTGCTATCCCACGCCACAACCGCACTCCTCCTCAGATGCCTGACAATCATTCGGCGGACACCCGTTCCCACCTCTCCCTCCTCAACTGGTAGATATCCCTTTGGAATCGCCGCCAACACCGTCCTATTCGTGTATATGCGCGTCGAGTAAATGAGCAAGACAATGATTCCCGTGAGCAGGTAAACCCCACCAATCACAAAAAGCTTCTGGATCTCGCTCGTGCGGATGGACTGGTAGATGGTATCGCCAGGGCTCACGCAGAGTAGCAAGAGGGTGAGAACAAGGAGGGTCGTATAGGTAGTCGAGTACCAGATACGGAATAAGGGGATGCGCATGATGGCGGCCGGAGGCTGGTGGAGTGCGCAGCGAGCAAGGGATGCATCGGGTGACGGGGTTTGATTAGTATAGATGATGATTAGAAATTAAGACTCTTTCGCGCGCTGGTGGTGTTACATGGTCGGAGAGGAGAGAACGGGGGATGATGGGTGGGGGTGTTGTTGATGTGATGATGTTGGAGTAGGGCAGGCGCCAAGGCACTGACGCATGTGCGCGCGCATATTACATGCATTCGCGTTAAACCCGTTCTTCGGAAATATCGGCATCCACCCGCCCCTGTAAGTAACATCACCTATGTCTCAGATCCCAGATCCTGACAAGATAGACTGTTGACTGTTGACCTGTTGACCTGTTCTAGTCCTACATCCCTATCGCCGATCCATTGCCACAGTTTCCACCCTGGCGCCAGTCATACATAATACAGCGTCATGCTAAAACATGTTCATCCTCCGACTCGGCAATCCAGAGCTCTCTATGCTTCTGGTATGGAACCATGTACCCATTCAATCATCCGTGATGCCTTTGAGCCCATAGTCTAACCACTCTTCCTTGCCCACGCGTCAATCCATCCCCAAAACAACCACACTTGATCTATATCAAACCCAACACTTTCTCTCAAGCAAAATAGCTCTTCCAAAGCACACCCTCTAGATCCTCCAACTGCTCTTGTTCAAACGCCTGTTCAACCGTTAGCTTTTCTCTCCTCTTGCCAGAACAACAACCTCATCACCATCCATCAATCACAAGCACGGCAGGGAAAGATTCGACTCACCTTGACATCAACATGCCACGTATCCTGCCTCGTCTTCTTGAAATCCGCAAGTACACTCTTGACACTCTTGCCTACCATACCCGGGTCCCCAGCTGCCTTCCTCGCAAGCGTCGCAAGCACATCAGGCAGCCACGCCGGCGGCGGACTCTGGTAAGGAAACGCCTGAATCAGGGATCCAAGCCCCAACACGGCCGCATGGCGCGTGAGCACCAACTTGCTCTGCTCCGGTGTCGGCGTACCCGGTATCCGAGACTTGGGAAGAGGGTTCCTGACCAGTTGCTTGGTGAAGCGTTCTTTGAGCGTCGAGACCTGGCGGTCGCGGAACGCGAGGGGCGAGCAGCGAATCATGCCCGACAAAGTGGTTCCCGCACCCATCCGGACTTCGAGTTGGACGTCTGAGAGCATGGCCGAGACGCAATCGAACATGTTTTGCTGCTGTTCTTCGCTCATGACGAAGAGGCGGCGAAAGTACAGGACTTGGATATTGATGAGGATGCGCAGGCGCTGGTGCCAGGATGTTGCTGTGCGACCAATGCGTATCAGGGCTGCGATGAAGGATGCGTCTTCACCTTGACGGTGAGGAATATTAGGTAGATGCCGGAAGACGTGGTAGGCGAGGGATTGGAGCTCGGGGTCTTCTTTGATGTCCATCATGTGGAGCAGTTGTTCCATGAAAACATCAGGGAAAAACTTAGTGAGTGATATGCATTCGTATGAAGAGAGTGTCGAGTCGAGCCAGAGGAGGACAGTCTTGCCACCAGACGTGTAAGATGATGGGGTTTGTTGACCCGCAGGACGTTGCTGGCGCCAGGCCTCCAGGCGCTCAAACGTTTCGGTGATGGTGCGGCTGAATTCTTCGGTAGGCTGGTAGGGACGTACACCGATTGAAGAAGCTTCTTTTTGCGCTTTGATCAAGGTATCGACATCCTTGTATGATTCGTGATAGCGTGTACGGTATATGGTTGCAATAGTCAACCCCATGGCCTCACGCACACCCTTGTACGGATGATCGAGATGCTTCATCAGATCTTCAAGGATTGGCTTCTCTAGACGGAAATGCCAGCCAGCATCCGTAATGGCTTGAGTAAGTAGATTGACTTTGGAGCTCTCCTTGAAAGCCGCATTAGACTCCATGTCGAGACGGAAGCTGGCGAGCCAGTCGACCAAGGGCCATCCTCGGCGTGGATCCTTGGACTGAAGCACGACGTGGAGGAATGTAGTCCAGTAGCCGGAATTCTCAGGTGTCAGGCCGTCTTGGAAAATCCCACGGACGATCGGGAAGACATATTCCCAGACTTCTTCACGATGCTCAGGCTTGAGGTCTGGTGCGCAGGAAAGCAGTGCTGCCATAATCTCCGCAGTTGCGCGATGCTGATGCTTGTCGCTGCCATCGCCATATACAGACTGCGTCAGATCCTTTATGTCTTCAAAGGTCGCCTCCGTCAAACCACAGAAGATAAGATCAAATGAATGCGTCAGCAGCATTGCGCTCGACATGCGGAAGCGGTCTGCACTATTGTCTCGCGGCTCCTGCTTCATGAAGGCGAAGTAGTTTGAGAACCACGATCGTGTCAAATGTTTTGCAATCTTCTTGCGGACTTCATCTTCGACATTATCATAGGACAATTGAGGTGCATTCGGCTTGAACCCAGTCATGGTCTTGTTCCAGACCAACCATCCAGGGTAGTCAAAGTCGATGTAGTATTTGGCTTCTGGCTGTGCAAACGAAGCGAGGTACTCTTCAGTCCAGTTGGGGTCATCGGGTCTGGTAGGTATTGTGACCTTATCAGGTAGTTCTTCCTTGCCCAGCAGGTACTTCTCGTAGTCGTGACCAGTAATTGCACGCGTTTGGATGACGGAGAACAAGCCAATCAAAGCCCCAGCATACAACCCACGTAAGCTAGGGTGCTGGTCGATCGTGCCCTTGGTGACCAGGTCGATCATCTCATCGGAAGCAATCGAGTCATAACGCATGCCCAGATTGATCATGATTGCTGCCGTCCGACTAACTTTTTTCCAGTGTTCCGTGTTGGCAATAGCAACAAGTTCTTTTGACAACTCTGCCTTCTTGCTTTCGATGCGAGCCCGCTTCTTCTTGATAAAGTCACGTCGCTTCGCAATCTTCAACTCGATGCTATTGTTCTCGCTGGGATCAATAGCGTATGTGATCGCCTTGACAGAATCCGGCGACATGATGACCATGCGTTCCGTCGCCTTGCCCATGTCCATGATTTGGAATGTTGCGTTTGTGGCGAGTTTCTGTACCGAAGGCTTGTCGGCTCCAGTCACGTCAATGAAGGCCTTTATTAATTTGGGAGTAAATCGCCAATCTCGGCTTATGGTCTTTGCAAGACTACCAAACAAGAGAGCAAACATGGCACCCTTAATGCGCGGATAATCGCTCTCCGCTACCGCTTTGACGAAGGCGTCTAATAGCGGTGGAATGACGAGCGGCCTAGCACCCAGTATGCACTTGACGGCAGATTCATTTGCGGTCTGTGCTGTGCGTCGGATCTCTGTGTAGAGAGATATGCTTGACTCGGCAAGATCCAGCAGTAGCCGCTTATCAAGATCTGTCTTCGGGCGAGGCGTGGCATTGTGACGAAGTCGCTGAAGATGATATACGTTTGCACGTCGTACCAACAAAGGTCGTGGATATTGCTTTCTCAGTCCGCTAAACTTGAACGCTTGCTCATCATTTTCCAGTAACCTAGAGATCCTGTCCAGGACGTGAGCAGAGCGTTCGATGCCAACGTCGATAAACCACGAGCGGTAGGCGTTGTAAAGCGAATTGAAACAGGGCACATCATCTGGTTGCTTCTCAATCAGGAAGCGATGCACATTGTGCAGTACCTCACCAATTTGATGGCGCAGATCGTGGATGAGAGTGTAGTTCTTGTCAGTGCGGCGGAGTGGGTATCCAGACTCGTACTGAAAAGTGGGTTTGACTTCCTCATCTTCAGCCTCTTCCAGGCCAGCATCACCGTCGTCGACAGCTTCTGTGTCCATGGAATCAGGATCATTCTTCGTCTCAGCATCACTTCCCTCGCTTTGGTCGTGCTTTACGTCAAAGAGGACGGAGATGCCAGAAATAATGAGCCGGAGCAAAACCAAGTTCCTCGAAACCTCATCCGACCAGTCTTTGCCAGTGCCCTCACGCTTGATTGGTGGATCAGACTGAGTCAGTGCAGTAAGAGCTTTCATGGCACTATTAGAGTGCGTCTCAAAGAGCTTGACCGCAAAGTCAATCTCTTCTGCGTTGGGAGAATGCCACTTGATCTTCATCTCCTTCACATCCATCTGCCGACCCCACGACTCTGTTGACAAGCCCTGCTCAAGCTCATCGTCTTCGTAGATGGAGTAATCGACAGTGTAGGTGCATGTCAAGTTGAGCAACAAATGATGGATGAAGTTGGAGACGTGAACAGTAGGCGTACCACGGCACTTTTGCTGCATATACTCTGCAATCTCGAACAACTCGTCTTTCCATTCAAGAACGGCGTCGCCAACATGAACGACACACATACTAAGAATACTAAGATTCCACACGAGTGCACGATCGCGAGGAAGAACCTCCGTACCAGTCGTTCGTGTTGAGCCAGCACCAATATCTTCAATCTCGGTACGAATACCGGCAAAGAGATGTGGCAAGAGACGCTTCAAAGCCTTCTCAGGATTAATCTTCACCAGACTATTGCAGATGAAGGCAATAGCATCCCGAGCCTGGTGGATGACATGATTCGTAATAAAGTTGGCAATCTTATCCAATGCGACATCATAGAGCTCAGGCGAGAGGGCCGCGAGTAATGGTGTGAAGGCAGCGGGCAGGTGATTGACCACATATTCTTCTGGCGATCCAGTGCGAACCCTAGACGCATCCGGCAGATTTTCCAAGAGTGTGAAGACACGACCGAGGAAGGAGATGAGAAATTCATTCAGCCCAGTGGTCGAGGACTTCAAGATCATCGCCTCGTCCTCATCGCTGAGCTCCTTGTCGTAGTCGATTTCGACATTTCCACCACTACTCTCGAGGCGCTCCACTTGTTCTGTGATCCATTGTACAGCCAGTCCAGTGTCACCACCAACGTCCGACATGGGCGAAGTTGCGCCATCTCGGGAAGCGTCTGCGCCCGAAGCCTTCTTCGCCTTTGTCAAATCATGGAAGGGAACGAGGTAGCACACACCCTGTACGTATTGTAGCGTGTGCAAGGTCTTTTCCAGGTCATTGGCGTCTATGCCAGGAAGTGCAAGCCCGAGCACCGAGGTGACGTGGCAGCGAAAGCCTTTTGTCTTGGCCATGACCTTGGAAAGCATGTGCAACGCTCGGATGGACGAGATGGTCCGATGCACCTCAACAAGCCCCTGCATCGCTGGATAGATTCGGTGTAATGCGCCAGGTAGAATGAGGTTGGGCTCCAGATAAGCCAAGCTCTGCAGGGTAGACAAGGCGTATTGCACAGCTTTGTCACTCTTTGAGAAGATGCCCATGAAGGTCACATCGCGCAAACAGAGCACGAAACGCCGCTTGACTGCGTCATTCAGCCTTCTGTCTTGAGGCACGTCCATCTCGCCACTGTGCTCCCGGTTCCAACGCAAAACGAAGAAGTCGGCCAAGTAGTACACAAACTGGGACAATGGCCTCGTCCAGCTGCCAGAATTGGAAGGATGGAAGAAGGTCTCTACTGCCTGAACGAGGCCTTCAAGCTTCGTCAGCACAGAATCTGGGCTCTCTACACACGCTGGGGACAGCGACATGGAGATGATGCGGGCAATGTGATGCGTAGATGGGTGCTTCCGAGGATCACGATCCAGCATCACGGCCAAACCTGCTCCTAGATCCACTACCGGACTGTATGCTGATGTTGCCTGGCCCACGGGAATCTCGAGCAGCCTCAAGATCGCCGTGAAGATCTGAGAAGACTGTTCTGCAGTGAAGACGCCGTATTGTGAGAATGGAACGTGTGCTGCTGTCAGGCTGTCCCTAGCCAACCTTGAGAGGGTGTCGAGATAGTGTGCATCAAACAGTCTCGAGCGGTTGACCAACGACCAGAGGTGGAAAAATGTGGGCAGGTACTCTTGTGGTAATAGTTGGGCCATGTCCTCTGGCGCTGGATGTGTGGGAAGCAGGAGATTGAGTAAGCCGACTACGACGAAGGCGTTTTCCGTAAAGGACGTGCTGAAAAATGGCAGAAGTTCTTGAAATATGGCAGGTATCTCCTTGGGATCGAAGTAGAGTTGCGCAAAGGTGCACATTTTGGTCAAGGTTCGGATGTTACGCTTGACATTGGGCGGATGCGAGCCTCCCGACTCGGAGGGCAAGACGAAGAGCTTCAGCTCACGGTAGAGCGGCCGCCAATCGAGAACGAGGTCCTTGGCGGGCCTCAGATAGTGTTTGCGCCTGCCACATGTCAGTCCCTGTTGTCACAATTGGATGGTGTAATGAGTGAGTGAGTGAGTGTGTGTGTGTGTGTTGTGTATGACGCCATGTCCAAGACTCACTTTGTCAAGACCATGAACATGCTCGCAAAGCGCTCCGCCACCAAATAATCTAGGCCTGGAGCCAGCGCCAGCTCGTAGTAGAGATTGACCAGCTTCACGCGCGTGCTGCGGGGCAGGTCAAACTTGAGCGACAGCCATCCTCGAATCTCGCGCGTCCAATGTACGGCGCCCGGCGCAAAGTCACCGGCGGAGACGGCGATGTAGAGGTGCTTGAGACATGTGTTGAGGCTCTCCTCGCGCTCTGCCTGGTCCTCGGATTGATAGGGCAGGTACTTGTCGTAGGGAAATGTCCGCGGGCGACTCCTCTCGTCTTCGCCATGGAGGCTGCCGTTCGACTGCCGCCAGTCGCCGCCTGGTGAGGTCGCACCAGATGTGTTGGGCCCAGAGCCGCTGTCAAGGGCGCCCATGAGCTGTGAGATTCGTTCGCTGACTGCCATGATGCCGGGTACCAGGTTGACAGGTACAATAGGGCCGCCGTTGCAGTGGGGGAAGAAGGGGGGGGGAAGACGTGGGGGGGTCGGAGGGGAGGGGAGGGGGCGCGAGGTTGTAGAAGCGTGCCTATGGGGCGGGGGAGGTGTTTTCGTGGGGTGCAGTCATCAAACGACAGCTAGCAATGCGCAATCAGGGCTGCGTAAGCTTGTTGATGTGTATAGTTCTCGGCTGTGTGCCAATGTTGAGTTAGCAATGACGGCTGTAGAAGGCAAGTCATGTATGTAGGCCGAGCGGGAATGAACGAACGAAGTCGATGGTTTGGGAAGGTAGAGTACCGGTCCCTATGGGTACCGTACCATACGAAACAGGGCCGAGCAGTACGTAGAGTACCTACCTAGTGTAGGGAGGTAGTGGTAATGAAAGCCCGTTTTGGAAGAACGTTTTAATACAACAAGAACAACAACACAATAACATACACTGTCTGGCGTCGAGGGATGCACCCTCTAGAAATGATGGTTGCGCTGGGGCGATGGGCAGTTGAAGCTTGAGCTTCTTCTTTTGTGTTTTTATTTTATGTTTATGCTTTGCTCTTTGCTGAGTTGACGACGGACAAGAAGGTGGAAGGGCAGGCTCGAATGCAATGCAGTGCAACCGTGGTTACAGTTGGTTCCAATGTCTGGCGTTTCCTGCTGCTGGTGGCCGGCGCCTCTCTCGTCCCCTCCTATCAAAAGTCTGGGCCAGGTTCCAAGGTAGGATAGGGTAGCTAGATACCTAGGTAAGGGTCAACACTGCCTACTAGTAGAAGCTTGGGCACACATGCACTCGCTCGAGTCTCGCCCCCCTACGCAAGCCCTGCCTCGAGTGTGCTCGGTGGTCAGTGCTTACTGTGCAGCGGCAATAGGCGAAAGAGAAAGAGAGAGAAAAAGGTGGTGGTGGACAACGCTCGAGATATGGCCTGCCAAGGGAATGGGATGGATGGATGGATGATGGAGGGACACAGGACTGGGGACGGGAACTAGAAATGCAATAACTAGGTAAAAAGGCTATATGAGGTGATAGGATAGCTACACACCTTACCTTACCCCATCACGACTGCAAGACCACACGTCCAACTTTATACCTACCTGCTGGCACTGCTTCGTAGCCTTCTCGCCGGGACCTCTCCGCCAGGCATACGCAGACGGGCAATCAATCCACCGGGCACTTGAGTAAGCACTCTCCAGACGTTCACTTTGCTTGTTCCCAGCTTTTTACCTTGTGGCCAATCGCCCTTCTACTCTGGACACCCCGTCATCAAAGTTTCTTGCACATTGGACGGCTACCTGCCATCCTCCTCTCTATTGTCTGCTCGTCAACTACTCTAGGTACGACACGCGAGACGCGACACGGACCCGCCTTCGGCCTCGAGCAAGGGTCTTTTCCTTCTCAAGTTCTGTTGCGCGACAATCACGTGCCCCCCCCCCCCATATCACCAACATCCAGACACACTTGACACAAACACTCATGCCACATGCCACACACATAGGTACATGTTTTATCTAATGGCAGCATCCCCATCTCGGCTTCCCTTGTTAATTGCCAAACAGTCCATCCATCCCACTTCATCATGACCTCCTACTACGACGTCGATGCCATCCTCACAGACGCCCAAAAGGTGCCCTGTACCTTTGAGCTCACCGTCCCTGGTCTCGGCTACCTCGAAGGCAACATGACGGGCGACATCAAACAAGGCTCCAAGCTTGAGCTCCCACTCTGGCTCGGCGAGATGCTCGCCCTAAGGTAACTAGAAGCCTAAACCCCCTCGTTCGAGACGGACAAAAAAGAGGACGTCTGTTCATGTTCATCCTCGCCTTAGTCACACCCTCAACACCTCCGCCTTCCTCACCCTCGATCCACCCGCTGCACTAGCCCCACGCGTCATGAACGCGCTCAAAGCAGACCCCCGCACCGTCGACCTGCGGGCCCTGGCTCCCCATTTCTACAATCTTGGCGCCAGAATACTCGAGTTGTTTGAGGATGAAGAAATGATGGAAGTCCTCAGTCATGTAATTTCCAATCTACCTCTCTACATAGCCACCGCCATTGACCAAAATCCAGACATTCAAGTCAAGAGCAGCAGTCATAGCCGATCAGGCTCATAATCCTAGAGGCGCACTGGGTGAAGGTGCCGACTTCATGCAAGGCCTAGACGAGAATGAGCGACAGTGTAAGTCTACCACCACAAAGGCCCAGACTTCTTTTGACACCAGCGCAGTGTTTCGAGCCGCACATGACAGTGCCAAAGGCGTGCGGATGTGGATGGCAGATCTCAAAAAGAACTAAGTTTCTCGTCACCACGGTCCATGTCAGCACACAGGCCGAGAAACGCCTCGTGCGCGGGTAGCAAGGCGAGATGGTCATCTCTCGGTTCACATGTCCACATAGATGCTGGCAGCTAACACCCAAGAGGAAAACCAATTCTCTCCTTGTCCTCGACACGGAGGATGCAATGGCAATGGGATGAAACGTTGCACAGGCCCAAGAGCAAGTCGTTAAATGCCTACCTTGAAATTACAATACAATACCTCACATCGAATCACGCACTCGAATCAAATGCTGACAAGAACACAAACATCACCGCATGGCGGCCCCTAGGTTGCTGTTTTGTAACAATGCAATCAGCTGTTCTGGCGGGTACCCCAGAAACACCGGTCCATTAAACACCATTTGTGGGATTACGTTGGGGGTTCCAGCCGCTTTGGTCGCTGACTCCGGCGCCTGTAATGGTGGTTGGGCTTCTGGTGGCGGCGGCGTCGGCAATGGGATAGGCTCTGACGGCTGTGTAGGTGGTGCTACCGGCGTAGCCTCAGGTTGTGTGGTCGCCTGGCCCATCATGGCACCATGATCGAATGGACATTTTCTAGTTTTCTGCGGTGTTTGCCCAGTAGACTCCCCTTGCTCAGTCGGTAGTTGTGGTGAGGCGGTTGGCACAGAGCCCACGGATGAGGAACTGTCTGCATTGGTGTATTTGGCCGGTATCGATATGCCCCAGGGTCGGCTCGGTGACTCTCCAACCCTGACTTCCTTGAGTGGTCTATCACGATCAAAGTGTGCAGTCCGTGCCTCATCTGGGTCAGGCACTTCTGGTTCAGAATCTTCAGGCGGTGGAGTACCTCCATGCAGACTGGCCGACACTGCTGTAGCCCACCTCTGAACCTTGGCATCTGCCTTTGCATCAGCACTGGCCGCGGATGCAATGCCAGGCTCTTCTGCGATGACATCTTCAGGCTCTTCCGGGAGCCACGCTTGGTGTTTCTGGCCGAGACCCTGTATCATATTGACCAAATTGCCATATTTTCTGTCCAGCTGTTCTATGCTCTCTGCATTTCTCTGGAAGCGGGTGATACAGACCTCGTGGCTTCGTGGAAGCTCGTGTTTGTGTTTTTCGAAATATTTTGCGACCTCCTCTGGGTCGTGCTGATCCAGGAAGCGAATTGGGCAAACAGCAGCAGACCCAGACACAGCCACAGAGGCAGCAACTGATGTGGCGTCATTACCGCAGAATTCAGCGCGAATGGGGTCGTTGAAAGATGCACGATGTGATCGTCTGCCCCGTTGACTCAGCCTAGAAGTGGAACTGCGAGGGGTAGCGAGTGGACTTCGTCGTCCAGTCGTGGAGGCAAAAGGACAGCCTAGCTTGCTCGGTGTTCCGGCGACGGTGAAGTCCCTCTCTAAAGGCGATTTGACTGTTTCAGCTCGGGTCTCTGAAGGGGTGGTGGAGTTATCTGCGGACGGCCCGCTCCAAATCGTGACACCTGGCTCTCCATTAGACCGGCGCAAGGTTAGCGCAGCTTCTTCAGCCTTTTGTATGGCCACGGCTCGACTCTTGCGTTCAACGTCATCGCTATGTGCCAGCTGCTCTACCAGGTTGATGTGCGCCCGTGGCAGCTCACCGCCCACACGTTCGAGGTCTTGCAGAAAAGCAATGTGGTCTTGCGATAGTGTCGCTGGTGTGAATCGTTTCAATAGATCAAGGTACTATCAGGCGTCAGCTAGGAGGTCGCCAACAGGTAACCATGAGACCGAGCATGAAGGGGGATGTGAGATCAGGAAATGTGGTTGTTGTCTGTCACAGCCGCTTTGCAGCTGCAGGTCTAGAGCTAAAGTTTTTCATCACAGAAAAGATAAAGGAGGATTAGGGGTGAGGCAAAGATGACAGCATACCTGTTGTTTGGCCCATGACAGCTTGCTTTCGAGCTGCCGCTGCTGATCAAAGAGGATTTGGTACTCTCCGCTCAGCACTGCGAAGCCTTCGGCAAGCTGTTCCGCAGCAAGCTGGACATTGTTCTTCTGCGCCTCCTCAGCCATGGTGAGTCGTCAGTAGAAGGGAGAATACGGTAATACACAAGAAAGGTTGCAGTGGGGTGGAGGAGATCAGCTCTGATGACGCGGCAAGTGAGGCACGCGGTTGGGTTGGGTGGGCAGCACAAGGTCCAGGTCGAAAGATGGACGGAAGGCCGGCAGAGACTTTGACAGCACAGGGCACAAGGGGGGGGGGGAAGAGAAGAGCCGCGCCACGCTTAGTCACCCAGTCTCCAGTCCCCAGCCACAGAAGCAACGTGGGCGACGAGGCTCTTTGGGGGGATTTCTTGGGAGGCGCGTCAGGTCCCTGCGCCTCTGGGCCCAAGTTACGTAGCATCTTGCCATTGCATTGCCTTGCGATTCGCTTCTTGATCACCATGATGGCGCCCGCTTCATAATCTGTTGTTTGACTGTCGTTTCTCGCTCTCGGCTTGTCGCCATTTCCCCTTCGTCTTAGCCTTCTCGTACCTATATCACCGTAGCCTGTCTGTCTTGCAGTTTCAAACCTTTTATAGACCTTGTTCCAACGTTCTCACCAACACCACCAACATGGGCTCCCTCCACGACTCCCGCATACACAAATGGTTCGCAACGTCGCCGCCAGTGACGTGGACCATCAGGCACTTGCGAGAGTTGCTCATTGGCTCCCTTAAGCAGGGCCCGATCCCCCAGCATGTCGCTTTTGTCATGGATGGAAACAGGCGGTTTGCGCGTAATCATCACATTGAGACTGTCGAAGGGCACAATCTTGGATTCGAATCGCTGGCCAGGGTATGGCTTGATGAGTTGTCTCTAGTCCTGGCTGGCTTTGCTAATCTATCTGCCAGATCCTTGAGGTGTGCTACAAGACCGGTGTCAAAGTAGTTACCATCTATGCATTCAGTATAGAGAACTTCAAGCGCTCCAAGCACGAGGTGGATGCGCTCATGTCCATGGCCAAGGTGAAGCTGCAACAGCTAGCAGAACACGGGGCCCTGCTGGACAGATATGGCGCATCTGTACGGGTGCTGGGCCAGCGCGCGCTCATCCAACCAGACGTGCTGATGGCCGTGGACAAAGCTGTTGCAATGACTGCACACAACAAAAAGTCAGTACTCGTCCACACACTCATCGAGGAAATATCACTAAGACTTGGCAGAGCTGTGCTCAATGTATGCTTTCCCTACACATCACGGCATGAGATAACGACTGCTGTCATGAAGACGGTCGAGACCTATGGGACGCCCATTCACAACCTCCCTACACCCTCGAAACGCGCCTTTTCAGAGTCGCACATAACGCAGCACATTCGAAAACAAATGCTCGAGGAAGACGCAGATGCTGGAGCGGAGCAGCTTGACGAGCGGCTCTCTGATGGCTCGAGAGATACAACACTCGCCGAAGACGAGCGGTCTTCGTCGACCTCGACGGTGATCAACCCATCTGAGAAAGATGATTTGTCCTACAGTCCTGCCTTCCTCGACCCCGAAACAATTACCGCACAGACGCTGACGGACAACATGATGACGGCTGATGCTCCGCCATTGGACCTGCTGGTACGGACGTCCGGCGTGCAACGGCTGAGTGACTTTATGCTCTGGCAGTGCCACGAGAACACATCCATTGTATTCTTGAAGTGTCTTTGGCCGGAATTTGACTTGTGGCACTTTCTCCCTGTACTGGTCGAGTGGCAGTGGCAACAGAAGAAATCGCTCGAAGGCCATCAATGGGGCCGAGGGCGATCAAAGCTGGACTGAGAGTGCACAGTAAAGCACATACGCTTGAAACTCAGCGAGTGATGATAGAAGGGAGAGACCTCCGAGCTGTGAGAGCGCTTTGACGATACCCCAAACAAGCGGAACCATTGATACATACTTTAGCGAAGTCCATCTATCCTACCTATAGCGAATTATAATGCAAACAATGCCGATCCTCCGCGATCGAGACCCTGCCAGATTTGATTACCACCCGTCTCGCGGTTCGGCGCGCCAGGCGTGACATGCGTCAAACTCGCTATCTTTCGGATGGTTGCGTCGTCCTACCGAGCATGGCGACCAATCTGATGCGCGCTAACTGCCCTTAGTATGCAGGTCCTCTGCGTCGCCAGCTTGGCCTCATCCAACGTCATTTTTGAGTTATCCGTCGTGTAGGTAAGTTGGCACTGCCGCGCCGTGTAGTCCCGTGCCTCTCTTATACCCCGCATATTCTGCCACCTTTCTTTTCTTTTCTTTTCTTTTCTTTTTCCATTGTGTCTTGTCATCTGCTAGTCCTCTACAAGATCCTTGTCATTTGACGGTTTTGTTTCGAATTTATTCACAGTTGAGATTACACTGCATCCGCTGGGGAGTAAAAGCGAGCGGGCTTCCGTAAGCATTGCATTCATTGCATTCCAACAACACCCGGGTACGAACACCGTTTGCAACTCACCAACAACAACTGAAAACGACGGACCAAACTCACGCCTACTTGATCCATGTTTCTACCATCCGAAATAAACTCCTGGCGCCTGCAAACCTCGCACATCACCACCATGTCAACACCATCCTTTCTCTCCCTTCCCGTGGAACTCCGTGAACTAATCTACGGATTTATCTTCAGCAGCTACACCATACGTCATGGATTCAAACAGCCTGGAGGCAGCCGAGATGCTCCTTGGACCGAGGATGCCAACTCCGACCCACTACCATCAACCCGCACAGCCCTCCTCCTAACCTCACAACAAATCTACACGGAATCCTGGCGCCACCTGCCCCAAAACGTCACCCTCCATTTCCGCGGCACAGAAGACCTCCTGCATACCCTCTTCTCCCTCGACCAATCCACCCTCACCCACCTCCGCCATATCAGACTGCGCGGTTACCCCTTTCCGCTATACCCCTCGGGTCGCGCAGACTACTACCCCACCTACTACGCCGCCAACGCGCTTTCCCTATTCCCGGGCCTCTGTCTCGACACCCTAACCGTAGAAGACTGTTGGCACGGCTTCGGCATGGGCGATGGCTGGCGCGATCTCACCACCTACTTCGACATCGAGGCCCTGCTCAAGAGCGACGGGTGGAGGGAATTACTGTACATCACGCCCTGTACAGACTTCATCGCCAGCGGCTACGACGGGCGGCGGAAACGCAAAGTCCAGCCACAGACTTGGGATGATATGCTCAAGGAACGGGATGACGGTGAGGGTGGTGGCGGGGGCGCACAAGTGCAAATGTGGATCGTCCCTTTTAACCAGCAAGATGGCGCCGTTCTAGCTGGCCCTCGTCCTCCTGCTGCTCTTACCCCTATTTCCCCTCCCACCACTCTCACCACCATTCCAACCGACCCCACCAAAACTGAAGACGGCAGAGCCATGTACCCCTGGGCCGCGCGACCCGGCCACGAAATCGCAGAGAACTGGCGCCTCGGCACCCCCGACCAAGAAGTCAAAGGCGAAGTCCGGATTCGAGCGCGCCGCGCAAAACGCGCACGGGTTGTGCAATTGGGATTGGCACGGCGGGCGGCGAGTTGGGAGGAGTTGAAGGCGAGGAAGGGCGGGTTTGCTCCGCTTGGTATGTTTCATGTCCCTTTTTTTTCCACTGCTTCCCATTCTACCACCAACAGAGCAACATGCTGACACCCCCCGGCTCGCCAGACTGGTCACCCTACCACAACGACATGGCCGACGCAGTGGGCTGGATTTACGGCGGCTGGGGCCGCAGAATGCAACTTGCCAATGCGGCGCTGAGTAGCTGACTCGAGCCGTTTTTCGTGCAGCCTGTGCATGCGGCGTGGATGGTGCGGTGAAGATGGGGCTTATAAGGTAGAGGCTAGGGTAGAGATGGAGATGGAAATGGGTGAGAGAAAGGAGAGAGAAGAGCTCGGAGGTACGGGTGGGATGAAAAAAATTGCATATCCGCTGTGGCAAAGGGAGAAAGGGAAGGAGGCGGAGGGTTATATACGGGGTTGCTTCGTTGCTCCCCATGCCATGCCATACCAAAGAGAGGATATAGGACCCATCAAACGAAAAGCGTGCGCAGAACTAATGCGAACTTCATCATGGGAAAAAGGCGAGCATGAGCCATGGTGTGGACAAGGGCAGCGTGTATAACAATGAGCCATCATATATGTATTTCACTACTGCATCCTCCCTCCTTCTACCCTCCCTCACCCTCCTCCTGCCTTCTTGCCCCCTCCAAAAAACAATACCAACAACACCAACACCCCCAAAACGCATCAACGCCCTCGACGTAAATCCAAACTATCATGGACATATGTATATACACACATGTAAACATGCTCTGATCCAAACGAGTTGGTTCGTTCGCACGGCCGGTTGGGAAAAAAACTACAAAAAACCAAAGAAAAGGAGGGGGGGAGGGAGAAACCAGCCGTAACAATCGTTCAAGTAGTCATTCGTGTTCATACTTTCGTTCGTAGTAGATGGGTTGCTGCAACACTGCATAGGTGCAGGCGCGAAACGATGCGACATTTTGCCCAATGCAAAAGCACGGCAAAGCATCGGAAAGGAATGACAGGAAGAGAGAGAGAGAGAGAGAGATGTAGATGTAGATGTGGGCAAGGAATGCTACGAAGAGATGATGTAGAGAGAGATGGAGAGAGAAACCCATGACAACGCCAAAGGAAAAGTTCGTTAAGCGTTATAAGGATCCAAGGCATGAGGTGGCGGTTTGAGCTGCCCTTGTCCAAGTAAAGAATCGTTATGGGTGGGGGGGTTGTATCCAACACTCAAGATGGGGTGGTCAGATCACCCAAAGTGGTGATCACCGTGCAAGAGATGCAGCATCCCTCAAAACCAATCGTCATCCTTCACCCCGACATTCCCGATAGCAATATCCTTCTCGAATCCCAATCCAAGCGCCAAATCCATTTTGGGGGCCTGCAGCTGTGGCGGCGGTTCCACCTTCTTCGTCGGACTCTGCTTGACAGGAGATAAGCCGCCCTTGCCGTCACCCGCGCCCATACGCACAGTCCTGACATCCCAGTCATCAGCCAACGCAGCCCCAACCCAGACTTTGACACTGTCGTGCACGGCGCCGTAGTACTTGGGGTTGCAGGCGCGGATGACGCCCATGACCTTTTCAAATCCGGAGATCTGGAGCTCGTGGCGCAGCTGATTGCGTGCAGAAGCTGTAGGAAGGGACGCGATGATGCCGTTGAGGAGGTCGATGTGCGTTGCGAGATAGTTTGTGGCATCCCACTCTACACCGCCGACGTAGGGAGCCGCGGGGACAATGGCGCGCTGGCCAGGGAAGTGTGTCTTTGCGTACGACTTCGGGGGTTCAGAAGAGGAAGAGGAAGATGGACGAGGAAGGGGGATGACATTGAGGTTGTGGATAAAAATCCAAAATACTTCTTTGGTAACGTTGGACAGTTCTTTGCACCATACTTGGTAGGGTCGCGAAGTGTGCATCTGTAGGATGAAGGGAACGGTAGAGGTTTCCTTTTCCTTGACCGGGTCTTTGAGGTACCTGGCAAGCTCAGAGGCACGAGACTCGAGTTCGTCTTCTGGAGCCATGGAGATGTGAGCAAAGATGATTTCGATGATGAGCTCGCGAGTGGTGAACTCGCTGGGACCTTTGTGCTCTTCATCGAACAGCATGGCCAGTAGAGCCGGGTAGAGAGTCGATGAGATCTCCTTGAGTTGCTTGAGGGCTGTAGCAGTGGTACACAAACCCTTGAGGCATCGCAAGAGCTCATGAAGAAGGGTATCTTCGTGGTCCTCGCGCCATTCAATCTCCATGATGCGGTGGAGGAGGCCCACAAGCTCTGTCATACCGCCTTCTTGAATAAAGTTGTCTACCCAATCAACAGTTTCATTACGCAGTAGTAGTCGTAGCTTGTGTAACTTGCCAATCTCAACCTCCTGTGGCTTCGGTGTCTTCTTCAGATACGAGATGAATTCGTCAGCCTTGACGGCCTTGGCTCCATTCGAGACCGAGCGGTCGGAGGCATTGGATGCCAGCGACCGTGAAGAAGGACACCTGGGAATTGACTGAGGCTTTGATGATGTCTTGCGGTCTCCTCCTTCACCCTTCTGCTTCTTTGTTGGGGAATCGCTTCGGCTAAAGTTGAACGTTCTGCTTCGTGGGCGCTCACGCTTGGTTGAGTTGGCGGACTTGTCTGTCTGATTGGAAACACTCTCCTCTTCCACCGACCCATTTCGCGATTTGGAGGAGCGTGCAGGTGCTGGATTCGTGGCCTCATTGATGGATGAGTGTGACGATGTTGCCCGTGAGGTCTGTGGTGTGTCCAGCTTGTGCATGCGAACAAAGTCGGCCTTGACCTCGAGCTTCAGTGTACGCATCTGCCCACGTTGGTGGGTTGGGATGTTTCGTGATTCCTATCACAGTTAGCCATTTGCGAGCCATTGTAACATGTCAAAGAGACTTACCAGAACAGCCTCAAATTCAGCGTCCACCACCTTTGGGTCAAGTTTTGTGGGAGAGACTGGTACTGCCTCTGCCTGCTTCGCCTTACCATTGAACGCAGCGACAGCGGCCATGACTCTGCTTTGCTTCTTAGACGTAGTTGCAGGAGGCGGCACTGGCGTTAGATGAGGGTCCTTGCTACTGGTATCGGAAGCAGACCGTCCAAACATTGGCCTCGAAGAGGTGATTTTGGTCGGAGAGCTGTCTCTCTGGCGACCCTCGTTGCCCTTGGTGTCCGATAGTGGCACACGATCGCTAGTCTTCTTTCGCGAGAAGGTTTCGAGCAGCGAGGCCGTGGAAGTCGTCTTAGGCGCGCCCATCGACTTCGGTCGCTCTTTGGCCGCTGGCCGCTTCTGCAGCGATGGCTGGCCACCGTACTCGGAAAAGTCACGTTGCTTGGCGGGCGAGTATTCCCGAGGTGTGTATAGGGCAATCTCGTCTTCTAGGCTTCGCCGCTGGTCATTGAGGGGCACCTTGCTGGTAGTGGTGACGTCGTTGCGCGAGCTGAACTCGGCCCAGATGGGTGTCTGAGGCGGATGGTAGGTCGTCGTCGAGGTTGGCGGGGTGGTATTCTCCTTGTCCTTGGCCTGCTTCACTGGCGACTGCCCCCTGTCCTTGGACTTGCCTTTGCCGAACATGGTCGCGAGATTGGTCGATGACTTTGTTTTCTTCGGCTTGTTGGCCGCTTCTTCTTCTTTGCGCGCTCGTCTCGCGTCGGACGACTCTTTCTCCTTGTCCTTGGGCTTGTCCTGCTTCTTCGCCAGTGACCGCAGAGAGACGGAGCTGAGTGTCTTCTTGTGGAGGCTCTTTTTTGGACTCGCCGACTGGCTGTCCGGCGACTTGCGTGGCGATGCGAGGCCGATGGGAATGTTCTCAGAGCGGGCCGTGGAGCGCAATTGGCTGTCCGGGTGGTCTGGCGGCAGCAATGGTGTCTGGAAGTGGGAGGCAGGCAGATACGGGGCGTCTGCCAGCGGCTGCTTCCTGGTCAGCGCAACACCATCTGAGGGTGCGCGCTTGTGGCCCTTTGAGGAAATAATAGACTTGAAGACGGCAGCAGATTTGTTGCGGCGATGGCCTGGCGTGGGTGCAGCCGTGTCTTGCATGGTCATGGACTTTGGGCTGGGTGTGTCGCTGTTTATGGGATTTGTTCTGGATAAACAAACAAGCAAAGCAGGCGTCCAACTTCAGCCGGGCATCCAATAATCAGACACGAACTGGCGAACGGTCTATAGTGGAAGGGGTAGCGGGCATATTAAGCAGAGAGCGACAAGGTCGAATGTGCTGGCTCCATTCGCTCGTGCCGTTGAGAGAGAGGGAGATAAACATCGACGGTCATTGTCTGGGCAACCACGCTTGCGCTAACGCCAACCTTTGGAACAGCCAACGCCGCCGCACGGGAACGCGGCTTCGCTCCGACCGACGCCATCCCCCGCAATGCATCAACAAGGAGGCAAGCAAGTCATCACATCCATCACGTCCATCACATCCATCACATCCATCACATGCTTGCTTGCTTGACGTGCGAACCTGGCGCCGCTCACTCCTGGACTACTGCTGAGTGACGTGTTCTGTCATCTTCTTCTCGCACATGGTCGTCTTAACAACCGTTGCGGGACTCCAGGGCTCTCTCAGAGATATATCGGGTATTATGTATGTCATGGGTTTTGCCCTCTTTCACTCAAATCGCGGCCCCCCCCCCCAGACGAAGCCTGCACTTGGCATGGCCGCAAACCAGGCCGACGAAAGCCTTCTACCTGCTATCTTCCAAGGCTGAGACGCTATCTGCTCGATCTACCTACCTAGGTAGAAGCTTGTCATGCTGAGACATCAGACTGTGAGGTAGTAGATCGCTTCCACTGTCCCCATCGCAATGGAGAGATCATGCAGCATGTCCACTTGTACAAGACGACTATGGCCAATCGTGGTAGGTACACTGCCTTGCAAGGGCATTCCATGGGACCAAAAGAACGTCTGTGAATTGTTGCTAAAGGCTGAAGAAGAATATAAACATGTTGTAGTCCCGTTGACAATAGAGTCCACCATTACCACCTCGCACGCCAATCCCATCACCCCTTCAAACCTTCCCTTTCTTCTTCGAACGTCCTGTTACCAGCACGTCTCAAATCACTAGACCTTTCACGGCCCTCCTCCGTCTCTCCGTCTCACCAATCCTGACCAAAGGCCCAAGTACCTCCACTCCGCCATCGCCACATCCCTCCGTCTTGACACATACGCCCCTCGTCGGTAGCGTTCCACAGTTGCAATACTCTTGCACACATGCGCTTCCCACGGGACAATCGCGACTCAGCAGACATTTAGGTAGGGCAGCATCCTCACACTTGAACTTGTTTTTGTCGAAGCAGATGCCATTGCCTTCAACGCTGGACGCACACGTACACTCCACCGAGCCGTTGCTGGCCCCGCACATGCGGTCAAAGCCACAACGCGAGTCGCACGGACGAGAGGTGCAGACACCGTTGAGACAGTCGCGACCAGAGGCACATGCATTGCCGCAGCGGCCGCAGTGTGCCATGTCGTTCTTGAGGTCGTGGCAGCCGCCGTCGCAAAGGGAGACGCCTGGGCCACCGCAAGTGGGAGGTGGTAGGGTTGGTTCTGCGGAGGAGGTGGAGGAAGTCAAGGTCGAACTCGAGGCAGAGGTAAGGGTAAATGTGATGAATTGCGTGGTAGAAGAGCCTGAGGAGGAACTAGACGAAGAAGTAGTGTTGGAGAAAATACTGGAAGGGCTGGAAGACGGAGTGAGTGTCAACGTCGTGTCAGTTGTAATTGAAATTGTTGTGCTACCACTGAGAGAGAACGACGATGATGGTGACGATGTAGTACTGCTCAATGAAGTAAAAGACGTAGCGCTACTGGAAGAGTCTGTGGAAGAACTGCTGCTGGATGCGCTAGATGAAGCCGAACTGCCAGTAGATGAAGAGGATGACGCAGCCCTACTAGAAGAAGTCGAAGATGTGATCGATTCCGTGGCCGAGCTGGAGAAGGAGGAAGGTATAGCGCTCAAAGATGAGACTGAGCTGCTGCTCGAGCCAGTTGTACTTGGAACGTCGCTTGAAGCACTTGACGAGATACTCAACGAAGAAGTGGCATAAGTACTGCTAGAAATGGTTGAGTTACTAAAAGGAGCAGATGCACTGGCGGAGCTGCTTGACACCGAGGAAGAGGATGCGCTGCTTAAAGATGTCAAACTGTCGCTCGAAACGCTCGACGAGGAGGACTCTGAGCTGGTGGAAGTGGCAACCCTGGAAGTCGTCAAGAACGAGATCGGTGTTTCTGTAGAGGAGGAGCTGCTGAGAGTTGATGTAGAGGAGCTGCCGAGAGTTGATGTAGAGGAGCTGCCGAGAGTTGATGTAGAGGAGCTGCCGAGAGTTGATGTAGAGGAGCTGCTCGCACTAGCTGAAGACGAAACGCTTGGTGTAGATGACAGACTGCTAGGACCTGTTGTGAGGCCGCTTGAAGGACCAGATGATCTGCTCGAGGAAGTAGCCGTGACTGGCGTAGTACAAGAGGTGCTCGAGCCCCTGGAAGAGACATCTGAAGATGTCAAAGAGCCACTCGTAGTGCCGGGTTGACTTGAAGTGTTTGAGATGGCACTTGATGTGCTGCTCAAGCTGCTTGTACCGGGAGACGGGCTCTCACTCGAGGAACTGGAAATTGTAGACGAGCCAGAAGATGCTGCACTTGTGCTTGATGAGCTGCCTGCACTTGACGAACTTCCTGTAGCTGAGGAGCTGCTAAGAGTTGAGGAAGTAGCACTTGAGAGTGAGTTTGACGATCCAGCGGTCGAGGATGAAGACACACTCGTCTCAATGCTATTGGTAAGGCTACTGCTTGATAAACCCGAAGTCGAAGTCGCGAAAGACGAAGTAGAACTCGAAGAGGGTGATGGAATAATGATGGGACAAGAAGTTGTCGTTGTCACAATGTCTGTCAGGGTCGTGGTGGAAGTTGCAGTCGTAGTCTATGTTCAACCATTAGACATGTTACTAAGGCTGGAGTGAAGTACTTACTGTACTGACCCAGGTCACCACCGCTTGAGAGAGCCCAGCACATGAGCAAGCACTGACATATGATGGACGAATGCAAGCCTGTGTAGCGTAGGACGGGAACGACCCAAACGACGTCGTGGTGAGATATTCTGTTGGCACTGCTTGAATAGCTGCAGGAAGCCCATTCGCGAAAGCAGTGAATGCGTAACTGTCGTCTGTAGTGAGTGCCCGGAAAGCAGGCGCCGTTGTGGAGCATGGTAAAGTCGTTGTGAAGGTAGTTCGGGTAAGCAAAGTGACGGTAACGCTGAATCAAGTTATATGAGAGTAAGCTCCTTCAAGTCGTCGGATGCCGTACTTACAGGGGATACCAGATAACACTGGTCGTCAGGTAGTCATCGCAGTCATTCGCTCCCACGATAATTCGAGGGAGACTCAAATCTCCCCAGACGGCACGAAAACAACCGTCCTCCGTGCATCCTTGTAGTCTAGGATCGGTAACCGCCGCAGTGACAAGGAGAGTGAAAAGAAGAGTGATGGGAAAAGTGGACTTCATCTTGGTGTTTCAAACGATTGAATGGGCCTTTAGATCCGCGACTATGAAAGTAGCAGGACAGGAGATGGTCGTCTTTATACATGGCCATCATCGCCATTATGGCATCCCAATAATAGCAAGTCGAGCCATAAGCCCATTACTCTCATGTCATGGTACTAAACTATTTCTCTGATTGTTACTAGTAGAAGCTAGTGGCACTTTTGCAAGACTTCACGTACTCGGTCTTAGCGATGGCTTCTTGAACGCAGCCGTTGAAAACGTACTAACCTGCTTGGTAGAAGAGCTCGTATCTACGTGACACTCAAACGCCACTCAATGCGATTACATCGATCAGCTCTTCGACCGTTGCGATCATTACCGGTCTCAACATTGAGTTACTCGTACCGGTTCCATGGATAGGTCCCGCTCGTCTCCCGGTACGCCCCATGTGGAGGAAACACCCTCCCTCTACGACATGCATGCATGGCCGAATGAAATGATTAATTTCTGCGCACCACATGCCGCAGTATATATGTTGTACAAAAAATATAGTCAGGATGGCTTCACTAGATTCACTCTCAAGTCAGCTTATGCAGGTACCATAGGTATGAGCAGCTGGGAATAAAGCATGCGCCGAGTTACTCTTGGAGACATTACACGTTTTTGAATATCATGGCGATATACACAGCGAAGCTCATACATTTCCATATGTACTCAAGCGATATCGTAAGATTGCGATTTAACCTGATACCGAGTAGATGCTGTTGTGGTTACGATGGGGTCGCGATCAGACCATACCGGTATGCTTTGGCACATGTAATACTTCATAGCCGACAGAGTGGTCAGCGTGTTGGTACAACATAGTGCCGACCCCGCATCCAGAGAGCATCTATTGACGACGAGGAAACTTAGTGCCGATGTGAAGATTTACTTTTTGTTGCTTCCCCTGCGGATCTTTTCCAGCTCCGTGTGTGTGCGCATATCTCGCTATGCTCATAGAAACGCCATTAACGACATTCAGTCTACCCAAGCCGAGCAACTGTCAAATCCTGACGATACGGAAAGGCCCCTGCGCGACGAGGTTGCAGGTACAACAGTTGTTGCGCCACGGTTACAAGTCTGGAGTCGTTGGCTAACACCGTGATGACCGTTCTTGACTTTAGAAACAAAGCCTGAGAAACTCCGAATGGGTCGATCGCATTGAATGCTTTAGCAACCGAGAGCCAGGCTTCCAAAGCGATACGGAGTGGCTTCATTATTCACAGTCATCTGGTACGGTCTCAGCCTGCTGAGTTACCAAAGGGCAGGTTCCAAAGCTACAACAAATTGAATGGCCACCGATACTGCACTGAGCCACCGATCAGTCGTAGTCAGATCGACTCTTGATGCTTTCTTTTCTAAAACCAGCATATCATGACTGCCGAAAGCCGGGATATGATGAGATGATGCGATGATGTACTAGCAGGGTTCCTGGCGAATAAACTAACCGAATCACATCGCCTCTAGATAGTATAAACATGAGGTTTACGCAGGTGGTAGGAAATTCGCGTAAAGCATGCCCTGAACTAGTGTATACATGATCATTCCCCGGACGACTCCTTGCCCCTTCAGGAATGTCTTTTGATTCGGGGTCACGCGCCGACCATGGGTTAACATTTCGGCAATTGTTATGTACCAGATCGGATACCCAGAAGCAATACGGTTGACAATTTGGACGTGAAAGCTCGTGACGGCTGCTATGGCGAGTACAAGTTGCGGGAGCGCTAACTCTGGAACAGTGACCACAGCGCATGCTGAGTCCATGCGCGTGGGATCACAATTTACTGTAGATCCGCGTGTTCGAAGTGGCTGTTGCTCAAAGCTAGTATGGAGAATATTTACGCTTGATTGAATCAAAAGCCACAGCATTGGAGCTGCTAGGACGAAGAGTGGTAGATTGGAGGCGGTCCAATAGCGGAAAAAACCAACATTCCTGATTTCTATCAGAATTGAATACATCGTTTGAGACAAGCACATACCAGTAATGACTTTGTACCCACGAGTAGATACTCGGGATGCTTTTGTCGCACCACTCTCTACGACCGGAGCTGCCCTCTCTGCCACAGAACTCTCGATATGCTACATATTGGGGGCCCAAGAAGCCACATATGATGATCATCCCGGCCACACATGTGACCAGAATGCTTCTCATGTTATGATAGTTCAGCCGTATGGGCAAGAAAAGTGGTATGTAGCGTCCGACATCGTACAAAAGTATCAAGCCGCTCAGCAGACCATTACTTCTCATTAGAGTGGCTGATGCGAAGAGCAGACCAGAGCTTAATTTGTAAACGTCCTCCAGGAACGATGCATGTCCGCACTTGGCTGCAAGCTTCGACTGGACATAGCATAGCATTCCGGTAAAGTTGAGTAGAGAGAAGAGGGATTCAGCATAAGGTGCAGACATGAAAAGAGAGGCAGGTGTCAAGATGTGTAGTACGGATGCCACAAAGGCGACACGACGGCGTTGAAGCGAATCCAACACTAAGGCGAGAAGACGATAGAGGACAAGTACTGAAAGGAGGTGGCAGACATTGGAGACGATGATTCCAGCCACGATGTAGTACTGTAATGGGCACTCCACAGCGCCGGGGAAGGCTACTGAAAGTCAATACTGAGGCGCAATTTTCCAGGATGGCGCTCACATTGGCCCACGACTCTCAGGAGATGCGAGTAAGCCCAGCTGAAGGCCCATTGCTGTTCATGGACCTGGCCATGGTCCGCGGCATCAACAAAGTATAGTGCATCCCAACGAAAAAGATTGAGAACAAGCTGATCAGCGTGTGACAGATTTGCTAGATTGAGATGTCGTGTAGTACTAGAATCAAATAAAATGTATGCAGAGGTATCGTAGCCTGGACCCGGGCAAAATGCTGCAAGACCAAGCAGTAAAGCCTTCCATAGACAAAAGAAGCCAACGAGACGTCGGTAATGTCCTGCTGACGGACCCAAGCCAGTGCTTGTCATCTCGTCTCTTAAAGGGGACTTGGTGTTGGTGAGAGTCGTTGGGTTGGTGGCGCGTCACGATTGGGCGGAGCGGTGGGTAGCATCGGCACTAGGCATTACGTTGTTCCGGCCAACACTCGCTTCGAATATTTGTCTCGCGAATCCAACTTTGGCCTTTCGAAGCTTCGTCAACCCCAACTTCGTCGACCGCCGCCCAATACACACGGTAAGCGCACACCCATACCATGGATGCCCGTTAGCAGATCAAGTCGCGTGTCTTTGCAAGAAGCATGTCGCACATACAGATGGCTAGAGTGTAGATTGCAGCAATGCTTTCTCCTCTTACGAGATTCAGAAGTCAATTAGTGGATTGGACATTCGCTAATGGTTTCTGTTCTCTATGACAGCCTCGACAAATCCAAGATGCCTCCTAAAGGAAAGAAAGCGGCGCCTGCCCCCTTCCCCCAGGGCAAGGCCAGCGGTAGCAAGAAGCCCGCAAAGGTATGCTTTTCGACCAAATTCCAGCACTGCAAGCTCTAATGCCAGTAGAACCCTCTGATCGAGAAGCGTCCTCGCAACTTCGGTATCGGTCAGGACATCCAACCATCGCGCAACCTGTCGCGCATGGTGCGATGGCCCGCATATGTTCGTCTTCAGCGCCAGAAGAAGATCCTCAACATGCGCCTGAAGGTCCCCCCGGCGATTGCCCAGTTCCAGCACGTTGCCGACCGCAATCGTAAGACCCCAACGATGGAACTGGAGAGGTATCCGCTAATATATAACAGTCGCTACCCAGGCTTTCAAGCTCCTCAACAAGTACCGCCCTGAGACCAAGGCCGAGAAGAAAGAGCGCCTGACCAAGGAGGCCACCGCCATCTCCGAGGGCAAGAAGAAGGAGGATGTCAGCAAGAAGCCTTACGTCGCCAAGTACGGTCTCAACCACGTTGTCGGCCTGGTCGAGAACAAGAAGGCCTCGCTCGTCCTCATCGCCAACGATGTTGACCCTATCGAGCTCGTCGTCTACCTCCCCGCTCTCTGCCGCAAGATGGGTGTCCCATACGTCATCGTCAAGGGCAAGGCCCGTCTCGGAACGGTCGTCCACCAGAAGACCGCTGCTGTCCTCGCTCTTACTGAGGTTCGCTCCGAGGACAAGAACGAGCTCTCCAAGCTCGTCTCTGCTGTCAACGACGGCTACCTGGAGTCACACCACAAGGACGCTTCGCGCCACTGGGGTGGTGGTATCATGGGTGCCAAGGCCAACGCCCGCATGGACAAGCGCAGGAAGGCTATCGAAAGCGCTATCAAGATCTAAGGAGGTCTTTGGGAATGCACTTTTCGGTTCATCATGATTTTTTTTGGCGTGTCTCTTATCTCTGCATATAGGCGGTTCAATACCACGGAGTTTAGGAGGGTTAAAAGCAGTCGCTCATGACTGCATTGACTGAATTCTATCACGATAACGCACGCCATTGAGCATTACTGATGAAGCTGAGTGATGAGTGATGAATAATTTCACAGTGGGCCGAGGATCGGAGAGGGCTTACTATTAATAGACGTCCGACTACCCCACCCCCACCTCGGAGTACTTGACCTTGACGTCGTTGTGTTGCAATCGTACCCTGCATACTACCTCGCTGTGTTATTGGACTCTCCTCAAGCGCATGACATTGTTCGAACGTGCAGTCAATCATGCCGTTGACGATTCTCACCGACTCAGACGTCCGCGCTCTGCTCCTACAACTCACCAAGCAAGACATTCTTGATTTGCAACAGAGTCTTGCCGATGCTTTGCACTACTACTCAACGTCTACCGAGGAGGACTCCAATGCCTGCTGTTCTTCTTACCAGCCGCTTCGCACTGCACTCAAACGGAACGATGGTCAAACAACACTGCTCATGCCTGCCTCGTCGAACGACGGTATCGGTGTCAAGATCGTGACACTGCTGACCGAAGGCGCAAAGACAAAGTCGGATACAACATCTGACACCTCTTCACTCGAAAGGCTCTCCCTATCCCAACATTCCACCAAATCCACCAGTTCCTCGACAGCGATCGAGCCCCAGCCCTCTACCTCCAGCGCGCACAGCACAAAGCCCAAGGGGAGTCTCACCCTCTTTGACAAATCCGGTCATCCACGCGCGCTCATCAATGCGGAGGAGATAACCGCATTCCGCACCGCCCTCGCCAGCACCATGCTCTTTAAGAAACGGCACAACGTGCACGACCTCGTCGTCTTTGGTGCGGGGGCCCAGGCATACTGGCACATACGCCTTGCGCTGCTGCTACGCGGCCCGGACATCCACCACCTCAATATCATCAACCGCGACTTTGACCGCGTGCACCACCTCCTTCAAAAGCTCTACAACCCTTTCGAGGAGCCCTCGTCCCTAGACCTCGATCCCACCCACATCCCCGCGTACCGTCAACCAGACGCACGCACAACGGCCCTGCCCCGCCCAAAGATTCAAATTCTCACCCCAAGTCACGGCGAGTACGACCGGCTACTGAAATCCACCATCCGAGCCAGCAGCGTCATCTTCTTCACCACGCCCTCGCTCACCCCGCTCTTCCCAGCCAGCTACCTGACGAGCCCCGAAGGCCGCAAAAAAGGCCGGTACCTCGCCGCCATCGGCTCATACAAGCCGCACATGGTGGAAATCCACCCAGACATCTTACGCCAGGCCGTCGAACCCGAATACCACCACCACCGCGACTTCCACAAACATGCTGCGCGGGGCGGCGCCGTGGTGGTGGACAGCGTAGAGGCATGTCTTGCAGAGGCCGGGGAGATTATCCAAGCTGGGTTGGGGCCGCACGAGGTTGTCGAGTTGGGCGAGTTGGTCATGTTGAAGCGGGATGCGGATAGGCGGAGGAAGGATTGTGAGGCGAAGAAGGGGAGTAGCAAGAGCGAGGAGGGATTAGATGAGCACGGAGTGGAGATTGGAGGCGTGCAGGGCGTTGGTGTTGGTGCGCAGGAGAAGATGATGAAGAGGAAGAAGAAGAAACATGGCTGGGGCTGGGGCGGTAGTAAGAAGGGTGAACAGGACAAGGAAGGAGAGGAAGGAGAAGCAGAAGCAAAAGAGGAAGAAACATATAAACATGACAAGACAGCACACACGCTAGTCGAGTGGTTGACCAAGGGAAACGTCATATACAAGTCCGTCGGCCTCGGTCTCATGGACGTTGTCGTCGGCAGCGATTTGTGCAGGTTAGCAGATGAGCGGGGCATTGGGACCCGGATTGATGATTTTTAGGCTGGGTATGAGGATTCAGTTTATGTTTGTGGGGGCAGACGGGACATGGATAGGGAAATAGAGATATGCAACGGATATGCAAGTGCAGATGTATGCAGACACTGCAAAAGTAATGCCATCTTCTTTTATGAGTACCCGTGTTTCGCCTTTGTTGGCGCTGATGGGCTTTGGGGTTGTGTTGGTGGTACGGAAATAGTGCTGCCGAATTGATTGTGATGTGTGTGTTTGAAAGAGCATGGCTATAGTGGCATAGCTAGGATATGGTATCTCGATAATCATACATCTATAGAGGAAAAAGCAATGATAACAACTCCATATGCAATGCCATGCCATGCAACGCCCAACCATGCAATTCGACAAGGGCGAGGATGAAGAAAAAAAAGTCTCCCAAATACACCCAACCAGCAGTCCAGTGTAGTGTAATGCAATCTTAACAGTACTCGATGACTGTTCCAACAACACCACCGTCACGCCTTCTTCATTCCCCTCCTCTTCTTCCCCTTCGCCCCCGTACTCTCCCCAACTTCCAGACTTCCCCCCTCAATTTCTCCTTCTTGCAAGCCACTCCCCTCCTCGTCCTGCAACGCTTTCAACTTCTCTTGTCCACTAATAAAAAAACTCAAGTCGCGATTCTGCTCCTCAAGATCCAGCTTTTGCGCTTCCAACTCACTGACCCTACCGTCCGCCTCCTCCGCCTTCTTCTCAAGATGCCTGATCCGCCCCATCAAACTCTCGTTGATCGTTTGTTCCTCTTTGTACTGCTTCGTCAGCTTGCGCGCAAGTTCAGAAGCCGAAGTCGCCTTTTGTGCGTTGCGCGCACATTCCTTTTCCAGAGCGGCAATCTGGGCTTTCGCTTCCGTGTAGTGGAGCTGCAGTCTTTCGAATTTCTGGGTAAACGAGGCAAGAGAGCGCGAGGCTTCGTCTGCAGAGGATGCGGCTTTTGCAGCCTTGTCGACGGCGCGCTCAACCTGTTCTTCAAAGTAGGCGCGCTGGGATTCCAGTTGCGAGGTGAGGAGGTATGCGTACTCCATGCCCATGTTGTCCAGTTTTTCGCGAGGGACCGTGTCGTTGGCGTAGGCTGTCATACCGGGAGCGGCAAAGGATTGCTGTGTAGAGGCAGGCATGTCGACGAGCTTGCCGTCGGCTTTGTTCTGGATAAGGCGATGTACGTAGCCGTCTCCCGCATAGTCCCAGACATGCTGGGTGACGACGTCCATGGCATACGTATGAGACGTGGCTTCGTAGTGGGCAAAGGCATGTGCGGAGTCGTAGCGTCCGCAACCTATGTTGCCACAAATGAGACATATCCAAAGGTTCTGAGTGGAGCCGCAGATGCTACATTCGTTTTCGGGAGCTTCACCGTCGCCGCGATGGGTGGCAAAGGCATCGTTTTGAGTGTAGCGACATACTGGGCAGCCTGAGCCGCGCCACTTCTCGAGACAGGCGCAGTGGAAAACGTGTTGACAGAGTATGGTCAGGAGACCGGTAGATTCGTCCATGCGCTCAAGACACACGGGGCAAGTGGGCAGCTCAACCAGTGCAGGCGTTGGAGGCGCATGTGGCTTGGCAGTGAGGGACGTTGCAAGAGAGTGGCCTTCGACTGGTGATGAGACCTTTGCTGGCGGTGCGCTGATTTGCTTTGTGAGTGCGGGAGCAAAGGGGTCATTTGTGAGGTCTGGATACGACGTGGGGTCATGCTTCGAGTCGGCATTGAGAAAGCTGATGGACTTGACGAAGACGACATGACAGTATTCAGGCTGCGAGCTGTCAGCCTCCCTGCAGCTTGGTTGAGGTGACCATGACCTACCTCCATACTATTGAACGCCTTGCCATCCCACTCCTTCCTCCACTCACTCGCCTGTGATGGTTCCCGAAACTTCATCAGCACCATATACTTGTTCGCTCGGCTTGTCTTGATGAGCCTAAAGTGGGACACTTGCTCTCTTGTCTGCTCTCCCACGAAGCCCAGAAAATCCGACGGGGTCATGTACGAGGGTACCGCCAGTATACAGAGCGTAGTGCATTCCGCCCTGTTGAACTCGGTGCCCTCTCCCGCATGTCCATCATACAAGCCAGGCGTCTCCTGGCCATCACGGTAGAGATGGACGACGCCCCAGCCTACTTCTGTGTCCTTTGGCTCCGAGGGTATAAATCTACCCTTGGTCGCCAGGCCGCCGACGTTTGGGGCATGTGAAGGGTGCTTGAGAGATTGGCCATGCGCTCGAGCCAGTTCGGTACCGGTGGTGGTGGGGTTCATGTCGATGCTGATGATGGTTATGGTATCAAAGCGCCAGTCTTTGTGCGCAAAGCTCTGTGTGCGCCTGTGTACCGGCCTTTTCGGAGGCTTGACGATTGGCACAGGGCTGTCGTGGTGGTCTGAGAAGGACGGTCGCGTGCGTTGGCTGAAGCGATGGGCAGCTGGAGGCCGGTCGCGAGGTGCAGTCGGCTTGACAGCGTCGCTGCCGGAAGCGATCGCCTTCAGCGGAGCGTCATGGATGCGCGAGGCGGGTGCAGGAAATGCCCAGTCCGCTCGGCGGTGTTGTGGGAGCTCCGATTCGAAGATGTTTGTGTGCGATTGAGGGGTAAAGGTGTTCGTCTCGGGCGAAGAGCGAGTGGGGTACAGCTCGAATGTGAGGTGGAAGAAGTAGGCTGGCGGCATCAAGACAGGCGAAATGGGGGGGTGGCATACATCGCCCTGTTGTCACGTTGTGAATTGTGTGAGTGCAGTGTACCTAGGTAAAAGAAGGGTTGGGTTTAGTGACTGGGAACTAGAGTCGAAGTGTAAACCACGAAAACAACAACGAAGACAACAGCGAAAACAACAACAACAATAATAATAATAATAATAATAATGATAATAATACAGATGTCGTTGTGTGTGGTACATGTTGTTGTGGTAGAGCATGGGTAGGTACAAGTAATGGGTAGAATGTTGTTCGCGTCTGCGTCATCGTAATGGCGGGGCAAGCGGCAAGCGCGTGCCTCCCAGTTACTGTGTATATAGCCTTGCTACTCTACCCCTACGTATATAGTCAGTTAGTCATCCACCTGGGTTTCGGAGGCCAAAGCTGCACATGTAAATTGGCATATTCTTCTGATTTCTTTTCCTCTACTCTTCCGCCTTGCGCATCCCCAGCGCACAAGAGCCTTCACATGCTAATGATACTCATTCATAACGGCTACCATCGTTGCAGCAGCCCTCAAGGCCCTATAAGCAATAGATATAAACTATAAAATGCGCCATGGCTATGCAGTACCATGAACTGGCGCCCTTGCTGCACCGCCAGGCAGGGGAGCGGACACCTCACACAATCCATCGAAAAACTACATGATGCGCGAACCCAAGCACGCACCGAAAATTCCAGCCAGAAGAATAAAGTAGCAGCATCAACACTGCTGCTAGATCGTAAAGTCGTTGCAAAAAGACGCATGTGGGGTATCGTTTTTCAACATGTCCGCGAAAATGCACAAAGGAGAACCGTGGCGCCGCTCCTTCAAGCCTGATCGGCCTCGACAACCTCGCTCTCCGTCACATCATCAATCTCCTGGCCCGTCGAGTCCACCACGATTCGGCGTCCTCGCTGCTCCAAGGGCACACCATCGCGCGAAGCGCCAAAGTCAAGAACCTAGCCCCTGTTAGTCAAGATTCATTCCGCCATCGGCATGCTGCCTACCTCGATATACGTCATGCTGTTGCGCTGAACAGCTGCGACACATCGACGTTCATTAAACTTCACTTGCCACACACCACTGAGATCCGTCAACAAATCTTTGACGAACTCGCCAGTCTGTACATTCCACATCTTCAACGTGCGATCAGAGCCTGAGATGACCTTCTGGCCGTCATGCTGGAAGCACGTGATGGCGCCCGTGTGAGCGCACAGTCGGCTCTTGCATTGTCCATTCTCGGGATCCCAAATGCGAAGAGTAGAGTCGGCTGCGGCGGAAACGAGCCGCTCGTGGCTCAAGTCGAGCAGTCCAACAAGAGAGGTGTGGCCTTCCAGAGTGAAGACGCATGCGCCGGTTTCTAGGGACCAGACCTTGACCATGTTGTCCATCGAACCGCTGATGCAGCGGTTTCGTGCATGGTCCAGCACGACACTGTACACTTTTTGCGAGTGCCCTTGCAGGCGTTGCACAACGTCTCCTGTAGATATCTTCCATACACGCACAGTGCAGTCGTAGCTGCCGCTCACAAGCGTGTCTCCATGCGCAGCAATGGCGCGGACAGAGTGATGATGGCCGGCCAAAACGCGAATGAAGTAAGGATTTTCGTGGTCATTGGAGCCTCCTCCCGTCTGCATGACGCTGCGGTCGCCGGGCTTGGGCAATTTCCATACACGGAGTGAAGAATCCCGGGAACCGGTGATGATCAAGTCTTCCTTGGGCATCATGATTGGTTGACCGTCTAGGGTCTCGCCGATCTGAGTAGGTTTGAGAATGACTAGACAGCGCACAGTAGAGGTATGACCTTGAAAGACCTGTGTACACTTGCCCTTCTCAATATCCCACACACGCACAGACCGATCTGTAGAGCCAGAAACGAGTGTATTGCCTTCATACTGAAGTGCCCAGACACCACCCTCATGACCTTCGAGGCGGCTACGTAGCGCACCCGTCTTTGTGTCGTAGACATTGATATTCGTATCGTCGCTCCCAGTCAGGATTTTGTCCGTGTCAAATTGAAGGCACGTCACTACATGACGCTGGTGCGCACGGAACGCAATGTGTTTGGGCTTCGTGTCCTCGGCCATCCAGCTCTTGCGGATCAGGTGATGTCGCTGATATAGCGATTTGAAGAGATGCATGGCGCGTAAACCTGGAAGGCCAACATTGGGGTTGGGTATAGCGGACTGTGCTCGTTTGGCAAACGCATGCGGTCCTTCATTCTCTGTTTGCTGCCAATCATGCAGTCCTTCGTTCTCTGTTGGCTGCGAATAGAGGGCCACCTGGGATCTTGCAGAAGAAGAGCCCTTCTTGCGCTGTTTTTTCACACCAGCATACTTACTGGTAGCTTTCCGCTTCTGGCGCGTGGAAGAGGATCTAGTGATTGCACCTTCATGATCGCGGTGATTATTGGAATAGCCAGAACCGGATAGGCTAGGAGGGCCTTCATTGTCAGATCTTGAGATGACGGACTGTGCACGCAAATCACGCTCGTAACTGTCAGCCGAGTGAGGATATTGCCACCCCCATCCTTCTTGGACAGCACGCTCCAATTCCCCACTGGGTAGTTTGAAACCATCCTTCTCGAAGAGCTCTTTCCAGGCCGTCTCGTGCGTGTCAGTAAGCTTTCGCCAGTATTTGGACACTTGTGCAGCACTGCACATACTCTTGGCATCGAGATAGCCAAGGATTTCCAAGCTCAGTTCCGTAGGCAACGAGGCGATGAAGTCGCGTTTCAAGGCTGGATTGACTACATCCGCAACAAAGTGCAAGGTGGGCTTCTTGCATCGCCGAAGCATTTGGTACATGACGTATGACTTCATCTGCTCCGGCAAAGCATCGAAAGTGTTGAGCATGCTAGGTATACCCATTACCGTAGGCGTTGGCAGCTGGCGATTGGGGCTGTTCACATCGTTCGCATCAGGCATTACGACGTGTCTTGAATCAGAGGGGAAGAGCGGAAAGTCTCCCATACGTGACAGATGCCGGTCATCTTGCGAAAGGTCCAGCCCAGAGACATCACTGGGGTCATAGTTGTCTTCGGCGCTATGAGAGTTCTGTTGAGCCAGGTTGGCAGCTGCTGTTATGGGCGACAAACTTGGGCTCGGCAGACTGGCATCCTGTGCAGATCCCGTACCTAAGCCTGTCAAGCGAAGGTCCGTAAATGAATTCTCTTCAGTAAAGGGACCGACGGGTTCCATATCGAATTCTGCAATGGGAGGCGTAGCAGCTACACCAGGTCCATCCAGAATACTTGTTGAGAAGGACTGATCAGTCGAAAGCTCCTGGCTCTGGGATGCCGTACTCGTGGTATTCGAGGGCCCAGCAAAGGAATCCTGTAACTGCCACAGGGAAGAGTGGCCCTGGCCAGTCTGCCGTGAGAGGCTGCGCATGCTTCCTTTCAGCAACGACCCTGAGTGAGGGTTCGTCGCCCTCGAATTACCTCGCTCTGCTAGGTCTGTATCTGGCGTCGCTGGAAGGGCTTCATCCAGGTCCTCTGGTGTAAAATGTGCAGTCCCATTGGTCCCTTCGACACCGGTCTCGTTGCCGATGCGCGGCTTTTTGCTTCGGCGTTGTACGTGGGCGAGCTCGGCAGCCTTGCGGAGGATGGGGACAGGCCCATATTCATCTGCGTTTTCTCGTTTCCGTCGGCCGGACACGGGGCGAGATTGCGGAGGCTGGGAGTGAGCATTCGATCGCGTCGTGCGGTTTGGTGTTGCAAATGACGGGGGACCGCTGAAGGATTCGACCTTTTTCAACTTTCCATTTGATGATCGGAGGGTGTCGCGGAGCGAGTTGTGCTAAGGGGGGAAATGATGTTAGTTGACATGATCAGAGAAGAATTGCGTCGAGCGAGAGGGTCCCGGTAACAGGCCTGTCCCTGGATCGCCTAGATGCATACCTCTTTTACTTTGTCCGAAATGGGGTTTGCCTCCTCGAAGCAAGCCAGCTCGCCCCCCGATTCGAAGTAGAACTTGCGTATCGACTCGGGTGCTTGCGCATGGGCCAAAGGGTATTCCTTGGGGTCGCGCTTGCTGAGATTGCCAGGGGCATTTATGCAAATGGGCGGAAAGGTGGTGGTGGTAGTATACGTCGTCGTCACAACCGTAGTCTTGGTTGCTGGCGCGAAGGAGAACTGGCCCATGGTCGCATATGGATCGACTTGTTCGGCATGCAGGGTATTCGACACCGCGTCAGAGCCGCGGCCGCGGCCTGAAGGTGTCGGGGTCATGTTGCACGGTGAGTCGAGCGCGGTGTTGAGCGTGTTGAGCGTGTTTGGGGTTGGCTGAGCGCTTCTGGCGGCTTCAAGGTGGCCGTAGAAGCCGGTTGTCGTCCGATCAGGGTGATTGCGTGTCTGCCGTGGGTCGTCGGGGTCGTGACGTGACAGTGCCTAGGGACAACGAATGCAAAGCACGGGGGCTGCCCCAGACTACGACGCGTGAAGAGAGCGTTCAGGGACTACTGCTGCATATCGCCAGTCCCGTAACGGCAGACGTGTACGTGGGTGGGGGAGAGGAGGTTGTCAAAAGCGTAGGCGGGCGGAGGGTCGTCGTAGCGGTTCCTCGGTAGGTGGCTTCGCCGCCTTCGCCGCTGACAACCGGAAGGCGAGATAGGAGGAAAGCAAGGAGGAAGGTAGCGAGTGGAGTGTGTTGGCAAGTCGACCTGGACAGAAAGGCACTGCAGCAGAGAAGGCGGCAACAGGGCAGAAAGGCAGGGGACAAAGGCACAGCTGCAAATGTCACGAGGGCCGGCCGGTGGTGGGTATGTATGGAAGTGGTGGTGGTGGTTGGTAGGTAGGGTTGAGTGGACAGCGGGGGGGAGAAGCGAAGACCGAACGGGCCGCAACACTGGGCGAACTAGAGTGGAGTAGGTAGCCGTAGACTTCTTCTGGCCTACACCTTACCTAGGCACTGTACTGTGTGTACTGCTGTCGTCCCTCTTGACAGGCCCACTGGCCATGGAAGTCATTGAAGGAAGGCCGTTGTCTTGTGGTCTTTTGAATGTCTCGTCACGCAGCAGCTAAGCCGTGCAGGTGCAGTTGTGTGCACTGAGGCTTTGAGCACGTCGCCGGCAATCCATTCAATTCGTGCGGCGGGCAACCACACGTAACATGTATACTCTATCTAATGCAATTCAATCTAATTGCGCCGCCTTGTAGAGTGCGTAGTGTCTATGAGCCCGGCCATGGCGTGCACTCGACCTTTGGGAAGTCTCGCCTCGCCTACCCTTCCAAGCTTCCAAGCTTCCAAGGTCCTCCATGCCTCCCTCCTCAGGTGGCCCATGGATCTTTTGGCCTTTGCATGTGCCACCACCGTCACCAACACCAACACCAACGCTGAGCAGAGCAGAGCAGAGCAAAGCAAAGCAATCCTTCACGTCAACATCATCCGCCCATGGAGATGCTCGAGCTGCGGCTACAGGACCCAGGCAGGCAACCTACCGTAGAATACGCTACCTAGTATTGCAACCTTGTGGAATTGTACGGCGTCGCTCGGCACATACCGGTAGTCTCTGCCCACGCTGATTCGCAAGAACAAGGTCTTCTGCGTTGGTGGATGATGATGATTTTGCCTCATGCCGTGGCAAAGTGGTGACCTTGTTAAGCGCCGTTTCCCTTGTTCGTCAACTAGAAAAAAAAATGGACGAAAATTAAGGATAAAAAATGGAAAAGAGGGTGGGTCATTGCAAAAATTGATAGTCTACTCTAGAGTACTACTAAGCTGCTGTCCATTCCAATCGGACCTCTGTGGATTCGGTGTGGATAGAAACAATAGCCGGTCACTTCCAAGGTTCCATCGCTTGTCTGCAGCCATACCTACATAGTCACATGACGACTGCCAAATATTTGAACATGGAATCCACCACTACACCAAGTTTTTGCACGTTTCCTATCATCACAGTACCTACATGGATAGGCATCAGGTACCGTGGATCAGCATATATCGTAGAATGCTACCTAGAGTACATGACCACCGCCTTTACTCTGCAATAGGTATGACCCAGTACGAGTCGGTACCTATCGCTGAGACATGGTCTATCTAGCCTTACCGGTATTACATCCACTGTGCAACCTGCTTCAACCCCTTGCCCCTCTTTTCTACCAAAGCCAGGACTATACCTAGTGTGGTGCCTATCACTCACTCGGATTCTGGTTCCATCCGCAGATAAATGGGTTGGCAATGCAACAGTGTTGAGTCTCTGCCAGAACACTTCGCACATCAAAGAACATCCTCAGTCCTCACTCCATACTCATGTGTGTAGGTAACTCAAAGGGGCCGCTTGTTTCTGACCATGGTCTCAACCTCGAGGCCATCTTGCGTGGGCTCGCTCTTTCCTGCGCGGAGCTCAACAACGCTTGAGCAAGGAAGGTGCGCTAGACAGCCGTGTTTATATTACTTCAATCGCCATTCTTTCTTCTGGTCACTCACTTACTCACCTCTTCGCTCCTACTTCACTTCGCCTTTCTTCCCCCATCGCTCTGTCACGTCAAACGTTGCGAATTCATCATGGCCGGGAGAGGGAAAGAACAACAGGCAAATGCCAATGTCGTTTCGGCGCGAACTAGCCGCTCGCAAACTTCAAAGAAATTGACTGCACCTCCAGGCAAGAATGCAACCCAATTACAGCTACAGAAACCCGCCGCTGTCGATCTGGCTACGGCAATCCAAGCTCCAACAGCCCAGCAAGTAGACCAACAGCAAAGTCAGGAATTAATGCAGATCATGATTCATGCAAGCCTCAGTTCTGTCCTCTACTTTCGAAGCTGCTTGCCCGAAGACTGCTTTGAGACGCGAGCCTGTTTGAACAACAGTAGCCAGTACAAGTACAGCGACTACACGAGCGGAGATCAAGGCATGATTCAGAACAAGGTCGGCGGGTATATTAGAGCGCTCAGTAAAGGTGTCTCTGCGCGGGCTGATCGTTTCCTCCATTTGCTGGTGAGTACGGCAACGAGGTCATGTAGCAAAGACTGAAGACCAACAGGAGACCGGCATCTTCGACGCTTTCCAGAGAGGCTATCTGAGCTCTGTCCATCTAACAATGTTCGAAGAAGCAGAATTCCCTGATAACGTTCTTGAATCATGGACTTTGAGCTTCCACTACGCCGACGTGAGTGGTCAACGATCACTGTTAAGCATGGACCTGCTGTCAGACCAAGCAGGCAGCAAGATCACGCTGAGTCGCGTGAAGCTCTCGCTCAACGACTTGATCCGAAAGCTAGGACACTCTTGTGCTGAGCTGCCTGCATTACCAGAGGAGAGACACATGAGGGTGGAAATAGGATACACGAATAATCGACCAGATAGCTATTTTGCTCCAGGCTTTGAGGAACCAGTTCGATGCGTATTCACATTCGCCTCAGGTGAAAATTGGGAACGCAACACCATGAATGCGGGCCTAGTGTATACTGGACACCATGCCGTAGCCCTAAAAGGATCGCATCTCAGCAGAATTAACGCTGACGTTGAAAATGCACTGCCCACTCTCATGCAGTATACTGAAGAAGTAAGTAGGCTGGAAGATGTTGTGCCTGACTTGGGCGAGCGAGCAGAACGGATGGAGCTGTCACGACTCAAATCCCACTCGTCCAAAAGAAATACAATACGATCTGGAGAGTCATCGCCGAAGAATGCCGAGGTACAAGAGCTCCGCGGTATGGTGAGTTCAAGGTCGAGTTTCTATGAAACCACGTCTGACGAGCCCGATAGCTTCAACCTTTGGAGAACCCCTCAAACACACAAGCAACGCAACCCACCCTACGAGAACAGAAGGCCGACGATGTTGCCACAGGCACGTACAAGCTGAAATTCTCCATGGCTGTCATCGATGATGCGGATAGAGTGCGAGATGCGACATTACCACGTCAACGGTATGTTCTCACGCGTACTGTTCATGAGCCTATGGACGGACATGTGATCAAGTGCGCTTGTGGACATGCTGAGGATGAAGGCGATTCAGTAAGTCATTCTCATGGGTTATATTCTAGTCGGCGCCTGACACACTCTAGATACTCTGTCAATTCTGTCACAAGTGGCAGCATCTTCACTGTATGGGATACACTGGCAAGAATGATGCCAAGATTCCGTCGACCTATCTTTGTTACGAATGCCTGCTCGGGCAAGAGGAGCGGAGTCTGCAGCAGCAACGAGAGCGAGCTGTCTACCGCCGTGCGCTCTGGCTTTTGCGGCAAACAAACTTTGAGAATGCACAAACATTTGGTCGGGCTATCAGTAAGGGCGAAGAGATGAGGATGAAGGCATAGTTTTGTCTAACCAGGACGCACAGATTACAGCGAGCACGAAGCGAAGATGGTTATGCAAGGACTCCGGGAGCATGGCTTACTGAAGAAAACCGGCAAGCGTTCCAAGTGGCAGGTTGTTCTCGATGCGTCTGCGGCGACTCAAAGTTGTATGGAGATGTACTGCGACCCAAGCATTGGCATTGAGCGATACGTAGGGCAGCAAGAGACATGGCAGGGCTATGATTGTAGCTAACTGCTGAACAGCTCGAGCCGACGTCGTTTTCTGATGAGAAGTCGCAAGTCAGTATGAGGGGTCGGGCGCAGAAGCGAAGCCGAATGAATGGGGAGGAGCAAGGGCAGTCCGTTGCCAGACATTGCATCTATGGGGGAGGAACGATTAGCATAGAGGCAGCGCACACCCCCAAACGGGCTCGTCAGTCTAGCTGAATGATGTGTATTAGCCGGGGGCCGTGGGTGGACCAAGCAGGTTGGGCACGGGCTTCTTTAAGGATTGTAGTGTTTGCCAGTGACACGATGTCGATAAAAGGGTACATGTATGTGCAACGCGGGAACTATGAAGGGCATCGAGTAGAGGTGTAGTGGTGGGACCGAGGAAGAAGAAAAGAAGAACAGGAAGAAGAAATCGGGCTAATTGGGAGCGGATAAAGGGGTGCCATGCAAGAAGCATCGCATCTTGAAGAAGAAGCAGAATAGAGTTCGAGGCGTGTAGCACCGCTTTCCCCCCCCACTGAAGTGACGTGAAGTGACTGAAGTGAAAGAGAGGATGGCAAGAGAGGATGGCAAGAGAGGATGGCAAGAGAGGATAGCGTACTAGGACCTACAGTACAGTACATGATGAAGATGGATGCGGGCTAATCAAGGGGAGGTGAGATGGGGAGGGTTGGACGAGGGTTGCCAGTCGTGTAGATCGGCCTGTGGATCAGTTGGCTAGTGGAATACTACTCTAGGACGTACTAGGTAAGGCTAGGGCCAGATTTGCCACGAGGGGCTGGGGCTAGCACGGCCAAAAGATCGGAAGTGTCAAGCGCGAAGCGAGAGGCGAAGGAGAAGAGGGGACAGGGTGGGAGGGAAGAGAGAGAGAGAGAGAAGGAGAGTAAGCGCAGCGGCAGGCAACCCCGAGATCAGCAGCTGACTTTTTGTCTTGGGCGTGGCATTCTGATTGCACGCTACCTAGCTGGGTACGCGTAGTTATGATGCGCAGATGGAAGCATGTCAGCACGGCAGTCGCCATGAAGATCTATTGCGCATCATCGTTCCGTGGTGGAGCTGAACCTTCTTTCTACTGTCCTTGTACTTGTACTTGTGCCATACCAGACGGCGGTCGGTGGGCCATGATTTTCCTTTTTTCCCAACCACTGGAGAGAACCCTAAGCTAGGCTGCAGTATGCACCCGACCCTACCTCCTACAGAGAGTCTAGAAGAAGAAAATGGGAATGGGCAGGATAGGAGGGAGCCAATGGGCCAGTGTTGCCGGTGGTGGGGCTTTTGTGTGTGTTGTGATTTTGTGTGAGACAAACAAGACGTTATTGTGTGTGCTGCATGTGTGATGTGATGTGATGTATGCAGGGTCGGAAGTAACGGTCAGAGTCAAAAGAGAGGGAGGGAGAGAGAGAGAGAGAGAGAGAGACTGTTGGACTGGGTTGGTCAGGCACGCAGGTGCTGGCTGCAGGCATCCACATGGTCTACATGTATGTACCATGTTCTCCTGTAGTACTACATGGCTCCATGGAGTAGTTGTATACTATACTGCTGTCTTGGGATCCAATTGTGTACATACTAGGCGCAGTACACGCAGACACGGCACAGGAACGGATTCGTATGTATGGCTAGGATCACGTTGACGGTAACAGTATGTAACCCGTATTCATGTTGTACCTGGTACAAGCACAGTAAGTGGGCATAGCGCTCGTCCCCACACAGCTAAGAAAAGTCCCCCCCCCCCTGAAATGCCAATGCGTTCGGAAAGCACGACCAGGGAGCTCCTGGACTGGGGAACCAGGGCCTCACGGACGCTGACCGGATTGACAACAGGCCAGGCCAGGCCAGGCCAGGCTTGTGTGATGCCGTTGTATGTCGACATGTACTCTAATGTACTATAGTAGTAGGCATGTCTGTACAGTACCCCAGGTACATAGTTGCAGGACAAGGTACAGGTACAGGTACAGGACAGGTAGGTAGGATTGGTCTTGTACCGTATCAGGAGGTACCAGTACCAGTACCGGTACCTAACCCTCCCCCGGCTGCCACCATCGCCGACCAGAGAGCCAATCTTCGCAGAGCTGGGATCCCTACCTACTCCTACGCCCCGAATCTGGCACCAGCAGAGAGTGCCCAGGAGCCAAACTAAGTGAACTCTCACTCACTGTACCCATACCAGCCATGTATCCATCCACAGTAGCCTTCCCGCTCTCTTCTCGTCTCTGCAGGAACGCCAGCTCGGCGCCTAGGGGCCCACAGCTGAATCCTTGAACCTGCTTCCCCTTCTCGCCGCGCTCAATCACTTCATCTTGCATTGGCATCGTATTGCTGTTGCTGCTATTGTTGCTGCCGTTGCCGCCGCCGCCGCCGCCGTCGCTGCTGCTGCTGCTGCTGCTGCTGCACCGAGCCTATCCACCTTCTTCCACATCATAGTAGAATAGCTACCATCTCGTCTTCTTCCACCCGCAACAACAACAACACCACCACCACTGCTGTCCCGCATGCCCGCCCGCCGCCTGCCACCGACGCAGCACAAGACGAAAGAATAATCCCCGCAAGCCAGCCAGCGATTGACTGAAGCGCCCATGTCGCTACTGGACTTTTGAGTCCTGAGCGTCTCTCCTCTCTCTCTCTGTTTTTTTTTCTTCTTCTTCTTTCTTTCCCTGTCTCTCTCCCCCCACGAAACTCGGGATCCGCGACTCATTGCTTCAGCCAGAGTTTCTGCTGAGTCGCGTGGGTCCCCCCGGTCCAGGCACCACACAGACACAGACACAGAGCCACCAAGTCATCTCTACTGACACCAGCCGTCAACAGACATCATGGCACGGAACAAGAAATACTCGTTCCCGTTGCCTCGCCGCTTGCGCTCAAAGGCCTCGGACAGTGAACTGGACGACGTCCGCTCCCTTCCCTCTACTACCTCTACCACTGCCTCGGCACCTGCCTGGTCCTCTCGTCGCGACGACTTCTCAAGCAAAGCCCACCGCATACTGGGCACCGGCGACACCATCCACCTGCCGGACCGCTCGCAGACCCATATCCCCGCCAGCCCGGCGTACCTGTCCGTTGCCCTATCCGATACCAGCTACACATCCCACGCCGACGACAGGACCTCTGCCTCTGTACCAGACCACAGCGTCTACGGAAAAAGACCAGACATGGCGAAGCGCTCCTCGTCCAACCTGCTGGGCCGCACATGTACCAACGAAGCCGGGTCGCGCTCGGAAAATAGTTCCGTCACCCACCGACTCCATCCTCAAGCATCCAACACCACCATGCGCTCCCACTACGACGCCAAGAACTCCCCTCTCTCCATCTCCCAGCAGACCTCGGACTCGGCCGTGCGGGACAGGGCATTGCGCAGGGGGCATCCTCCCGTCTTGCCCGACCATGTCTACCATCAGGAAAACCAGTCCAGCTCGATATCCGTCAGCATCACCGAGGATGGGGACAGTCAAAGGGACCGCCGCAGGAACAAGCCTGCGCAGCTGGACTTGTCCAAACTGTTTCCCAAACCAAAAGGGGGCGATGCGCATCACTTTGGAAACCCGATGCTGTCTCCGGAGAAAATGGTCAATTCTCCTGCCGCCATGTCCATGGCTTCGGATTACTTTCCTCGGCCCATGACTAGAGAGCCAACCCCCAAGGTAGGAGAGTGCGTGCAGCTCAAATCAGCAACACGACATCGAAATCAGGTGACACCAAGCCCCACAAGCCCGCGTCGCAAGGTTGACAGAGATGAGTACGACAACGCTAAAGTGCACGTGCGCCGGCCGCCCAAAGGTGTTCAGCACTGGTTCGATGCATTGGATGAAGACAGCGACGAGACCTCCGAGGACGGCGGCGTCCCCCTTCCGGCTCCAAGACCGATGCGGGCCAATGGGCTAGTACCACGGGTACCCATGCGCAAGTCTTCGCTCGATCGAATGCTACGACAGGCCGGATGGACACAGTCTTCAGCGCCAAAATCAAAGCAGGGAGCCTTGCCGTCCAAACACGACTCCTTTGCACATGAAGACATTGTCGACGTGGGCCGCTTGACATGCCCGAGTGAATGCTCGGTCAACACGTACCACTCGCTGAACTCGAACAAGACCAAAGAGTCTTCTCTGCTCTCCAAGTCCAATCTTCAGGATGCCAGCGTGCTCTCCTTTTCATCATCGGAGGATGAAGAGGTCAGCGACGCGAAAGCGCAGAGATATCCCGTCCGTACCTCTCTCGACTCGGTCGCGGATGCTGGCGAGATCGTCGTTGGCAAAGCGGAAGCCTTTGACGTTCGTCCACATGTACGACGACCCTCGGCTGGAGTCATGAGCACACGGTCTACTACTTCCACCAGTGCTGCCACTATCGAAGTCATGTACACACCAGAAGTACCCTATATCCCCTACCAATATCAGGGTCACTATCAGAGCCATTATCAGAATCACTATCCGAAGAATAGCGTACACAGCAGCAGTAGACGTTCCAGTCACGTGCGACAGCCCTCGGTCATTCACGAAGATGAAGACATTCGGCCAAGAACAGCCATCAACGTGCCACTCTCGCCATCTAGTCGCAGCGTCCGCAGTGCCCGAACGTCCGCCAGCGAGCCTCAGGCCCGTTCCAAGGCAACGCGCAAAATGATGGCAGTCACCGCCGAAGAAGAAGCCCTGCTCGAGCTGATGCGCAAGAAGCGTGCCGAGCTACACAAGAACGGCTCGTCATCCCCAAGCACAAAAAGCGCAGCACCAAGCCAGCGCCTGCGCACCCCGAGCGAAAGCTCCCGAGAGCCCCACCGCGCATCTGCCTTTCGCGCTCTCGAAGGCAGCAGTAGTCCCGCCCTCGCCCCTGAGTCACAAAGGGCACCCTCAACAAGCTCGACCTTTTCGCCCTCTCCCTTGCTCCTCCCCTCACGAGGACGGCCGAGGAGATCGCGAAGCAACACGGCATCCAGTCATCTCCGCGACAGTTCCGCAAGCGCAACAAGCGACGCCCATTCCGACCGATATGAATCTTCGGCCACACGAGGCAGACTGCCGCACTACCTCCCTACCCCGGCTGAATTCTCCCCCCTAGAACCCTTTCCGCCTTGCTCGCCTACTCCCACGGCAAGTGTCACATGTCCCACCGATCCCGAAGTCTCTCGTCCGCCCTCTCCCATCACGCCTGGTCTGAGCCGAGGTGAACCTGATGTCGTTGTCAAAGTCGCGAGTAGCGACACCAGCCTGAGTGCGGATACCGACGATGTCGCCATTCTGGACACCGGCGTCATCGATGCCCAGGCATCTGATGGCATCAAACCCGAGTCTTCGCAGGAACTTTCTGGCGGCAAAGGAGGTGGTCATCAAAGACGCCGCACGGCGAGTAGTGGGGCTGACATGGCGTTTCCAGCTCCTCCTACTGGCGCGGGTGGCGCGATCCGGGAGGAAGAAGCGTCGATGCTGTTTCCTCTGGTTCCAAAGAAGAATGCAAGACGTGCGGAAGGGTGCAGTCGCCGCTCATCTGATGCGGTTGCCGTTCCTGCACCAGCCCAGGTGGAAGTCAAGATTGAGAAGCCAAACCACAGGGCAAGGAAGAATAGCGGGCACAGTACTGCTTCTCGCACCTCCTCTTCTTCCTACTCACAACTCTCCAATGCTGCCTTTGCGTCTGGCTTGTCTTCTTCCACGGCCGCGACCCTGGGACTCGAGACTAGGTCCAGTAGTCATACTAGTACTAGTACGAGACTTCTCGCCAAGCCCGCAAGTCGCGGGAGCAGTGTTGCGAGTAGTTGTCGTAGCAGGAGGAGTGGTGGGGGTCGTGCAAGCAAAGAGGAACTTCGAGAGAGAGTCATATGCACGGAGAAGAGTTGGGATTTGAGCGGAGAGAGAAGTAGTGTTAGTGAGGATGTTCTTGCGGCTTGGGGGAGTTTGGGGGGCACGTATTGAAGGATGGACTTTTTTCTTTTTCGCATCTTCGCCTTGTCTCTGGATCTTATTTACTCTCTCTCTCTCTCTCTCTTCAATGCGATTTAGTGGGAGAAGGCCTGTATAATTTTATTTGCGTCTTGCGGTGTAGCTTCTTCTTTTTTCTTTCCTTTGGTCATGTCAAAACCATGGCTTCTTCCTTGTCAAGGGGTATTCCTGGGCCACAACCGCACGCTTTTCCTATGTTGCCATTGATTGGATTTTCATCATAGTCATGGTTATGAGAATGCTCATGTAATACTCGTAAGCTTTTTTCTCTCGTTGACATAGAGATGAATGGCTAGAAGGGCGCGAGTGATTTAGCCAAGAAACGCGAGTTTTTGTCTGCGTGTTTGTAAGAAGAAGACGGGGTTGATGACGAAGGAGTCAGGTTTTCAAACCCAGTATGAAATACATAGATAAAAAGCCAGTGACGAATATACCGGGATGAGAACGATGCCAAGGTTAGCAAGCTTGACTTTTCTTCTTCTCGAATGTTTGTTTTTTGAGTTTCTTGTGTTGACTTGATTGTGCTGTTTTATGCTTGGAGTTGTCATGGCTTTGATGTGATTGTAGGGGAGTATCAGGATGATGCAATGTTGTGGTTTTTAAATGACTCTTAGTTGGATTACAAGGAGTCATTCCAACACTTACCCACACGAACTCTAGGACCATCACTCGTTCACTTGCTCAGTTGCTCATTCACCCGTTCACTTACTCATTCACTCTTCCTAAGGAGTTGTGCAATTAATCTGCAGTGAATAAATGGGTTCTGGTCATGCCCAGGAACATATGTGAGACACTCGTGAGGTGACGCCATTGGAGGACATGGGTGGGCGTGATGCTGGCATTGTCTACAGCGGTTTCCACATGACCATGCTTTTCATTAGCGATGACCTGTTATAGTATCCCAGTCATGCTTTCTGGTTGTCAGCCAGATACAACAAGTCATCATATACTGCCGAATTCTTCTGGATCCATGCTCCCGTGCTTGCATTGTCAAGCGTGTCCACCGCTACCCCTCGCGACCGTTTGCTTATGCTTCCACAATGGATCATTGTAAATCGAGCTGTTACGTCACAAAGCCAAATTGAGTTGGATTATTAGCTCCATCCATTTGTACCCAATACCGCTTTTTCGCACTTCTCTCTTTTTCCCGCCTTGCTCGACTCAAGATTTGACACACACCATTTCACCGTGTCTTACACACACCGTCTCAGAGAAACAATTCTACTTCAAATCACCAGGCTCTTCACAATGGCACCGCAGCCTGCCAAGTCATCGTTCTTTTCGTCCCTTCTCTCCGAAGCCAGGACACCAGATACTCCGGGCCGTACCAGTACTTCTGCTGCCGCCATGTCACGTGCAGTCGAAAAACAACCCCTCGAGCCCGAGAAAATCGCGACACTGGAGAAACGAGAGGCCGATCTCAACAAGCGAGCCAAGGACCTTGCTGAACGAGAGAGGCAGCTTCACTTACAGAACAAGGCCCATTATGACAACTCCCAGCAGTTGGCCCAAGCCCAAGCCAATCTTGAACACCACAAGAAGGCACAGGACGCAAGAGAAAAATGGCTAAAGGCACGCGATGAGCAGGAGAACAAGAACAACACCGCCTTGAATGAGGAGATTGAGCGCTCCAAAAGACGTGAGGAGGAATGGACTGCCAAATTCACAAACATGCAGGAGATGGTCAGAAAAGTCCTCGACCAGCAAGCTGCGGACAAGAAGGCACGCGCCAACGCCGAGAGAGTATTGGAAACAAGGACAAAGGCACTCAATGAGGCCGAGAAGGCACTCGAGGCACGCGAGCACGACATCGAGAAGCGAATGGCAGACATGGGTGAGGAGGTGAAGCGCATGAAAGAGCAAAAAGAAGAGTTGAAGAGCATTGTCCAGGACGCCGTAGAGAAGGAGCACACACTTGAAGAAGAGATCGAGCGTCTGAAAGAGAAGGAGCTTACGGTGACAGCGAAAGCCGAGTCACTTGCAAAGGAAGCCGAGAAGCTTGCCACTGAAAAGGCAAGCAACGATAAAACGGAGGTAGTGCAAAAGCGAGGGTACGAATACCAGTACATCGCCTCGAGTGCTCTTGAGAGCGGTGCATTGGTCCTGTGCCAGGACAAGCAATCCTGCGACGACGACGACGACGACGAAGAAGAAGAAGAAGACGACGATGATGACCAATCCCTCAGTGCGGGCATCACCAGTGAGATTTCGTCTGTTTTGCGGAAAGATGGTAAAGTCTCCGAGGAGCAAGCCACTGAACACGCAGCCAAGCTCACATCGATGCTTCTCTTCCAAGCGCAAGTCGCCAAGCTGAACAGCACCATAAGCCATAACGCCCAAGGTACCATGCAGCTCATCCTCTCCAATTTCTCCAACGAGATCCTGGGCAATGGTCTCTTCGCCAAACGTGCTGCATGGACGGACATCGATCTTGTCGACGGTCTGTACGGCCAAGTGCTCCAGGCACCAGACCTCCAGGCGCTGCAGAAACTAGAGGCCCGCGCCAGTCGTGCAGAGGAGTATTTTGACTCACTTCGCGATGAAAAGGTTCCTCTCACTGTAGAGGAGTTCCTGGATAACGTCAAAGACTGCGGTGAGTATGCAGAGGCTCTTCAGGAACTGCGATGGGTTATTGGCGAGGGTTTACCTGCGAAGAAGGCGCTCACTTCGTTCTTGATGAGCGTGTGCAAGGACTTGGGTGTCGTGATCCAGCATGCTGCCATCCGGATGGGGTTTACGGAGTGATTTTTGTTTTCTCTCTGTTCATGTCAGATCTGTGTTCTGAAGTTGCATGTCCGATCTGTTTTCCTTCTTCTTTCCTTCTCTTTCTTCTCCTTCCAGATCTCTCTCCTTTCTTTGCAAGTCAGGAAAAGTATCTGAAGGTCTTTGGTTGGCCTACCGGAGAAGGTAAAATTTGCATCCCTGGCGGCAAATTCGCATTGTACCTAGCCAAGAGGAGTTCCACGGAAATTTGGAGCATTGTCCATGAGGATGCGTAACAAATATCAGACAGGAAATACCTGAGAGACTGGCGCCTACGAGTCGGATTTTATGTCAATCCATGATGAATGAAACTGGATGAGAATCCATTCAAAAAAAAACCCCCCCGGGCTTGCTTCGTCCTCACTTGTGATGTTACGAAAGATGAGTGAATCATTACCATGCCGTAAACCAACTCTGGTGCGTGAGAAAACAAAATCTTTCACTTCTCTTCATTCCACAGTACTATTGAACATCTCAGAGCCACAGCGCCCTCGCGCTGAATACTGACCTCGAAAATATGGATACCATCTTTCTGGTCACCGAGTTACCTCATGCTAGACGAGGTCATGGTGCACAAGCAACACCCAACGCACCAGCACGAGTAATAACGTCACCGGATATTCAACCATGACGATAAATCCTGTGTCATCCAACGCCAACCCCATCATCCATTCCATTATCAAGGGAAAGAATCATTCAAAATCATGTAATACTGCATCCGATTGTTTGATAATCATTTCGCTCAAGACACCCATCGTCTGGTGGCCTTCTTCTTCCCCGTCTGCGTCTGCTTGTCTTCATCCTTTTCGGCTTCATCTTTCATTCCCATCTTTTCCTCGCTTTCATCGTCCGTCTCTGCCTTTTTCTTCTGCCTCTCCTCCTCGGATTTGCGTCGAGCTACCGCCTCGTCTGCGGCGTGTCGCTGGCGCTCTGCTTCTGCGCGCTCTTCGTCCGAAAGGGATGAGAGGAAGTCTTCTAACGTCTTTGTGGCCTTTATAGCATCCTGGTCGGCGTCTTGGTCCTTCTCCTCGAATTTGGCCAGGTCCTTGGGCTTTTCGATTCCTTCGTCAGTTTTGACCTCGTCCTCTGGCTCTTCGATTTCGTCTTCGGCTCTGACCTCGTCCTCTGCATGTCTGTCTTGATCACTACCGGCCTGCAACTGTTTCAGTTCGGCCTCAAGGCTTTCATTCTTTTTCAACTCTGCATCTTCCTTCCTCATCACCTCCTCCTGATCTTCCTGCAGATGTTTTTGCCATTTCTCCTCTCGCATCCTTGTATTCTCCGATACTTCCTTTTCCCATTGTAGTCGGTCCTCTTCATTCGTGACTTCCTTCTCGTGCATCCATACCCCGCGGCCGTCATCGAAGACTTCTTTGAGTTGGCTGAGGGTGCCACATACACCGTCTGCTTCGCCCCAGGGGGACCATGTTGCCGTCGAGGCCTTCCACACGCCGCCGCGCCCGCCCCGCATGTCCCAGGCGCGATCACCGCCGACAAGACTGTTGTGGTATCCGGTGGGGGATTGTGGCGTTCGGAAGTAGTTTCTCAGCAATGCGCGTTTATAGGGAGAGAACCAGAGATCCTCCCATGTTATGTTTGCAGTGGGTGGGCGTTCAGCACCAGAGTACAGGGGGTTGTTGTTGAGCAGGATGGCGGGAACAGCGCCCGTGTAGGTGTTTTGGACGAGGCGAACTCTGTGCCAGGAGGTCTTGCGAGAGGGGAGCCTGTCCAGGTCTTCTTCGAATTCGAGAGGATTGACATATGCAGCTTTCTCATTGGGGGAAGGATTGTTCTTGAAGAGGTCGGGGCGCCAAAATGGTGGGTGCATGCCGTTCAGGGCGGCAGGGAGGGAGAGGCGTTGGTACACGGAGCCTGGGTGACGGTGGATGGAGAGATCCGTCGAGTTGTCATGCCTTACTGCGACAAGCTCGTCTTCTATGCAGTAGAGTAACGGCTGGAAGAGAATGTGCAGATAGTCCAGTCCGATGGAGAACTCGTGCTGTGTTCCGTCGTGCAATTTCGCCGCAGCCTGTTGAGATGACACAACCTTCTTGGAGTTTAAGAAGAAGTCCTTGAGCTTCCCAGTTGCAGGCTTAGGATCCACGGCGTCTCGCCGCAATTGCTGCTCTCCGAGGATGGTGGCAAAGACGGACTGCACTGTTTGTGATTGTGTCCTGCCAGCCATGAACTTGGTCAAAGCCGCTTCGTAGAGTAATCTCAGATCCTTTGCAGGTCCCATGACCATCTTGGAATTGATAAAAGTGGCTGGCATGTCGGCAATCCGGTGGCCATGTTCCTCGCCATACATAGTGTCTGGCAAGATCGAGTGTGGCACGTATCTGCACGCCATGTCATCCCCAACGCAGATCTTCTCGGCGCCAAAAACGATGGTCTGATTGAACTTCTGGTACCCGTCTGCATTGAATCCGTATCTTGCCAGCAAACGCCAATTTGCATCTTCGAGTAGTCGCTTATACTGTGTGATAAGCACATCACTTGGGAGCTGGAACCATGATTGCTGGCCATCTACGATCAGTACCAGATCTTCATCTCTTACGAGCCTGGTATTGCTCAAATAGTTCAATGTGCTATTCAGGGTGTTCAACTCCCACTGAGTATCTGACTGCAGATCGTCCATCAAATTAATCGTTGTTGGTGGAGGATAATCCAGGAGCATTGCGGACAGTGTTGTTTTGCAGAAGCCATGGGTCTCGCGTTCAGATGGCAACAGCAGATGGAAGTTTGGTGTAGTCTTCTTCAATCTTGGCGGCACATGATGGACTATGCCACTCTCGATTTCCAGAGTGGTGTTTGAGGGGTTTTTGAACGGTGAGTGTACTATCGAGGGTAGATTTGGCAGGTATGGCCGCCATAAGTATTGTGCTGATAGTGTCCGGTACTCCAAGGATAGTACCTATGATCGTCTTAGTATGCGCAATCCTGATGAAGGCTTACTGCCTCCTATGTATTCTGGTCCCAACTTGTCCCCGCCCTTCCACAATCTTGGTTTTCTAGCTCACCTCTCGATTCTTCATCGCAGTCAACGTCAGAAAGACGCCAATCATGACAATCATACAGACAAACCACCTGCCCCTCCTCGAACAACACCACCTCATAGCCGCACTCCCAAGCTCCCTCGGGCTCTGCCCTTGCGATATGGGCGCGTTGAGACTTGATGTACTATGCATCATGCTTATAACCTCATCCTTCTCAAGTCTTCTCTGCCCCCTGTGACAACGACACTGTGCCTCTCCGTGGGCACCACAAACGATGAAACCTGATCCAGTGTCATCCGAAATGTTTCTTCAGCGTGCTGAAACCTACGGTAGGTACAAGGTACGAAAGGAAGGGATATCGCTTCGGCAGATTTCCAAATAGGTCCAGCCGCCCTTGCGACTCACACCCCACCGCGGATAAGAAACAAGGACACGTTATCATGACCAGCGCCCAGTCTGACTGCAAGGTACACATGACACCAACTTACTTTGTGTCTCGCTATTACGGACAGGTATTATTGAACCCCCACAAAACAGTACTAACGCAAGAGCGCGTGCAACGGCGCGGTAGTTGGGGCCAAGGTCGGGATGCCCGTCGATCCGCTACACAGCAAGTCTTACCGTACAGTCCGATGTACAAGTACCGGTAAGTGTTAAGCACGCACATGCAATCTCCCCTCTTTCGTCTGCAAACAGGAGACGGGAGCCAAAGTAGTCAGCAAGCAGAAGCAAGTAAGATCAACTGATAGATATCCAGGCTGATAGGGGGTGGGGGAGAGGGGGGAGACAAAATTCCACAGTAGGTATGGTACGGTCCTCTCTCCCTACTGCAGAGCCCAATGGGCATGTTTTTTACATTCCTTCAGCCGGGACGGGGCGGAACAATGGTGTGTGCTGTAGGCTGGCAGGCTGATACATAGCACAGCCAGCCACCAGACACAAAGCTTAGGTTCACCGTTACCGTAGTTTGATCCCAGTTGAGATGACGAGCTAAGTAGAAACAGTGTCTAGCATTCCCGCCATGGTAGATTGTGTGAGTCTAGAAAGGGAGTGTTGGGTGCTACAGTATTTTGCAGATGCTGAGGTTCAGAAGAAAATCGCGCGCGTCACGCAACTCAATGTGGATGGCATCCCACAGTGTGAGCTCCAAAGCGATTCCAACCCCGTGCAACAGCAAGACTTTGCGCGACCCATGCCCTCCAATCTGTATAACCCAAGGCTTACTGAGGCTTGACACTAGACCCCATCCCATAGCTCTTCAGGCCTGAAGTCTTTTGTGTACCTAAACCCCGAGACAATTTGGTACCATTCTCGTCACCGGTAGAGGAAGGCCAAAAGGTGGTGCGCTAGGTACCGGTAACCTATCCAGACGGTCTTTATTGCCGTGGAAACACAGAATAGAGTGCCTAGGCACCGTATATGCACTGCAGCACTGCATTCGCAGCACCATTACGACTCTTGTTGCTAGGTCCTATTGCAAAATCAATCTCGTGTGCACAGTCATCCATGCATTACCTGCCGGTACGGTACCGGTACGCATCGCGCATCGCTCTGCCGCACACACATCCCAGCACTTCAGAATCCATCCACACTTGTCAAACACTTTTCAGTCTCTCAAGCCCTCACGCGCACAAATCCACTGCCATTGTAGTCTTGAGAACCCCCAGGCGCTGCGTAACCAAAAATAAATAAACACGTTCATAAAGAGGGGGCGGGCGCGCTTGAAGACAGATACATCATATACCAGATTGGATTAGGGCCGTTATGGGAATCACCTGATTGAGCTCGGCATTGGTCTACATGGTGTCATATGTGAGAAAGTAGGTAAGCGAATAGGCAACCAAGTAGAGGAGTAGATGATGGGGCAAGTAAATAGGCGTTAAGTGAATATACAACAACCCCATCACCAACATCTCCCAGGCAGTCCAGCCACCCCCTCCAAATTCCATACATGCATCCGTGCCATACTTCATCTCCATAGGGAGAAACGGGGTATTCGAATAATAAGGACAATCCACACATTCGTGTAGGACTGCAAAGCACTCGTTCCAACTCAATTCAGTCCAATGCAGTGCATAACAGTCCATTCATTCGCATAAAGAAGAGGGGGTATACCCATGCAAGTCCCACGTCCGAATCCGAATCCAAAATTGCCAAATCCAAGGCCACATCACTCATCGCATCGCATCTACGCCATGATCCACCATACAACCATCTGCCCTCCCTCCCTCGCAAAGCAACACCAACAACAAACAACGCCACTAATCCAGCTATCCCAACTCAACAATTCCGCCACCACGCTCCTTCTTCTTCCCTTTTTTCAGCACCAGCAAAGATTTCGGTTTCGGTTTCGGCTGTTGCGGCCGCGCGTGTATCTTGTGTGAACTAGATAGTAATTCCCGGTCTGCGTCCGTCGGAGCCCAGACCGTGCAGCCAGAGCCAAAAAGTCCGAAACGAGAGGCAAAGTACGACGCTGATGTTCGACGTTTGGGTGTGGTGTTGGCGCTCGAGTTTGAATTCGCATTCGTCTTTGTGTCTGTGTCCATGTCCCTGTTGATATCCGTGCGAGTGTGTACGTGTACATGCGTCTCCTTATCCTCCCCCACCTTCGCCGTCGCTATCTCCTCTTTCTCGAAGTCCATACCATCGCGTCCATGTCTGTACGTATATGCATCGCCCGCAAACAACGCCTCTCGAACTCGCAGACTAATGCAAAAAGAGAAATCTCTGTCAGCACGCCCGCAACAAAATCAAGTTTCTCTGCATTTCATGAAACGTGGAGAGTCTGATACATCTTAATTGCCTTATTCCTCACAGTTTCGCACTGCAACAATGCCTGGATATGGCTACTCTGCGCAGTCTGCCACGTCGCCATGACCGCTTCGTCTTCTTTCATACGCGAGAGATAACTCGCGAAACCGAGTTTCCGAGTCGTCTCGCCGCGGTGGTGAATGAAGTGGTCATCTAGGTCTTCAAGCTCTAGGTTTCGCGCGTTGAAGTGGTCCGTCAGAGTCTTGGAGTAGCGTTTGTAGGCCTTGACGTACGCCTCCATGCGGTTGAAGTATTCATCTGCCGTGCGCTGTTCGATTTTGGTAGGAGGGGGAGGCGGGAAGGGTACTTCTGGGTAGCGGAGGGGTTGTGCTGTGTTTGGCTTGGTGGGGTGCAAATGGGAGGGCTGAGAATCGAAAGGCAGGGCATCCTTGATGTCGTCTAGGCCAATGCCACCATCCCGTGGCGCGAGGAGAGGGTCTGCGAGATCTCCGATGCCGTTTAATCCTTGCCCAGGAGGCTTTGCTGTAGTTGCTGAACTGGGGGCAGTAGCGGACCCATTGGAAGTTGGAAGGTGGGCAGCGGTAGTGTCAAGCCTGGGCGATGAAGGCGCGGTGCGCGTAGCTCTTCTGGCAGGTTTGGGCATAGCAGGCGGATCGATGTCCATTGCATCTGGCTCTCCGGTCGTAGGTTCCTCTGCAAATGCCTGGTACTTTGGTCGTGAAGCTTCAGCTTGACCTTGGGGTTTCGTCCCAGTCTGAGGCACGGAGGCTTTTCGGCCCGCCTTTGATCGCGCTTTGGCTTCTGATGCACGGCGGGGGGAAGTCTCTTTTTTGTCATTGAAGACCCAATGTGGGTCTTGGAATGTCTGAGCCCAAGCCTGTTGACTGAATGTAGCACCGGGCGGGAAGTTCACATTCGGAGGTGGCCCAGGTGGAGGTGGCGGAATCGGATATGACTGCGGCTGTGCTGTTGATTGCGAGAACGTCGATGCCGGAGGTGGGCGGGTGGAGGCAGTCGTAGCCGTGGGACGTTCAGAGGCATTTCGTTGACCTGGTCTTCCGCGACTTGGCGAAGTTCGTCCCTTGTTGCCGGAGCCTTTCTGCATGTGAGGGGCAAAGTAATCAGCACTGCCTTCGAACTTGCCATGCCAATCCGAAGGCGAGAATTTCATATTGATGCTTTCCTCACTCCTACTCTTGAAGCTGTTCGGCATGTGTCGAGCTGTCCCATTAGCCTGCCGACCGTGGTCGGGTGTGCTAAATCCACTTGGTGCCCAAGTGGGAGGGGGCGGTGGCTTTGCACTCTGTGGTGGAGGACCACGGTGCTTGTTGCCCCCACGCAAGACCTCTGATTCCGACTCGTCATCGCTTGAGTCTGGGTACATTTGAGGGAACGGCTTGGTTGAGTGTCCGGCATACGAGTTCCGCTGCGTTCTCCGGCCTGAGTCGGAGAAGGCGCCTGCATCATGCGAGGGACTGGGCCGATGGGAGTGCGTTGGTGAGTTGCGGACACTGGCAGATCTACCAAGAGGCTCAAACATGGACGTGCGCTCGCCTGAGACGTGGGAGTAGTACGGAGTCCGGACGCGGTTGGCTTCCGCGTATGGAGCGTCGCCACTCTGTGTGTCTTTTGTCGGTGGAGTCTCGCTCGGCGGTGTGGTAGATGTGGGCGGTGTCGGGGCTGCACGAGTGTAGTTTCTATATGCCGACCGTGCTTGGCCTTCGTCTACTCCTGGTGTGGACGGGTCGAAGCCTGACCTGCTCGACGGGACTCTTGTGCTCTGGCTGCGACCGAATGGTGTGCCGTTAGGGTTATTGTGCGGCGGCTGCGGCGTGTTGTGCTGGGCACTGGGGCTGTACTGTCGAGGCTCCTCCCCACGAGGCTGCTTCATCTTCTGCCATGCTGTGAAGACGTTGGCCCGCGCCTCTGCGTCCTTTGCCCGCGTGTCGGCCGGTCGCTGTGCTGTTGGTGGCGGTCGGAAGTTCTTGCTCGTGAACCTGTCGGCGCCAGTGGTGTAAGTGTTGTGATGCTGAGGGGGAGGAGGACGCTGAGTCTGGGGCGAGGGCTGGGGTGGAGGTGCGCGGTAGTAGGAGCCGCTGGGCGTGGTTGTCGTGTATGCACTTCGTGATGGCGGCGGCGGCCTCGTTCTCGGCGTATTGGGCGTGTTCGAGGACATGTACAGGTTGCGGTGCTTCCTGCGCTCAGCATCGTACTTTGCGCGCTGTGTTGCATCGCAGAGGATTTCATGGGCGGCCTGGATCTCTTGGAACTTGACGACAAAGTCGGCCTCGCGCCCTGGATTGCGATCGGGGTGGTACTGCAGAGCCAGAGTGCGGAACGCTTTACGGATCTCGTTCTCGCTCGCATTCGCAGACACCTTCAGGTCAGCATAGTAGTTGCGTGTCGGGTCGGCTTTGACCATGATGCCTGTTGCGTGTGCCTTGTGCCTGGTGCTGGGGAGGGGTGAAGAGAGGGGAGGGGGGTGATTGCTTGTTGCGCGGGCGGAGCAGGCTCAGATGACGATCGGCCTGGAGCGTGGTTGTCGCAACATTATGTGGAGAGACAGAAAGTTGGGACAACGACAACAAGCGTTATGGTCCTGTAGGTTGCAGCCAGCAGCAGGTGGCATGTGTGTTGTCAGTTGGGCTCCCTCTGTTTTGGCGTGGGGAGGGGGCCACAGCAACGCTGTAGTTGGCAAAGTGGAGTGTGGCTAGGCTAGCTTCAAATGTTAGTACTCCCACTCCACTCTAGCCTACGTAGGGTATTTTTATAGTAGTACCACGGCAAGGTACACAGTCTGTCTTGGTGACTCTCTCTCTCTCTCTCTCTCTCTCTCTATGATACATATGTTCATGACATCAGTTTGACGGCCCAGCTCGATGCTAAGAGAGTTTCAAGGGAATCCTGCTGCAACAACGGTCGAAGCTGTGCTGTCCATCAAACGTCTTTGGGTAGACCATTCACACCCCATTTTCTTTTTCTTCCCTTCTGCACAGGCTCTGACGGCTGGTACACGGATGCCATCAATCCCCATCTATCACATCAAACAAATCTCGTGGCCCTCCTGAGTCTCGACAGGTACAAATCACAAAGCAAAATCTTCACCGAGTTGTGGAACAGCTTTCATAGAGATCATTTCTCATGGTATTGTTTTAAACGTCCTGACCAGCCATCGTGCTGGGCGGAGACTATGTAGCCCAGGATGCCCTTTTCCATTCACGCCAGCCCATACGCTTAATGAAATCGACTGCCATAAACACCACAGCCTCAACATGTCTAGCGGTAGCGCCAGAGGGAGAGGGTGTTGTGCCTCTTCCATGTCTTTCTCCTTCCTGCAGTCGTGTTGTTGTACTTGTGACCACGTCCAAGACCACGGCTCTTCTTGCCGGTGGCGGTAAGACCACGGCTCTCGCGGTGCTTGTGGACGGGCTTGACGATCCAGTTGATGCGGGGATCACGGCGAATGGCCTTGTGCTGGGGATCGACGAGAATGACTTCGTAATACTTGTACGTCGAGTCCTGGTTGATCCAGTACGAGTTGAGCACGCGGAGGTTGGCGCAACGGCGGCCGATACGCTCCTCAGCGGTGGACTTGAGCGAGCGCTGGTACTTCAGCTGGTTGATACCTTGGTTGGTGGGCTTGCCTGGATATTTGTTAGACATTTCGTCCGAGCGAGATCTCGTGCGTGAGAAGCATACCATAAGTGGCACCCCTAGAAGCTTGGTCAGCATACATTTTAGATCTTCAATGGGTGGTCAACGTACTTGGGCGCGGGCCTCTTGCGACCTCCACGGCGAACGCGGATGCGGTAGATAACGTAACCCTGCTTGGCCTTGTATCCGAGACGGCGGGCCTTGTCGGGACGCGAGGGGCGGCTGGCACGGTGGATGACCTTAAGTTGGCGAAGCTATCGATGCACTCTCAGCAAAGTTCAACGAGTACACCAATTGAGACGTCGAGCCTCAGCAATGTTGATTCATACCTCCCAGCACTGTCACAAAGTTAGAAATATTTTCGCTGCCTGCTTTACAGTGTATACGTACGCGAACGCGCATCAAGAAGCGCATCATGTCTGACTGCTTCTTCTTTTGAAGTTCCTCGACATCTGCGGCAGTATTAGTTGCAATCGTGGGGTTGTGAAGGGCTCGATGGGCATACACTTGAGGGCACCCATCTGTATTATGGTTAGCAAGACTGGAATTTCTTGTCTCGAATAGTCGGAGGACCGTAGGGAAGCGTACCTTGACTGTTGGTTAGTTGCTGGCGACGTTGTGGTTGAGCGACCCAGCGTTGTTCGAAAGTTGCGATGCGAATTCGCTTAGCAACGTGTAGCGCCTTGGCCCACGTGACATCCAAACAGCCTGCACAGGGACCCACGCAATCCTATTGACAGCGCTAAGCATCGGCCCAGTGTAGATGGGATCCGGGTTGGCAAAGCATCTACAATCGCGTGCCATTCATGTTGTCATTACACAACCAAAGTGATGTTAGCCTCTACTCTTCCCAAATCAAGTGCTTTCACATCTTGTACTATTTTCATAAGTACCCGCCGCCGCCGCTACTGTGTGACTACTCAAGCCTCCTCAAATGGCAGTCCCTTTGCCATCCTCTTGACGCCTCGTTCAGCATATCTCAAACTTCTCTGCAGCTCGTAACTCAGATTGTCCCCTTTGTCTTGTTGTATCTCCACTTTTCTATCCACCTCCATCTTGTACGCCTCGTCAATACTCATGTCTGCTCCCAAAACTTTCTTGACGTTTCTAGCAGCAACTCGCGCTCCTTTCCGTAGCTGTTCTTCGCTTTCTCTGATCTTACGCTTCCATGTATCAGCGACAGAATCACCTTGCTGGCTCCTCATGTCTGAGATCATGCCATCGAGTCCCTCATATTCCTTGACCAAGCCCTTTGATTGAGCTAATACATCCGTCGTAGATGTGTAGGTGGCATGGTCTGCGATCTTGGTGCCAGCTATAGTCGTGGTCTTGCGATGATTGGGCTCGCTCGGGGGACCAAGGGCTTTTAAGATGCTGTCGACCATCTCGTGGCGGCGATCGATCGCCTGTATCTCTCTGTAATAGTGTTTGTTAGCTCTTATTTCTGCATGTTTCGACTCGACAATAGGAAGACTCACGTCTGACGCATTCGCTGATCCAGTAATGAATTCAAAGATCCATGATCCGCTTGTATCTTCGCGCGCAACTGTCGCATCTCCTTTTCATGGCTTTTGCGCTGCTTGAGAAGATGGGCGACGGCAATCATCTGCCTTGAGATGCAGTCAGCCTGTGGATTGCATCTCGCATTGCTCATTCACTTACTGGCTTTCTGTATTCGCATCATCACTATCAGATGCAGTTTTCTGTAGCTGTCGTGCCATCATTGAGGTGGGAGGGTGTTGGAGAGAAGAAGTCTCTCCGGTCTGGGAAGCAGCGACTCCGAGGTACTTTGCATACATGCTAGGCGACTACAGCGTCTGCGCAATGGCACAACTAGAAATGTTATATACTTTCTGAGAGTTGTAGCGCCACATCTTGATCCTGTCAATCTTCAGGATGATCGCGTAGTCATTATGATACACTAAAAGTTCGCAGTATGAGCCTCGAACTATGCTTTAGGCCATCACAATGAGGTGGCCTGACACAATCAAGTGATACACATGAGAGATTAGATAATGCTCAAATAGTTTTGATATTTTGACTGTAGGCATGTATGTAGACAGGGTATGCATAGAAGAAAGAGAAATTAGTGAAAGAAACCAAAAGAAGAAACATTTTACTAAAGAGGAAACAGAAATGTGGATTGCCATTCATGTCTGTCATAAGACATTTGCAGTGAAAACATCTGCAGTGAAAGCTCTACCAGGACTGTTCTCCTTTAAAGCAATCATTGCCAAATAAGAGAGAAACAAGAAAGAAAAAATCCAAGACCTATATCATATCCATGACAGAAGAAGCACTACTACTTGTTTCCAAAAGACAAGTTGTGCATAGCTGTCACGAATGCAGCATCATACCCCCCAGAAGTACCTGGCATAGAACCAGATGTGTAGGGATTGCTGTTGTAGTTGCCCGAGCCTGGTGTGGGAGTTGAATGTTGACCACCAGAAGTATTGTAGGTCGCCCCCGCAGTAGCATACTGGCCATAAGATTGACTGGAAGTGGACGTATAGACCTGAGAGTTGTGCGAAGATGCAGCGGGATTAGCTCCACGGTAACTTGAGCCACTTGTGGAAGTGTGGTAAGTGTTCGAGTGAGGATAGCTGGCAGGAGCGTAGTAGCCGCCGTAGTGGTCCATGGGACTACCGCTGGCAGTAGTGTTAGGATAGGTACTGGCAGGCAGGGGGTAGCCGCCATAGCGATTGAACTGTTGATGACCTATTTGCTGACCATGTGTCCAGTGGGGCATGTTGTAGGACGCGTGGGGGTTGGAGAAAGTAGGAAGTTGGTGGGAAAAGGCATTGTAACCGTCGTCGTAGTTCGTGTAGGTTCCGTTCCCACGAGCGCGACCTGATAAAAAGTTAGATGGCGCCCAACACATCACGGTGAGATTATGTAAATAAAAAACTTACCATACTGGTTGTTCGGGCGATAGCTATTGTGTTCAAAACCGCCGACAGCAAGGGGAGCATTCGCGACGTTGGACTTTAAAATCGCACCGGGACCGATAGCAGAGGGCGGCGGAATCTGCATGTTGCCGGCCGGATTAACGACTGAGGCTGGGTTGACTGCTGACATCCAAATGCGGACTTTGTACTGCTTGAAAAGGTCCGTAACCAGTTCGTTGAAGTTGACATAAGATTCCGCGTAGTAGAAGTAAGTCAATTTATGGTAGTCGCTGGCAAAGAAGTTAGTAACTGTCTGGAAAGCTTATACACGATCACTTACGCTTGATACTCCGCATCCAAGATCTCCATAGGCAACTTGTGGTCTGCAGCCTTCTGCGCACCAAGACGCTTGGCCTTAGCCTCTCCCCCTTCCTTCTCACGAAGAGCCAAAATCTCATGTTGCTGAGCAAGACGCTTAATCATCTTAGGCTTCGCATCCTGATCCTGTTGAGCACCCATGCCAGTGAGCTGAGAGCGACTCATCGGGTTTGGTAAGCCATTGGCACGAGCAAGAGCACCAAGCATGCCTGAATCGTTATTGTTACCAGCAAGGGAGTATTGAGAGAACATGACGAGCCAGCGGAAATGCTCTTCGTTGGCCTCAGCCTTGTGCTTTTTCGCATCTTCGAGGCTGACATCCGCATGAGTGACTTGACCGAGATCACAGCCACGGTCGCCCTCAACAATCACAAGATCACCACGGCGGATTTCGAGACCGGTATTATCGTAGAGATAGTAAATGTCTGCGCGAGAGCACTTGAAGGTGACCACAAAGAGACGTCGACCTGGGCGACCGAGCATATGGGGAACGGCATAAGGATTGGAGACAGACATGGCAGTGTTGGGAATGATTGGATCCGGATGCGCAGCCGAAATCGCAGAGCAATTGATGGCACGTGAAGCTGGACCGTGGCCTGTGAAGTAGGCGGCGGCGTCGAATGGCTCGTTGTCTTCAGCAGATTGATTGTCATGGTGGGGTGAAACCAGCTCTTCATCTTCTTCTTGAGTGTTGCTTAGAGTTGAAAGAGGCATAGCCGAATTGTAACTGCTGTAATGGGCAAACGAGTGACGACGAGCTAATGCTTCCGCTCCTAGAGTAGAGATATTGCCGGTTGCCCATTGCTGCTTTTGGATATTGTCGATCATGTCAACCTCAGGCTCACGACCGAGAATGGAGACATGCTCGCTGAAGCGACGAGTGAGGCCCAGTGCTGGATGACTGATGGTAGGCTCAATGTCTTCATGTTCTTCGATGGCGTAGTCAGTGTGACCAGAGGCATCGTTGTGAAGCCCTGCAGTGGTCTTGCGACGCTGCTGTTGCTGTTGATGAGAGACCGGAGAGCTAGTCGAAATGGCCCGGTTGCGAGCGCGTGCGTTCTCCATGGCCGCTTGCTTCAGCAGTGCTTGGTTCTGTTCACGCTCCCAGTAACCTGCAGGTAGGCGTACGCCGTGCTCCGAACCGTTGGAAGACTCGGCCTCGTCGGCCTCGTCCTCACGCAGCTGTGAGAGCCCAAGGGTAGACTCACCAAGGAGGCTGGGCCGAGACGGACGGTGACGAAGGTTAGAAGTGGGACGATGGCGTGCAGAGAATTGACCGACCGGGCTGTGCTCGATGTCGCCTTGACCTATGCTATAGGACTGGGACCGGACAGCCTTGCGGAGGGGGCTTGGGTTCTGCTGGTTGAGGAGGAAGCCAATGCCGTCGTCACCTTCAATCTTCGTGGGTGAAGGCAAGGCAGGTGCATGCGCAGATGTTGGGGATGGTAGAACCTCCTTGAGACGACTGTTGGCCTGAACCGCTGTGAAGCTCGAGGTATTCCACGGAAAAGCAGAGGTGCTTGGTCGCGCCTGCTGTGGTAACTCCAGCGATGGTGTTGCGGGTTGAGAGCCAGCAAATGAGACTGAAGGCAGCGAGTATTTACGGTTGGGCTGGATATCCTGTAGCCAACCAGATGAAGGGCGCCGACCACCAGGATAACCGCCAACAGCAGGACGAACAACGGTGGGCACGTGATCGCGATCGTCATCACTCGATGCCAAGACATCGCTGTCGGGGGTTGGACGACGGAGTTGCAACTTTGACTTCTCGAGTGTCGTGCCGCCAATGGTCAGGTTGCCTTTGTAAATGCTGGAACTCATGTTGAAATTGTTTCCGTCTGGAGAGTGTCAGTCGAGGCCAGGTAGCAACCCTTTAACATGTGATTGTGGAGCGCTAACCTTGTCTAGATTGGATGTTGATGGTACTGAATTTACACGTATATACGTGCACAGTGTATTCACAAAGGATATTTGTGTGTTGCACAGTGTAAATGTGCTACACTGTAAGAGAGTATGTCGTAAGATAGAGTGTCTAGGTAGGATAGATGCCTAAGAGCCTAGGTCACCTATAATAGCAAACGGACCAATTGTTAGCATAGACAACTAGGGAAGAGGCAATTGCTGTGTTGTAATGAAAGTAAAGCAAGTAAGAGAGGCGCGCAGATTAGGGGGTAAGGTAGGAGGTAAAGGCAGAATTGCAGGCGCTGACGTAGGAAGGAGGAAGCACAGGTGGGGTTGTAGGGGTAAAGGTTGCTGGCCGCTGATCCTTCTGGAATAAGACAACCTAGGTGAAGAAGGGAAACGATATAAGGTGTAGACGTACCTATGTAGTAAGGGATTTGGGAAGGTAAGTCGTAGGCAGAGATGACGGACTGGCTCTGTCAATATGGAGGCAAGTTGGTTGAAGGGGCGTCTGAAGAGTGTAAGTCGTCAGCGGATGGTTGGGTATTGAAGGAAGGTCTCTGTGGCTCGATCTGGGACAGCACGTTAGCAACTTGGCTTGTCTTTGGTCAGGACAGCCTGTCTGCTACAGCCCACGCCAGATGGCGAAGGGTTCGCGTAAGCGTGTGATGGTGAGGGTGTCAAGGTTGACGCGGTCCTTGAAAAGAAGGGAACGACAGTTCCATCAAAACTCTCGCTGTAATCCCATAGCTGGCGCGGGACATGGGGTTAACGTACCTTAAAGTGGGGTAGATGAGGTTATTACCAAATGTAGTGGCGGTAACGCTCAGCAAGACCGCCCTGAAAGTTGAGACTTCCGAAGTGGGAAGCCGGCAGCTTCTGCACGTCAGTCGCCTTTCTTTGATGAGGGATCAAGCAGTGTAGGTCTGGTAGGGGGCGTCGAAGAGAACGCTCTTCACAGAAAGTGGGAACTGCACCCGCAACTGTGAGACAAGGAAGCGGCTCAAGTGCTGGTGAAGGCAGGAGAGCAGCTGACTGGGGAATATGAATGGATAGAGGTGGTGTTGTAGCACCAGATAGAGGCAATGTAGACAAAAGCTGGGGAAAAGTGTGGTTGGTTGAGGGGAGGGGGAGGAGGAAGGAGGGAGAAAGGCAGGCCTAGGGCGGGGTCTTAAGAGCCAGCAGTGGGTGGAGGAGGCGGTGACGGTCAGATGGCTCGAGTGCCGCCTTGACGCGCTTGGTGTCTTCGTTGTCGATGAAGGCAAGAGCAGCTAGCAGGCAGCCTGGGGATTACTGCTTTGCATGATTGGTCTTAGCAACGCACTTGGAAGAGATTGCTCAACGCCGATAGGAGATACGAGATAGATGCAAACAAGAACGTGATCCAGAGCAGAAATGACATGCATCAGAACGTGTGCAGCGAACCCCGTATGCCCCCCTCGTGAAGCCAATGGCAAGATCGTTGGCAGCTCCAGCCCCTCTGCAAGCCCAACACTCTGGTGCCCATGTCGTTCGTACCAGGAAATGCACCAGCATCACCCTTCTCAGTCTCGAGTTGTCTCCAAGATCGAATTGACCTTCTCCTGCCATCCTGGGTGTGGGGTCTCCTCGAGCTGTTGCCAAAAAAAAAGAAGCTTTGTGACAGCCTGATCCAGCGCCAACGTCGACCCAAACCCACCACCCACCACCATCCAACGCACACCTACGAGCAGAAACACAGAGAAGATGAAGAGCAGAAAGAGGGCAGACATGAAACTGAGTAAGAAAGAAAGGCGTGGCTTTGCTTACCTAGAGAATAGGATGACGTCTATCGGAATTACGCGAATGCAGAGATCGAAGCCCCAAGCAAGTCTATCGGAAGGACCAGCATATACCCTATCGAAGGTCATTAGTATAGGCACATTCGCGTATGAAAACATCTCATCAAGCTTCCAGAACGATCGAGAGCTGCCGCTTAGGGTGCGCTGTAGGAGACACACGAAGATGCGGCGGGAAGCTGCGGACTAGAGGCACATACCAGACCAGCTCTATTCCACAACGAAGGCGGTACGCTCTATACAAACAAATGAACCCAGAAAAAGTGTACTGGCAGCAGAGTCAGCTCAGGCGATGCGTGGTCTGCTGGACGGACGGCGGAGGCCATCTGTCGGGTGGGGACATGACTTACCTCAAAAACACAGACCAAGCACCGAACTCTTGAACCAGTCTATCCCTACTCGTTTTCGCGGAGAATATCGAACAAGAACACTACACACTCTGGCATGAGTGGGCGCGCATAGGAACACACAAGGCTGGGATCGCCGAGAAGGCTCCCGGATGGTGAGATGTGGGGAAGCAAGCGCCACGCTCCAAGTCCACAGCTGTGCCGTAAATCAAAGGCCAGTGTTCAGAAGATCAACATGCAACCACTAGAGTGAGCACATGGTCGCCCTGACTCTCGAGCGACAAAGGTGGGAAAGGATGGAAAAGAGGACAAATGCCCACGACGGCCAAACTGACAGCTGAGTAGTTTCGCCTTGGCCAGTGGTTCGAAACGTTGGGGGAGGGGATAGGTAGGTAGACGCGGCACACTGGCACCCTGCAGCTCCGCTCGCGTTGTCAGATCAGGAGAAGGACAGACAACGATGCTCTAGACGCGCAACCAGCCAAGAGCAGTCCGGGAGCAGTCGATTGATGGTTGGCTGCCAGGAAGACAGAACGAGATGGCCGGAGCAAGACACTCATTACAGAGGAACAGACGAGATGTCAAAAGCACGCAGAACAGCCAACGCCTTTGAGGCTTCTGGAGCTCCCATGGCTGGCCAAGCATCAGGGGCTCGAGAGGGTCGCTGCGCAGGAAAATGCGGAGACGACCAGGCCAAGTATGGCTAGCCGTGCATGCTTCAGGCGAACACCTGCAAATTGGCTGTGCTTGTTGGGGAGGGGGGAAGAGGGCCCGGAGGGGAGAGGGGGGGGGGGTGAAAGCTTCAAGGGGGGGGGGTACTTAACAAGGGCGCGGACAGGGCGACCTTGTCAAATCATCGGGCCCACGTAACCATCCATCTCCCATCTCTCTCCACCTCTTTTCCACTCTTTCTATACCCATCAGCAATCAGCATCCCTATAGGTTCCTTACTCTCCCAATCGCTTTCACGCTGGTCAGCCGTCGATCCACGAGGGATCGGCCCTTGCACGCCGCATGCTTGCTGCTTGCTTGCCGCATGCTTGCTGCTTGCTTGCCGCATGCTTGCCAGAAACCCCTCATTTCCTTCCCGTCTGGACTCGGATGGGCCCGTCGGAGGGACAGGCCAACTCTTTCAGGGCCTTGTGCTTGCTGCACGCCATCTGGCTTCTCTCAAGCGCCATCAGACGGGCCCTAGCTGTACTAAGACTCCTGTAGCAAATCGACTTGGAGCAGAAGGCCCGCCAGCTCAGCCCTGGGATGGATGGGAAGGCGATCACGCGCTCCGAAGGAACCTCGTACAGGAGAACCAGCAAGTTAGCTGCTCAAGGCTGCTGCAACAGGCCCAATCGGCACCGTCAACATGTCGGCATGTTCTGTAGTAGTAGTACCTACTACCTACTACTCCTGCACCATTCTCATGCGTCCTAGTCTCGCCACTGGCACAAGGACTCTGGGATGGCGAGGCGTACCTGAGGCCACTTGCGATGCTGCGCGAGTCTCCTGAACTATTCGTACTGCACGCGCGTGCACAGACGTCTTTGGCAATGTTCTAAGCACATGCGTACAGCGTGTTGCTAGTAGGAGTTGTTTTGCATGCTACACAATAGTCAGCTCGAAGCCGCGGACAGGTTCACCAACCCCGCATTCGCCTACATTGATTGTTCATCTAAACAGCCAGTCTTTGCAGGCAATCCCAGTGCATTTCTTGCTTGTCCGTGTGGCTGTGGACAGGGGCTAGCTGTGCGAAATATTCGCTTCTCTGTGTCACGCTCTATGGGAACCACAGCTTATCAGAGTTTCCAAGATGGTCGTTCTGTTCTTTGCGTAACTACAGGCTATGCACAAGTATATTGCGAGTCATACTGTGGGTTTGCTGGGTCCGTTCGAGCACTTGGAGGGATCAGCTTTCTGCCTATTGGGGGGATATGCTGAAAAAGACGGCTACCCGAGTGCCGTGGTCCGAATTCGACTTCCGATCAGATGGCGGTCCGATGTACGAATATCGGCTGCAGACGATACAGTACGCCGGCCTGTAGCTCATGATGACATGATCGTGCCATCGCACTGGCAACACTCCAGCTACCCAAGGTCTCTCTGTTCTTGTGTTCATGTCCAGGACGCGTATGGGGCGATATCCTGGGGCAGGAAGTCGGTCGTGTCCGCAGGGACCAGGTTTGAAGTCGCTGCGCTGCCCCACGATGCAGGTTTGGTACTCTGATGCTCACGCGGTCTTTGCGGGTTGAAAGTTTTGGTTCTATCGACTTGTTGTCAAGAGCTGGGATTGCTATGGTGAGCTGGGCGGTGATCCTGCGGGTCGAACGTGTGCTACAATCCTGTCATGGGAAGTACAGTCAGCGCCACGCCTGGCTATGAGCATTGTCTGAGTCTTTTCCAAAAGCAGGTTGATGCCTCTGGTACCTTTTGCGGGTGGTGTCAGTGGTGGTGGGGAGCCTCGAGAGTTGGCCTGTGTGTGGCGGTGTGGGGGTGGCAGGACCACAGTCGGTCGAGCTCGAGACATCATCACAGCCAACCCTACTCGAGAGCAAGGCTACGATAACCCCAAACAACAAACGCAGATACACTCAGGGACTGGCAGTGCGCCACATTGGTTACCTTTGCCTTCATTGTGGGGAATTAAAGAGAGATTTAAGGAGTGTCACGCTCAGTAAAGCTGGTTCTTTAGTTGTAGAGAAGGTAGGAGCTAGGCGGTATGCCAGAAGCTCTGTCACTTTACGACAGGCATTGCCATTCACGCCGACAAACAGTCTAGTGTGGTAGGCAGAAATAGGAGCCATGTTCACAGGATGTACGTGGGAGCGTCCTCCTTCTCTTACAAACACGCATCCCGGCACCAGATACCTTTGCCCATGAGATTCACTGCCACAGAGGAATCCTGGTGCCCGAGCGCCATCCAATCCTGGCCACGGGAGTCCTTGGGACGCGCCTGGATTATGCAGCCAGCCTCCTGCGCCCTCCCACCTACGTCCCCTCCACCGCCCACCTACACTTCCTCCACAGCACACCAAACACCTGCCACAGGCTCTCAGCACAAAGTCCTCCAAGCCATCGCTCTGGTATTGATAGGGCGCCCTGGGATCCTCTTCTTCTCCTGCCTCGGTGGATGGACACAAGCACATGGGTTGTAAGCGCTCTCGTGGACGGCGGCAGGGTCAGAATTCTGTAAAGGCTTTTCTGAGAGCCCATGGGCCAACACAGCATACTTATCCACCATAGTACATGGCGAAATGTTGAGCTAGAACCTCGTTGCCCCTCGATGACTCGCTCCTGTGTTGCGGCTCAAGGCCATTACGTCCTCAGTTTGAGCCTTCTCTAGGCAGCCAGTGTATCAGTCTCAAGGTTTCCCTCAATTTTCTGAGGCACAGACATGGTGATGTGCTCAAGCTTCGTTGTTCATGGTAAGATCAAAACACATCCGACTCGGATGCAGCCTCTCACAGCCGTCCATGGTATGAGAGGGTGCAACGAAGCGCGTAGCAGTTTCGTCCATTGTCGAAGATCAATCGCTCGCGATGACCCTCGCAGCTTCGGCGGCAATGGGTTGTGGCAACGACCCGCCTTCAAAAGTCGCCTAGACTGAGATTCTTGTCTTTGCAATACAGATACGGGCTGGATAGATGTAGGTTGCAGAGAGGATGGATGTGATGGTACATGTCTGTGGAGGTGCATACAGGCCATTCCTTGCCATGGATAGCAAAGATGGCGCATGTTCATTCTGTCATCAGGTGCAGGAAAAATAAGTATGCCATTGCCCACGGTAGGAATGAGTTGGGTTAGTCAAGAGGTCGAGACAAGGCTGAGACTCGACATGCAAACACAAGCTTTTATTCCGCAGTTCGAGAGATTCTCGAAGCCGCCTCGGGGATACCTATGCCAACTAGAGCCAAGTACCTAGTAGTCGACACCAAGAACTTTTTGTCACATTCAGTTTATCCTGCAACTTGCACCGAGACGCGCCCGCGCCCTGCCCCTGTGCTCTAGGTATACTGGTCTGAGTAGCTAGGACGTGCCTTGAGTGATTCCCAAATGTTCGTTCTCCGCGGCTCTTGGATGGTGAGAAAGGTGGAATCTGCAAGTCCAGACATGTCATGCCCTTGGGCCGCATATGCGTAGTAGAATCCATTAGACAATAGCTCTGAAAGTGGGACGAAAAGGGCAGACAAAGTGTCGATGGCTTGGTGCTGCGGGCAAAGGGATTCTGGAGTGTTGCTTGCAGCTTGCACGCCATCCCTGCACCGGCCTGCGTCGTCCATGGTTTGTTGCGCAGCAACGAGCAGCGAGCGGAAGATGCGGAGGTCATATCACAGCCTACCCGTCTTACAATTCCCATAGTAACCAGAGCTTGCTTGTTGAATGAATACTCGTACCATTTGCCCCTTGGCTGATGGGTGCATCTGTTTGCCAGTCTGTCAGTGTGTCTTCTTTCGTTCTCAAGACACACACACACGCACACACACACACACATACATACACCCACTCACCGCGCGCGTCTTTGGAACAAAGCGATCGACGTGGATTCGAGACCAAGTTGAAAAGGCAAGTCTCCCAATCCGGCCATGTGTCGGCCCCTATCAGGACCTAAAATCGCGTCAAAGTCAAGGATTTGAAAGAGACTTTGGAGTGACGTAAGGGAACGAAGGAGGGGGCCCGCCTAGAGATTTACCATGACGATGCAACCAACAACACGCACTGTCCCCTACTTCTCTCCTCCCCCCGCGCTGATTTCATCGCTCGACTTGCTGACGACTTACATTCCCCCAGCTCTCCCAAGCAGATCATCCGTTCCCATTTCTCGCTTGCCACACCTCACAGACCCATCATATCTTTTCCAGACTTCTGCTGGATCATCAATCGCATCATCAGGCCACACTCCACACCCATACACCCCAACAACCGCAGAAATGGTGTCTAGAGCACTTTCTACGGGCCTGCGTGCCTGGCAGGTTGGTGCCCACCCATACAGGACATGGTAACATGGTCGCTAAACCCATCTAACCATTCGCCTCGCAGTTATTCTGCGCCATCCTCGTCACAGCCTTCATGGGCAACAACATTGCGCGCGCCGGTTCGGGCGTCCACTCCATTGTCAACTACTCCCTCTTCGTCGGTGTATGGTGGCTCTTCACCCTACTCTACTTTCTACCTACCTCCTTCATCGAAAAGTTTAGCATTCCAATTGTCGACATCGCCATGGATGGCTTGAGTGTGCTCTTCGGTTTCTGCGCCGCCATCGCTCTCCCAGCATACCTGGGTGCACACAGCTGTTCCAACTCTGTACGTCCATGTCTTTGGTCCCATACCAAAGACGACGACACTTTTGCTCACAAGAACTTCTTAGAACTACACACGATCCAACAAAATCACCAACAGCTCCGCCAACTCTGGCCAAAACTGTCGTCAGGCACAAGCTACCTGCGCCTTCCTGTGGTTCGGATGGGTCGCCTTCGTCATCACTCTCGCCCTCAACCTCATGGCTGGCCGCGGCGCTAACCTGCGTGGCGGAATTCGCCGTGGAGGTCCCTCCATGAGCCAGGTGTAGAGTGCCTCCGACGATAGCTGCAACGTCTATTCCGACTCGTCTTGGAACACACGAACGGATTGTGGTGGTGCCTGATTCGGAAGCGCAGCAATGCAATGGGTCCTAAGGGGTCGTTGATGTACTCATGAGACTGTTAGCAAGTAATCTTTTGTATGATGCTATATGATGGGTTGGAGAGATGATAACACTGTGCTTGATGCACTGATGCACCGATGCTGGATACAATGGGATGGAGTAATGGAATGGGCTTGAGTTCCGCATTGCAAAGAAGGCAATGGCAATGGCAAAGGGATATACCAACACAGGACATGGGATATGAGCGTACTGCGCATTGCTTTTTCAAAAAAAAAAAACTAAAATAATACGACTTTGATCAATCGCCAAATTCCTGCTTATGATGATTCCCTCATTTGAATTCAGACGTCTTCTTTCCTTAAACTACAAAGTACTGGTATGCCATCTGTCGGTTCGGCGGTACTGTTATGTTCAGTCTACACGAAGTCCATTTACTGCACAGCATAACACCATCACCACACTACCGAGAAATATGAAACCGTGCATCCTCAATTGACTCCATCAGAATACTTATGCAAAACACGATTGATCCACAGAGGTTGACCCAATCATACTACCCCAAAACGCCACATTATAGCGACCGTACAGGTCCATGCTGAACCCGTCAGAAGAACGCCTTGTGCGTGTACACTGTACAGTAAAAACACATTGTAATGAAGCCCTATCCTGTCCTGTAGCCACTGCATGCTATGCCGCCGCCACCTCCAAACGCCTTGCCATCGTACTCGAAAAAATTCCATTTTGTAGCGCCAATCATGTACCGTGAATAGTAGGAGTGTTCAGCAGCCGTGCTCAACGGACTAGCGGGACGGACCGGCATGAGTCGGACGCGGAGAAGGATTATACGTCCAGCCTCCCTCCCTCACAAGTCTCTCCCTCGCCTCTCTCTCCTTCCTCTTCTCCTCAGCCGTGACCTCATCGTTTGCCCAGAAGGCGCTGCTCGTGCGCTCGCGGAATCGTTTATGGCGCTCTTTGTTCGGGAAAACCTTTTCCATTTCCAGAGCGGGGATGGGGCCGAAAATAGCTTCTGGGTCCATGAGTTGCTGGTTGCTGAGCATCTCGCGCAGATTGGGCGTGTTGACCCAGCTAGGCTGCTCGAAGTCATTGTCAGAATCCTCATCTTCAGAGTCAGTCATGATTTCAGGAAGCTTGATATCATCTCCGTTGGGATACTGAATTGCAGCAGCTTGTTGGGGTGGGTGGGCTGTTTCTGCGAAGGGGATCTTGCCCTTTGCGAACTGTGCATGTGCAGGAGTGATTGGGTTCATCTTCGCTTGTTGCGATGGTCGCTTGGCTGGGCGATGGAGCGTCTCATCGTTCTCTCCTTGGAAGGGACGTTTGGGTGGCTTAGCAGGGTTGATCTGAGGAATGTTGATGCGAGTAGCATCTTGAACTGTTTGCATCCGAGAGACGGGCCGAGCAGCACCAAGATCAGCACGAGGCGCCGGTGCAGGAGCTTTAGGTTTCTCCGTAGCCAGAGTTTGTGCACGATTTAATCGAGGGCCTGTTGTAGGCTTAGCGATAGGCTGCGCTGCCTTCGATGAACCTGCTTTGCCAGCCATTGCTGAAGCAGGCCTTGCGGCTGAGATTGGTCGAGGCGCTGGGGCACTAGACTTGACGACTGCCTGAGGAGCAACTGGAGGTGGCTTGCTTGAGACTGGAGCTGGACGAGGAGCAGGTGGCGGAGCACGGCCATATGTGCTGCTGTTGAGGTTGACCATGATCTTCTGCGGTGCCTTGGTTTTAGGCAATGTGTCCTTGCTGTTTGGTTTAGTGAGCTTCCTGGGCTCACGAAGAGATGCTTTCGTCGTCTTGGTGGTCGGCAACAAGCTCTTTGGTGCAGCGGGCGGTGGCATCTCGTCTGTGGAGTCGACATCTTGCTCTCTAGATGAGGCTGTATTGGTTCGACTGATGCCGGGCCGGGAAGCCTGTTGTGGCGGCCCTGGTACCGCGACTGGTGTTTTGGCAGCTCCACTAGCGGCCGGTTGTCGTAGGCTTGAGGAGGATGACATTGCCGAGGGAGTCTTTGCTCCGATAGCTCTGGCCTTCTGATGCTGTGCCGCGGCCTTGCTCTGCTCCTTTTCGCGCATGTCTTTGAGCTTGTCTTCAGCGCGTTGCTGTTGCTTAGCTTCTTTTGCATCTTTCTCCCTGATTTCCCGCTCTTGCAGCTTCTCGCGCTCAGTGGAGCTACGAGTACGGCGACCATCGCCCTTGGTGGGACTTCCATGCACCATGGCGCTCTTGTTGGATTTAGCAGATTTGTTTGACTCTTTTGATGGTGAGCGGATATGCGAGAAGATTCCAGCAGGTTTCTCTGTTCTCTTCGGGCTGGTGAAGATATCATCTGCCGACTCTTGTGACGTGATTTGGGGTCTCCTGGGGCTGTCATTCAACGCATCGAGTTTCGCCTGAGCGCTGGTTGCGCTTGAACCAATGAGCTTTTCCTTGGCTGAGCGGAAAGCTGAGTATAGCTTTGATTTGGACGCACTGAGAGCACCATCCATGTATTTCTTGCCCGTCGGAGAGCCTACAGGAGTTGTTGACTCGACAGCTGATGCGAGATCCGGGTTTGAGCTAGAGTTCAGGCCTGTAGGTTTAGACCTCGCGGGTGACTGCGTGGGTTCGGCAGTGTGGCTCTTGCTAAGTGCCGGTTTGGTGGTCTTCGGAACAGGTGCTGCCATGATAACGGGAGAGATCCAATCATCTTCATCGTCGTCATCGTCTTTCGCGGAGTCGACGGTGTGTAGTGCAGGGTACGAGGGTTGAGATGATTGCGCCTGAGGAATGTCCTCTTTGGGATGTGTGGAGAAGCTCTGCGGCTGAGAGGACTGTGAAGATTGTATATTCTGGCTGATACGCTTCGGTGCTTCATTTTGTTGTTTGAGCATGTTGATGCGCTCAAAGAGTCGCTGGGTCGAAGTCTTGTTGTGGATTTTGGTCGACTCTGATTCTTCTCTCTGAAGTTCTGGACGCTCTGTGTCGGTCTCCATTTCATCATCATGGTGCACCTCTGCCGGATGAGCTAATTGTGAGCCACCTAAGCTCTTACCCCCCGTAAACCGGCCCATTTGGCTGTTGCGGCCGCGTGCTTGATCGAGATGACTTGTACGCGAGACGCGGTTGCCCATGCTCTTTTTGGCAATCAAAGGTTCACGCGCCGGCAAAGAGGCGAAAGTGAGACTGCTCTTCCTAACTAGCGGCTTCACGGGACTCGAATTATCTGAAGGAGAACGTACATCATCGTCCATGTCCATTTGATCATCGATATCGTGATGGACGACAGTATCATCAAACTCGATTTGTTCGCCTGGGGGTGGACCAGCGGGTGTTGTGGACTGATCTGGTGCGAAACGATTTTTGGGCTCTGCGGCAAAGGCACCATGGTTGGCGGTGTCCAGCGCCTCGTGCGTGTCTGCAGAAATGCTATATTGTTCAGAAATGCGGGGTGGTTCCGGAAAGTTGGGCATGCTTTCCATGGCCTCGTTTTGATCGTCATTCATGCTTGAGTCATGATGAACAACGGTGCCTTGCGCATCAGAATTGCAAAGATTGGCCCGGCTATCATCGACATCCATCGCATCATCGTTCTGATCATGCAGAATCCCCTCCGATATTTTTCTGTTTCCGAAAGCTTCGTTTGCGGAGACGAAAGAATCACCCGTGTCACGCCGTTCATCTTCTTCGTGTGAAGTGCTTTTGAAAGAGTCGGTTGCTTGCGTAGGCTGTGTTGACTGTGTTTGCGGGGGCGAAAAGACATCATCGGAAGTCATTACAGAATCCTGAGAAGATTGCACGGGACTCCAAGGCACAGCCAGAGGCTCTGCTGGGGGCTTATCAAAGGCATTGGTGTCCATATTGCTCTCGATATTTTCCTTTCCAGAGCCAAGTGCGTTAGAGAATAGTTGCCGGGCAACGGGTGTCTTTGCCGTGGGTGACTCAATACGCGTCGTGTTCTCTGCGTCTTCTGCGATGTGAAATCGCGGTTTGGTGGTGCTCTTCAAAAGAGTATTCCTCAAGCTCATTTCGGCGGGACTGAGGTTCTTCTGTGAGTTGACCGAGAGAATGCTGGCCAGCGGCTGCCTGCTGTTAGCAAGTGCCTCGCAAAATTGGACGCGCGTAGCTACCTGTCGGGGCTCCGCAATCTTCTTGCGCGCAGTGCGAGGCGTCTTGCCGCGTAGCTTGCCCGGTGTCTTGAAGACGTCGAGGTTGGTCCTGTCGGGAAAAGATTAGCAATAGGTGCCTTCCGGTGCAGCAGGCACGACATACTGGCCGCCATTCGCGAAGATGTCAAACATGTGCTCGTTGAGCCATTCCAGCTCGTTGCGCACAGAGAAGCCGAAGTCCTCAAGCTCCTGCGCGACCAGGTCATTTGATTGATGGCGCTCCTCCAGAATCCATCCGGCAGAGCCAATTGCAGGCGTTTTGCTGCGAGCAGCCATGGCGGATGATAGGGGGCGTGGTGATGGTGGGTGATAATATTGCAGCGGAAGGCGCGCGTCGCGTCGACGGCAGTCGCGATCCGGATATGCGGGTGAGGGACGGTTGGAATTAGCCCAACATAGCGTGTCGAAGCGTGAATGATGTTTGGGCAGCGGTGTGAAAGGCGGGCAGAGGGTTGCGTGGTGATATCAGCGGTGCTGGGGAGGAGGGGGGGAAGTTGAATGTGTGGTGTTGTGACGCGGGACGAGTCCAAACAATCGGAGTGGGCCGCCGGTCGGCGCGATGGCCAGTGCACTGCCAAGACCAAGACCAAGACCAGTCCCTCTACTACTATCCCTCCCGTCCAGGCTCCCTCAGATCATCGCTTGTAGCCGCTCGACACTGGCCACTGGCACGTCCTGGTCCTTTCTTCGCTTACCAATTGTACCGATTAGATACTGGATGCCATATCTCTCATACTATCTCTCACATTGCAACCCAGTCCGGATCGTCATGTCATGCTATTGAGCTTCCCCATGCTCTGCAGTACCACGTCCTGGCACATGGCGACGCAAGATTGTTCTGTTCCTCAACCGATACAACGACGAGCTCAGATAAGATAATGAACGCTTTCAGTCTTAAAATGGAGCAAATCACCCACTGACATGACGACTCGGTCAATGCAAATCGTATGATACACACATATCTAGAGAATGGTATAGCGAATAGCGACAGCTTAGAGATAAGCGTAACATGAACCGAAAGATGACAAGTACAAGTAAAGAGCATTTCTCATCATGCTGGACTGGAAATGCAAGTGAAAAATGTACACGCTAACTCTCCAACACACCATGGCCCTGGGAGCCGATGACGAGTGAACCTCATGCATCACCTGCGTTAGGCTACCAATATCCACCACCTGAGTCACAAGCAAATCCCTCTTCCTATAAATACTGCTTGTTCCTCAAAATCAGCCAGTCCCTACAATACCCAACATGGAACCAGAATCCAATCCAGAAGCAGCTCGTAAACCTCGACCCATCCTGAATTTTCCCAAGGACTGGCTACCCGACGAAAGCGATGAAGTGACTGATAAGATCAAAATGCCTCCTTCCCCTACGCATCTTCATTGTAGGCTAGTGAAGCGCTCAAGACATACCCAGAAGCATCTTGCACAATTTGTGCCCAAGAATGCCCCCAGCGCCGCAAACGACGGGATGGAAACGACCGTACGCAGGCAACTACCCGAACGGGTATCATCTGCGATTGAAGGATTGGTCCACAGAGTAAAAGACGGATGGCGAAATGAAGATGGCAATCTTGCCAAAGCCATTGACTCGCACTGGGCAATGCCGAGCGGTCAACTTCCACCCATGTTTGCCGGCTTGTTCTATGACCATACTGATGACGAAGACAATGACGAAAACGACGATGACGACAAACATCAGTGGCTATCGCACTTTCGCCATGAAGCGAAGGAACTCCATCCAGCACCATATGATACATCAGGCCGTCTCAAAACCATGCCCCATCCTTCAAAGCCTGTTTCATCAAACTACATCCAGCCTCCAACATCGCTCGAAACTATTCCCACGGAAATAGCAGATCAACCCCCTACTCCAGCGCCCACACAAACAAAACTCCCAGCCACGCCAACGCTTAACAAAACTCTTGATAACCCCATCTACGATGTTGAGGTTGAGAGTCTAGACAGGGATATCACAGACTGGGAGCAGATCCCGTGCGAATTCGAAGAAGACAACGAGTGGGATATGGTCGAGGATCATGACGATGTTTTGTATGCCCAGTCTTAATTCTGCTACGGCACTTGTTCATTGTATTGAAGTAATACCAGACCAACACTAAGAGTACTTCATGGCATCGTATCCTATGCAGAGTCGAGAATAGACCATTGTCTTAGCCAAGGAGGCATAGTTGCTACAACTGCATTTAGAGTTACTCCTAATATCGATAACAAACTGCCTCGTACTCATGTATATAAAAACAAGCACGTAATCATGGTAGCCACCGTAACAGCCTGGGCCTAACCACTGTACACGAAACATGCAAACTTACTTCTCCCGGCCTACTCAAACATGGCTTGTTCAAACCTTCCGATGCGCGGGGGCGTTTCATCCATGGTTTCTTGTTGCCCATTCTCCCCATACCTTGTAGTGACTGCGGCTTCTTCCTGTCGCATTGCGCTAATCTCTGCTTCAGCGGAATTTTCCTGATCCCGCTGGTGAGCTGGAACGCGCCTATGGGTACGAGCCGTAGTGCTTGCACGAACAAGCGGTGATCGCGAGCGGCGACTCGTAACGCCACTGCCATGATCGAGAGCTAGAGCGGTCAATGGGCTGTCGCGACTGGGATGGAGATGTAGAGATGGTAGCGCTGTTGTCGAAACTTGGCGTTGTGTGCGTGTTTGTGAATTTGGAGTATCTTCGCGGTAGTGCGATGTTGGTCTATAACCGGATGGCTGAGGTACACCCAGTGTCCCGTCCAAGCCAGTACTTTGGGGTAAAGCTCGAGAACTATTTTGATTTCCAGGCCGAAGCGGTGGACTGCCTGACATGAGTGTGCCCTCCTGGCGGCGGTTCGCAGATTGTGACGGCATTTGACGCGGGCCCTGTACACGTTCTCTGTTGGACACATCACGTGGGGGTATTGTTGATGGTGCGACGCCTGATCGAACTGGAGCCCCGGCCGAAGCCCGAGGACTAATGGTTTGCATAGCACGAGAAGCATTCTGCAACAACTCATACGCTGCTCTTTGGGTCTGTACTTGACCACGGCTGCTACGGGTGTTGATCAACGGTGAAGTGACCGGATTGTTCTGACTTGAGCGCTGGTTAGCCCGTGTTGCGTGATGTTGAGACCTGTTCTGTTGTGTGGATTGAGCGCCGGGTTGACGTCTCTCTTGGTTGTCCATTGTGGGCATAGGTGGATATGGGCTTCGATAAGCTTCACCAGTAGAACCTCGACGTGAACCGCTGGGATTGTAGGCAGCAGGCTGGAAGTGTGGAAAATAATGGGGCATAGATTCTCTGCTATGTTGGTCTCCAGTCAAGCGTTGGTACTGTTCCGAGTATTCGTCAAGTGGCGAGCGCAAGTTCCGAGCGGCAGCTTCTGTTGCATCGGGGTACTCCTGAATGAAATCTGTTTGACTTGTTGCTGGGCTGTTTTGTGACGTAGCCCTTTCCCCTTGGGTGCGGGCATATGGTGATGATGGCAACGGTGAGTAACCAGCTCGAAAGTCTGGGCTCGCTATCGAGCCCCTTGCGTTTGACGAAGACAGGAGAGAATTTGCCGAAACGCCTAGAGACCGCACTCTATGATTGACGGCTGATCCAACTTCTCTCGACAGGGTAGAGCCGTCATACTGTGTATGGGGGAATTGCGCAGTCCCAGACATGCCACTGCTCGAATGCCGTGACCCCGAGGGCAGGGAACCATAATAGGAGAACGATGCACTGGCAGCTGATACTTCACTACTTGACTGTCTATGCATGTGTCTGGACCCCACCATCGTCCTGACAAGCTGGGGAGTACTAGACAGATCATGATCAGAAGTCGATGGCCAGCCTCGACGGGTTTGAGCAGTCTCCGACTCACTGGTGCGCCGGACCGCTCGGGTTGGTCCAAATGCCGACTCGTCTGAAGTATCGGTCGCCTCTGGCCTTGGGATAAGAAGACTAAAAGGAGGCACGTTTCCTGACGAAAGACTGCGACCATGAACTGGTTTCCGACCTCTGCGTGGACGTGGCTCACTTTGTGGGTACACAATAGACTCCCGAAAATGATACGAAATACCGTAGGGCTCTACAAGAGGTGATTTGAAGTATCCTTGTAGTCGTCGCATTGGTTGATTCCTGGTAGGCGTGACTATGGTCTTGACAGGATCTGGTGTGTGCTTCGACGGTAGCGGTGACTTCAGTCTATGCGCCTGACGCAGAGGAGACGATGGTCGTCCTGCATCTGGGACTTCCCTATGGGTATGATGTCTGCTTGGGCTGTCGCTTCCTGCTCCTCCTCGTAGATCTGAGTGGCTTTCGGGAGGAGAGAGTGGACAAAAGGATGATCCACTGTTTTGTGTTTGGCTGGTGTGGGCTACTTCGGTATCTCCGAAGGCTGCATGTGGTAATGAACCCGGTGTTGTCGAAATCGAAGCTGGCTCACCTTGATCACTTGTCTCATGGCGTCGATCTTGTGTGTTTCCCAGTCCTGGCCTGAAGGGAAGCTTCATGCTGCGTAGAGCCGAGGAGAATGTAGGATATTCTGACCGTAGCGTCTGCATATGTGAAGTATCTGTCACGAGGCTGTCACGACGGATGCCTCGAGGAGCGTGATGGCCGACATCATCGTGGACGTCTTCGTTGTCGACAGTGATGATAGCCTGCTGAGGCTGATTTTGGTATAGGGAGATATCTCCAGGGCCTGTGGTGGCATGGCGGACAGATCTCTGCGGACCGCATCGGATGACTGGTCGTCCTTGTCTTCCATAGCCCCGTGCTGCCGCCACTGCTGATGCCCGGGCGGCTTGTCTGTGGGCAAGACGACGGAAGGTATCCTCGACATCTTCGGGCGTCAATGTGAGTTCTGATGGTCTCAGGCGTAACATGTTACGGAGCCAACTGTTTCAAGCGAATGGGGGGGGGGGGGCCAACAAGTGGATTTAAAAATGCAACGTCCAAAAAAAAAATGAGTGTGGTAGGGGAGTTAAAAATTCCAATCAAAACTGGCGAGGGATAATAACCCTGCATGGGGCATACAGGCTTCATGGCGACTTCCCTGTGGAAGAAGATAAACAAAATAGGTACGGTACTGCCACCTGAACCCCCGGGTCCCCATTGAGTTCTTGCCATGTTACCAAACCCTCCTGTCCTGGGAAGGTCTTTCCCACCAATCAATGGGTACATGTATTCCCTTCAAAAAACGTGGGTGCAGCACCCATTGCTCCCCTTCCTGGATAACTCTTCCAAATGTCACTAAATGTGGGTGCCGTGCACCCAGTGCCACCCGTGCACCCCTGGCTTGCTTTTGGTGTTTAGGCGGGCCACGGGTGTCACCAATTTTCCCCCCAAACATGCAACATCCCCTGGGCAAAACGTCCAAAATCACATCGGCCATCAACCGACCTTTTTTTCCCCCCCCTTGTAAGCCCCCATTTTCCCCCCCACATGGATTAAAGGAAAAAGGGTAGACTAAAAAAACAAGGATGCATGTA